TGCACCCCTGTTTTAAAAAATGTTAAAATATTTAATTGTTAGTTACCGAAAATTATCGCCGATTGTTGAAATTCCATAGCGCTAAAAGACACAAAAACACTCGCGCAAAAAGAAGCATCCATAAATAAAAGGAATATAATGTTTCCATTGTTAAATAATAAATACAAAATTTACACACGAAATGACCTCTGACAAATGACTGGTCGGCTCTTCTGAAGAATCTGTGAATCTTTGATGTTTACACACCTGTAGTTGTTACCGAATCATCAAAGAAATGCCGACACTCGATTGACTTTCACCTCTTTTTTTATATATCAGAAAAAAACTGTCATTTCTTTTTGTCAAGGAATGATTACACATGTTTAATTATTGCTCAAGTAAAAAAAAATGTTGGATATTGATTGTGTCAATTATTGACATATTATTAATCGTAAGTGCATTTTGATTGTGATATTTTATTTACATTTTAATGATCTTGAAGATATTGTGCAATACTTGTGTCTGCTATCAAAACAATAATGCATATGAAAGGATATTTTTTTCGGTCAATTTTACGACCACGCTTCTACCAGAAATGTTTTATTGCATGGGCTTATAGTATTTAATAAAGCACATTAAAATTACCACATGGTAAACTAGTGACCATATAAATGCTTTACAAATATTCATTAATTTGAAAAAAAATTTTTAATCCCGTTTCCACACCTTAATTTGATACGTGCTATTATTAGTTAATTCAACTTAATTGCCGCGCGCATGCAGTACTGCGTGACGTAAGGAAAATATCCTTCCCTGGTTGGTCGCTATTTATGTAAATACTTTAAATAGTAACACCCTAATTTTATGCACAGAATGCCCTCATGAATGATCACACGTTACTTTACATATTAAATGTGTGATTTAACTCCGATTTTATTTTTGTTTTCGAGGGAATTTTTTGGGTCAAATGCCCTGGCTGATTTGGCGGGAATAAAAAAAAAATCTGATTTGCATCTTGCTACTCATCACCTACTCATGCACCTGGCATTTTTTACTCGTGAAATTGAAGGTAAAGAATGTCCAATTTACAAATTGCTTGAAACATGACTTATTTATGAAGCTGGTGTCATTTAGGAGTTATTGCCTAATAAGTTGAAATTTAACAATTATTAATGATATTAAAGGGAAGGAGTGGTTATTTCTCTGCCAAAATGTTGAGCAGAATGTGAAGAATCTGTCACAGTGCAATTCAGGCAAGCACATACCGGTAGTGTTGACTAAGTACTAATTAACTAAGAAAGTATTGAAAAACAAAGGCATTGTTAAGTGAAGTTAAAAACTACTTAATATTCATTCATGTTTTTGACCCCCCAAAAAAAACCTACAAGAGGTTACAGGAAGAGTCTGTAATAAGTATGCATGTTTTCACTGACAGTAATTCATTTGTTTTATACATCATACAATCAAGTCATGGCGACTGTCTAGTATTTAACTGTTATCTTAATGAGAAGGAACAACAACAATATATAGATTTATTCTTACAAGTGTGTCAAAATAACTCTGATCTATATTAAATCAATAACCAAATGGCCTATATGATGAAATATTTTTCACCCGTAGGATCGAGCCAATTGATTTCAATAAGAGAAATGAAATACTTGACCATACTGTATAAAAGAATGAACTGTTTATCATTTATTTTCATTGATTAAAATAATTCAATGTGCAAACTAGTGCTTTTGCTGTTGAATCAATGTCTTTGATATTGGTTGGTGTAGAGCTAAGTTAATCGATATTGAACACCATGATCATTCATAGTTGGCCTTATTTCAATGTTATTATAAATTAAATCCACCCTTACTGTTCTCTTGTTCTCTCTGTTAACTGGAGATGGTATGGATGTTTGTGGGTGTTTAAATTATAGTATGCATTGGGACAATTGCTCAATTACTATATGTGTGGGGTCATTTGTTCTCCATAACTCCTTATGTGAAGAAGTTATGTTTTTGTTGTTGAGAAAAAGCTGATGTATGTGATGGAATTCTGGAGTTTTGGTGGTAAGATTAACTATAGGATGTAAATGTTGAGCTCCTGCTGTAAATGTCAAGATGAAAAAGGTAGTTAACTATCTTTGTCTCCCCAAACACCCCCCTCCCCTCACACTGAATTGATTGTTATCCATTGAGTTAACTCATTTAAAACGCCATTTATGGACAGATCATCAGCAATCTTGGTTTATAAAGCCATTATAACGTATTTTCTTATTTTATTTGTTCCTTGTAGAGGCAAATTTTAACAGTTAAAATTTTTTATGACATTTTCTATTCCCATAATCTAGTGGGTGGCACATTTAAATGTAATGTTCAAATTAAAGTTTCAACTCCTTTAGGTGGTAGTATTTTAAAAAATACATAAAGACTTGAAAAAAGATTATCTTGTGGTGAACTGAGGTCAGTCTGTAACATCAGTGTATTGGTTGAGTCAAGCTGGTTCATGTAGTTTATATTTTCGTAAGCTATTTAAAGCCATAATGTCCATATTGTTTTATTTAATGACCTCCAACTATACAGGTGTTCTTAAAATAGAAAAGCAACAAAGATAAATTCAAGTGTCAGAGGGAGATTTTCTAGGTTCAACTTGAAAACTGAAATAAAAACATGATTCATAGCAAGAGATGTCCACAATGAGAAACTATAATATTAGAAGGACGAGTTATTTTTGGTTGTGGGTAATTGATATGAAGCGTTCTCCTACATGTATATTGATTGCAGCTGCAGGTACTACCGTATGTTAGTATGTTGTTGTTTTTGAAAGACCTGAAAAACCAATTATATCATAAATAGATCTTTACAGTATCTCTGCCGAGACGCCCTCGCAGTTTCCCCACATAGAAATTACTGATGAAAAAATGTCAGATATGTTTACCATGTCCATGTATTACATAATTCTGATTATTTTGTACTGTTTAGTTTAAAGAATGTCAATCCAGCTTAAACCAAAATTGAAGTTACAATAATTTAAACTTCCTTTTCATGTACGTGCTACATTTATTTCACAATGAATATAACTTATTTGTTAAGGCTTAAGTTGCATTACAATAGATGTGAATGTTTTGACAATTTTATCTTCAATTTGCTATTATTTTTGGCATTTGATCTAAATATAGAATTAGAACATGGCTACAGACATACTTGATTTACATGACAACATCACGGCCATCTTCCTTGTTTTCAATGATACCAGCAAAGAAACATAACAGTGTCTCCTGTGTAACCTTGTGTTTCACATTATAACAGTCAGACAATATATTTATAGATACCTGATTTGAAATCAGTTATTTTGGTTTGAATTTTGATTGTTTCATGTCTGTAAATATTGCATATAAAATTTATGGAAAACACAAGTTGATTCATTGATATTAATACTTATGATAATGTATTATTATGGTTCATTGTACAATAATTGTTATATGGAAAGGTGGGATTTTTTTTTTAGATAAATGGTATAAAATTATGATCAAGTCGTATTTGACTTTGAAATTTAATATTTCATAAATGTACATGTATTGAATGTATGTAGATCATTATTGATTTAGATTTCATTTCTGGAAATATGAAACCAGTTGTTTAAATTATCTTTTTGAAATTGAGTTATTGCATATCAAAGTGTTTATGTAAGCAGTGAAATGTCAGCGCTTTTTGATGTTTAAAAATAGAATTTCATTTTGAACATTTGTCACTTTCAATTGTTTACCATGTAAATAATCGTCATTGTGGTTAGTTGAATAATATTTTTATACTTCCTAAAATTTTGTGTGGGATCTAGTTAAAGATTCTGTTTAACTTTTTACTATTTCTCATGTTGCTTTTATTACTTGGCTGATATGTGAGATCTTTAGTATTTTCTACCCTAAGGTGGGGTTTAAAAATAGATTTTCCTTGTTATTGACAAATATTTCATTATGTAATATTACATCTGCCCTTTAATAGAGCTTGCATTAGATGGGACAAAGTTCAAGGTCAAGGTCACTAAGGCTTAAGATTTTAGATTATTGGTATGTAGTTACCTGGCATAGTTATCTTTCCTTGCAGCAGAGCTGAAGTTAATGGATCCAAGGTGAAGGTCACTCATTATTAAGTAACAGAGTCCCTTCTTTTCCTACTAGTTTGACAACGTTTTAAGTCGTACAAAAAGCAGTTTCAGGAAGGATGTTCCTGCAGTGTGACGAGAGATCAGAATACAGATTTTACTGACTTTGTTAAAGTCATATGGTGACTTTCTAGCCTTTGGCCTTACAGAAAGAATCTTGATTCCAATCAAAGCCTCTGGCAGCAACAAGAAAAAGTTTCATAGTCTTAACCTGCTATGCACTAAAATTTAAGGATCGGAATCAAGATCAAAATTAAAACTTCAAATATTCAATTAGAAATATTTTTCATTCATTATCCTTCAATATTAACCAATATTAACATGATGAAAAAGGACTTAAAATAGCATGTTTCTGAATTTTAATAATAATAAATTTATTATTATAGTACAAGAAATGGGCATTTTTCAGTTTATCCTTATATTGATCTTGATCCTAAAATTGATCCTTATTTTGTCCTGATTAATCTTGTATTTGCATAATTTTATCCCAAAAAAGGATTGATGTCAAATCAGCAATTTTTTACATTTTGTTTATGTGCCTTTTAATTCTAGCCTTATACAACCAATATTAGTTTCATAAAGCATTGAAAATAAAATCAATTGATCCTGACCCAGATTTTTTCTGAGTGGGCTTGATTTGAGCCCACAGCGTGGGTGGCTTTTATAATATTATGATAATCGTAAACTATTGATATTTTAATGGCACACAGTTGCCAGTATCTAGCTATAAGGACAGGATGCACAGGATGCTTGTTTCTGGCACACTTTCAGACACTGTCGTGTTTCACAAACAATGGTTACTTTTGATGATTTCCATCAATTACATTGCCAACATAATTAGTTAATTAATTGTATTTATTTTCTCTTTTCAGTTTTTTAGACCGAGTGCATATAGTAAAACAGCCTGATTACACACCCACTGAACAGGTATCTTATTTTATATATTTTGTCTTTGTGAGGAAGTTGACCATTGAACTGTGTATGTAATAATATAAATAAAAGACTTCTTAAGATTTCAGTGTATGATATAACATTAGTAAATCTGTATTAAGGAGGTAATGGCAAGTCAGGTTATGGCAAGTTATGATTTTACTTTTAGTTCATACATTGTACAGATGAATCAGTTCTTCTGAAACATGGCAAAGATTTTAGAAATGAGGTTTACAGCTAACTATGACTTTATTACATAGCTTATATGTATGATTTTTCTTAGGCAAAAATTTACTTTGTAAACATACATAATAAGGATTTATTTTAAGACAATTTGACACATTCTAACACACATCTGACAATATTTTAGTACACTGGCAATATTAGAGTTCACAATATTGATGACAACACACCTTACTTTTCGAACTCAGTTCAGGCAAGGGTTCGCAGCCAAGTTGAATTACTCAACTAATGTACAACTGGGTCCAAGGTTACACAGAATTTTTCTAAACTCAAAATTTCTCGGGTAGAAAGTAACACAACGTATATTTATGAAATGAAAATTTTAAATTTCATGGCAGAAATCAGAAAAAAAGGTACTATAACCTTGAGTTTACAGTAATATGTTCACATGCGCAACAGGACATGAAAACTATCATGGCAGCTAGCTAAAGTGGATGGGTCGCGGCCTGTGTTGGCATTATGGACCTCCGGTGTATAAAATACATGCATTCTGTTGCTTTTATTTTCAGGATATTTTACGCTGTAGAGTGCTTACTTCAGGAATATTTGAAACAAAGTTTGCAGTTGATAAAGTAAATTTTCAGTAAGTGTTTATTATGTTTGTTTGTAATGAAATCCAACTTATGAGTGTTTTTATAATGTTTGTAAGTATTGTAGGAAATTTGAAATTAAAAATGATTACAAAATATATATTTTTAAAGTAAAGATTAATGGTACAGTAGAACTTTCATGTGTTGGAACTTCAATAAGTTGATTGTGTTGAAGTAAAATGAAATGTTAAGGGTTTGGGACATAGAATCTTTGTCAGTTGCATATCTCCTGAACCCATTAAAGGATATTTTATAATCTTTGGCAAAATGTTTTCTCATTTAAACAACAAGCATAATTATCCTTGATTTCATAATTTTTCTGCCACCACCATTTGTGGGGCATACAGATTTCCCCTCGTTCATCCATCCCGTTTTTATGGTGTCACAATGTCTGTATTAAATAGACTGGTTTGTGTCATGTGTAAACACAAAAAAAGTATAACTGCTTATTGCATTAAACTTACAATGAATAGTTGTCAGCCTTTGAATTTCTGCACCTACGTCTTTGACACTGTTTATTTAACGTTGGTTAAATCATGCTCCTGATCAAGCAAGAGAAGTACCGTAGTATTTTTTACTTGATTTGTGTGCCACTACAAAAGTACACATACTTGAGCAAACAAGCTTCTAAGAATACTCAATAGTTGTCAGCATGTTTCTTTAAGCACCTGGGTACTTTTGCAGAGTTATTTTCCCTAATTAAGCAGATAACGCACCCCCCCCCCCCCAAGCCCAACCGCCACCACAAAAAAGACACAAAAAAACAACAACATTTTTAGACTTTGTCAAGTGTTACTAAAGAATTATAACTTCTAGAGCCATGAAACTATAAGAATATTTGTCATCAAGTGAATTAAAACATTTATGTCATTTGTCACAAATTGTTGCAGAATCGTTGTACCTGACTAAGCAAAAATTGTGGTTGTTTTTCAGCATGTTTGATGTAGGCGGGCAGAGAGATGAGCGGCGCAAATGGATTCAGTGCTTTAATGATGTCACAGCTATCATATTTGTGACAGCGTGTAGTAGTTACAATCTCGTCTTACGAGAGGACGCCACGCAAAATAGACTTAAAGAATCATTGGAACTTTTTAAAAGTATTTGGAATAACCGGTAGGTATTTGGGATAGCCTTAGGGAATTTGTTTAAAAGGTTTGGAGTGTAGAATGTCTTTTCCATATCTTTATAATATAATTTATTTGTACAAACATTTTATCCTTTTATGTTAGTTTTAAGACAAAGCTTTATGGTAATTCTTTTAGTAAGCTAACTGACAGGGGCATCTTCAGCAGAGTGGTTGAAGTTGTTGACTTCAAATTACTTGCCCTTAGGCTGTAGGTTCGAACCCGAGGAAGCTTTCCGCTAAGTTAAGAAACGTTGGTGGTTCTACTTATTTGCCCGTTTGTGCCAGAAATAATGCATGGAAGAGCACCTGAGGTCTTGCCCCACCAGTAAATATATAACCTATACTGTGTTGATGTGATAATGTTGAACATACATAAAAAAAGCTCAGTGACATGAATATTGGTAGACCTGTTGATAGAAAAGTCATGCCATTTCTTCATTTTGAAGTAAGGCCATTAAAAAGGGATGGAAATGTGTTATGTTTGAGTTGATTTATCTATTAATGTTGTACTTTTGTGTCTTAGGTGGTTACGGACAATTTCCATCATCCTATTTTTAAATAAACAAGATCTACTAGCAGAAAAAGTGAGATCTGGCAAGTCTAAAATAGAGGATTACTTTGCAGACTTTAAACGTTACCAAATACCTAGTGAAGGTAAGACATTGTTCTTTGTTTATTGTAATTTTCATATGTTATTTTTCATATTGTAAAATCATATATGAACATTTTATAATCTTTGTATGAATTATGTTGGTTGACAAAATAAGAACATGCATCAAATGTATGTCAGAATGTACCTCGTGTACAACCAACAGAAATTGCTCCTATGTATTTTAAATGGACTTGTCCATCTTTAAACCTGAACACATCCATTCATTATATTTAAGTATTTATTAATGGAATAGTGTAATGGCACTGGTGAGCCAGCTGATCTTAGCCTGCACTTGTAGCAGGGGTAGAATCTGTTGGCAAGTCTGGTTAATAGATGCTGTCCACTTAGAATAAGACAACATAAAAAGCCTTGAAACAATTTTTTATGCATGGGACATTGATATCCTCACTGTAGTGAAGCTATTTAGCTAGCAAATGGAATTTCAGTAGTTCTGCCTGATACTTATTTTATTTTTGCCTGAAAAAATGGCAGGGAGTATCTCGAGGGGGGGGGGGTTAATTAAATCATATCACAAGATAAACAATATTGGTGGCCATTTATTACATATATAGAAATGAATTTGCTATGTTATGTTTATAATGAAATACATGTGTAAGGGAGAGAACTGTTAAGATATTTGACCAGAATAGTTTCCATATGAACTATTTAATGTCACAATTGAATGTTACACGTCAATGTGATTTACTAACTGTGTTGCCAGTGAAAGGATTTTAAATGCTTGTAGCAACATTGAATGTATTTAAATAAAAAAAGACATTGGTAATGTATATATGACAGTATTAAGAAGAATGAGTAATAGATAAATATTGATCTGGTCTAGCATGACCAGATACTAATCAAAATGTATTCACTTTTCGCTGATTTAATGTAAGTTACTTCCCCTTACCTGTCGGATATAAATGCTCCTATATATATTAATGTAGCCACCCATTTACACCTTTTATGTATCACCCATTAACTGAATGCTGAGATTGGAACTGGAAAGTGTTGGCAAACGGGTCAAAGCCCTTGTTTGTATAGAAATTATAGTGTGATAGTGATACTGTTTATGTTTTATTTTAGTACAATTGGAGCCTGGCGATGATCCGGAGGTGGTTAGAGCAAAATATTTCATCAGAGATGAGTTTCTGGTATGCATTTTAAAAGTTACTGTTCTTTGTAGCATCATGCTAATTCATGTGGTGTTTGAGAAGTATTGAATTTTCAATGTAATATCTCTATATTTAGTAAAAACTGATTACTCACATTCTTGCACATTGCTTATTCTACAGTAAAAAAAAGATCTATGGTAATATATACTGTGAAATATACTGTGAAAGAAAATGAAAAAAAAAAGAATCAACTTGTTCTTTTTGAATTAGTTTTGAATTATTGTGATAATGTATTGTTATGAATTTCAGCGAATAAGCACGGCAAGCGGAGATGGTCGCCACTATTGCTACCCGCACTTTACTTGTGCTGTAGACACGGAGAACATACGGCGAGTGTTCAATGACTGCAGAGATATCATTCAGAGAATGCACCTTAGACAATACGAGTTACTGTGATGTTGTTATACCATCACAGTGTTAATCTGCCTCTCATTACTCCCAGTTTAGAATATAAAAAAAACCAACTGTGTGACAAACATAAGGGATGATGCATTTTGCTTTGTGTTAACATCTGTATAATGTATTACTAAAGGATATACAATGTTGTGTACTACTAACACACAAATGTGTAAATCCATCCACATGTATGCTGGATGGGACTATGGGAGGCAATCCATTGGAAAGAATTGTTCTTCATATCAGAAAACAGCAAATTTGTGCTTGAAGAGATGGCTTTAGCAACTTGGTTTGAAGACGTGGCTCCGATACAATCATCATTCTTTTTACGTGGAATTCATGGAAATAATTTACAAATGTTATGTTTGTATGTGCTAAATGACCACCCACGTAATGAAACGGCTTTCAAATGTATTGAAGGAAACACAAGGAGTGCTATATATTTTCTGGTGTTGATTTATATACATAGATATTAAAGAATGTAGCAGTCGTAAAGGTGATTTGAGAGGCATTTCATTCATATGAATCGAGTGAATCTATGTTATGATGAATTTGCTTTCTGCTGTTATGTATGCTGACTTGCTGGGGGTAATGACATAACCTGTGTTTTGTCACACAAAACATTATTATTTGTGATAGTTACTTTTTGTATAATGCTTGACTGGGTTCGTTGTGTGATTGTAACTTATTATTGTGTGGTGATATAAACGTTTACCAGTCACCATACCATGTGACACTCTTTTTAAAAAAAAATGGTATTTCAGAAAATTGATTTTCTTTTTTTTTTACGTCACTCATGAATTGTTTTGCAGTGTATAATGATGTTGTACTGAAACATGTTTCAACGCTGTCTTCAGTACATTTATACTGTAATAGATAAATAATCATTTTTCCTGACCGTCTGCAAAACAACAATATTTATCAACACATGCAGCGTGCATCGTTATTTTAACAAGTGTAGTTTTGTTTGTGCACTGTGGTAGCGACAAACTCCTTCCATAAGAAATGCCAAAAAATATATTAAAAAGAGATTAAGTGCTTATGCAGGTATCTTTATATTGATTAGTGACATTCAAACAAGTGGCCTTAGCTTGGTAGGGGGTCTGTATGTCTTGTATTGTTATATTGTTTCATAATTGGCTGTAGGGTGAAACATGTTTGCAAGTTCATAGATACAAACAAACTTTCTTCATTTAACATCAAGTAGTGCTTTATACGAAGACATCAGCAGATGTTGATGGTAGTTTTAAATTAATTGTTTCTTTTCTTCCTAAATGAGCGTGAATATGATTTCCTTTGAATTGGATGTTCAGATAATGCATGGGGAATATTGTCGCTGTAAATTTTGTAGATTTTAGGTAATATAAAACAGATGGAAATATGAGTTGTGGTAATTATAAATCATATACAAGATTTTTATAAGCAAATTAGTTTAAAATATGGTTTCAATAGCATTGAATAAATGTATATCCGTTCATTATGATAATTTGAACATGTTGTTAAAAGATAAAGGAAGAATGGTTGAGGGGGTGGGGGGAGTTGAGTTTAAGATGTCAGTGGAATGATATACAAGATGGTTGTAACTCATGGGTTTATATATGGGAACTGATGTTTGGGTGAAGGGAGGACCACTGTTGTAGCATGTTTCAGTATGACACATTGAAATTGTAGTAATAATTGCAAAACTACAAAGTGCTTACATATTGTTCTCATTAAGTGATGAATATAGTAGTTGTAAAATGCTTCAACATAACCATCATAATACCATGTTCTCTAGTTTCTGCACATTCTGGTTACAGCACTCGTGATGATTCTTCATACATTTTTAACTTCTGTTTAATTGTCATTTTTTCACTTGGACAACTCATATATTTATATAGGCTGGTATAAAGCTGAGAAAAAAGAAGTTTCAAAAAAATATCAAGTAACACATTCACTAACAATTGTTAAATTTTTAAGATTTTTGAAAATATCATGTTTTTTGTACAGATTATGTTCATTCATAAAATTTCCATGTTATGACTGAATTTACTTTTATTCCTTTTTTTATGTTTATGATTAGTTATAGGAATAGAAAATTTACCTTCCTTTAAAGAAGTTAAACTATACAAAATCAATTTTTCATCAAATTTCCAAGTTCTCTGTGACAATTAAGTATACATAAGAAAGAGAATCTTTTAAAAATTGGTAATTTTCTAAACTATTTGGAAGCATGAATTATTGAAAGTCGTCACTTTTGTTTATGTTTATTTATAGAAGCTTGTTGATGTTTTTAAGTTGGATCAAATTATACGAAATGATATTTTTTAACCTTTTACCAGGAAATACTGCATCAAAAGCTAATGCATGATGATAAAAACTGGGTCTGTGTGGATTTAACCTTACATAAACTGTCAATGGTAGCCTCAACTAAGGCTCCATGGGTAAACGTTTGCTAAGGGTTTTCATATCATTAGGTGTCACTTAGTCTAATTTATCATGTGGCAATATTGTTCGTTAAATAACAATGATTTAATAAGAAATGTTTTTTTTTTTTAAGTGACTTTTAAGCAAAATGCAGGATAACTGCTTCTTTGACAAGCCAATATTGGCTGTTTCTTGATTTATTACCTACATTCACAACTTGGCAAAATAACATGCAGTAATGATATTGGTTGTTTCAAAGATCATTTGATTACACAATAATACCAATTTAATTTAAACAAGAAAACAACTTTATTGATTTAATGTGGTTTTAGTGCATATTGCGCAAAGGTTCTGTTTTGTTCAAAAAAAAGAAATAGAATTCTGTGGAAAAGAAAATAGCAATGATCAGTCTTATTAAGTGCAATATTAAAGGACTTGAATAAAAAATTATGTTTATCCTGGAAATTAATACAAATGTACATGCAGATCTTGTAGCATTTGCTAAAATCTTTCTTTCACCATAACAGATACATGGAAGTATATGACCCAGCTGCCTGCAACAATGATTCCACCCTTAAACTAATGGCTTTCAATTGATAAACTTTACAAAGATGCTAAAATGTGTAATATATTTAAATTTGAGAAGAAAAAAAGGTTGAAATTTCAATTTTAAAGAGCAACAGTTAAGAAAATGATATATCAAGATGTAGAATTTTTGTTTTTGAAGGTAGCAGATTGTTCAGGTTTGTTCACATACATCATTTGGCTAAAATATGCTGCTTTGTAGAGAATGGTTTTAAGTTACTATTTATTTGTTTGTTTAAGTAAATAATTTTATCAGGTTGTTTATAATTCATGTTTTGTTTTCTACTGCTACTTTTGATAATTGGACTTTTCTATAATATATAGGAATCTTTGTTAATGCAATAGCATTTAGCATTGACAGTCATCTTAGGTCTCATTCATTGTTGCTATATTTTTTGTATACTCATAGTTTTCTATAAATTTGAAATTGTTCTTATATAAAGATGATGTGTAACAGAATTGTAGACAAGTCATGTATACACACAAACATTTTCCTGTCCTCTATTCACAGCTTTGGATATTTTTTGCCTGAACATAATCATGTGTAATGAAATATTTATTCTGTTAAAAATTTGAACTTAAAACTGCAGATTTTATATTTAATGAAGATTTAAACCTTCCGTGCAAACTAACAACAAATAAATAAAAGATATTGTAAAATATGGCCGGCCAATTTTGACAAGTGATTGTCAGTTTAGTGATACATTAGTTGAATTAGATTACGATAAGTAGTGTATATTAGAGAGGTTATTCTCTATCTCATTGTTGAATACATCATGCATACCCCAATACTCTATATAGATTGTGAATGCTTGTATACTCATTTCTCTACTTGTAACAAGGAGAGCTTGATATCAAACTATTCTATGTACCTGTAATGCATTTTTTTGTCAAGCTCTCAAAATTTAATTACTGGCAAAGTTATCTAGGGAATGCCAATTAGGTTGTCCAACCGACGAGATATGACCAAATTATGATAAAATCGGCTTAATAACCAAACAAAAACACAAAATTTAATGCGATTTGGGACTTTTTACAGTGAGATCTAGCAAGGTTTTCAATTACAATTTAATAGATCTTTTGTATATAGTAAATCAACATCATGATGTTAGAATAGTAATATCAACTGAAATACAAATTTTTTTTGACAAACATGTTAAATGTTGAATGAGGAAACATGGATTGATGATCGTAGAGCTCAAGCCCATGTTTACCAGGTTAACTGACTGACAAGCTAAACTAATGACAACCCCACTCTAGTGCTGTACTTAAAAGTAACCTGTACAAATGTTGACAATATTGCTTGCAGTTTAAAGAAGCTGATTTTTTAAGCATATCATCTTTCATTTTGTTATAGTAGTTGTCCTGAACTATTGTATGTATTAGGCTTAGATAGGAATGAATAGTAGGTTGTGACTGTATTTGTTAAGTACTTTTGATAAATTTCGTTTACATTTTGTGCTGAAAGTTGACTTTCTGTGTTTGTTAAAGTATATGTACAAATAATGAAGTATTTACACGGTGTATGTATCTTGAAATGTACTATATTTAATATGATTGTTAATGCTAGCAGGCACCTGCATTACATTTGAAGACATGTTTATGTTTGACAGGTTTGTATGTGTAATTGTTATAGTATATTGGGTTTAACCCTTAACCTGCTGACATTTCTTAAATGGACTTGTCCAGGACCATTAATGGAACTGTCCATTATCATTTTTGAGGGTGACAGGATGAAAATTTGAAGTTAGTCAGTGCACTGTGTAGAGCCTGGTCAGACTGTATGAATGTACAGATTGGCTTGGCTGTGTACTGGTGACAAAGACTAATGACTGTAGGCACCAGCAGGTTAAGGTTTAATACTGTCTTATCTGGCTGCTTCTGTTATACCAAGTTATTATATCCAGCATACTTCACAACTATCTCTCATACTTTGGTCTACATAATTATTACCTTAATGTTCAAATAAAGGATGAATAAATGTCAGAAATTCCAGTTTTAAAGTAACATCTTTTGTATGATACATTTCACAGATGATAAATCTTGACCATTTTATAGATACTTGTCAAATTTATTTTAAATAATTAAGATATGAAATTCATTGATAATTTGAGTCATGCATAAAACTTTTACCTGAAATGTTACAGAGGGATATTTTGTTTATTTTAAAATAAGTATATATTTTACACATTAAAAGAAGAGAAAAAAAGCAAGATTGTGTTAGTGATATCACAAAAAAACTGAATTAAAATACATCTAGAATTTAACTTGAATATGCATTTACTGATGGCACTTGTTTTATATCAAATGTTGTTTGCTTGCTGTTTTCTTTCTATGAAATATAGTAATTAACACATTTAAACAGTGTAATTTGATATTTTACGTAGCTTGGCCTATTCTTTCTTATAAAATTTGAATAACTAATCTACAAATAATTCAGTATAAAATTGCTGGAATTGATAAGGGATATTGGCAGGTTTCCTTCTAAGAATTAAACAAATCATGAAAAACTATAATTTCTTGTCTAATTTCACACATGTTGCATGTGTGACCTGTTGTCAAGTAAGTGTCTTACAATTATTTTGCTTTTTTTAAATCCCAACTACTTATTAGCAAGGCAATAAATGAACTCCTGTTTAAACATTGTTTAAGTCTTGTACAGTTATATACAGTCTAACACAGATATTTTACATGTTCAGGATTGTCTACCCTGAAACAATTTTATTATGGAATATTTGTTAATCTTTAATACATATTTTGATAAAATCATTTAGAAAATATTTGAAAGTTTCTTATATCTTGTGACATAATTCTCATTGTTAATTTTAATTTTTTTGTCAAGAAATGGCTGGACAGATTTCAAGATAGTTTTACAAGTGTATAGTTGATGTATTTTATGACTGTAAGGACTAGAGGCTGAGAGAAATGGCAATGTACCAAGATAAGATCATCAGATAAGTTTGTCGTGTTTTGATTGTAACATCACATAAGGTCATATCTCAACATTTAAGGGATAGGAAGTAGGACACATTGGTTTTCTTGTCACTTCATATGCAACAGTATAGGAAGTTTCTCGACGTCATAACAACAATACCATATCAAGTCACTGGCAATAAAAACACTGAATATTAAGAAGTTTTCTGATAAACCATTTGAGATAGTGCGGGGACTACTATGGAACAATATGATTGTGTTATTAAGTTGTAAAAATGTTAATTAAGGCTTTATTAGGCATGTTGTTTCATTATGATTCAACAATTATGAATACAAACTTACATGTGACTTATCAAGTGATAATCTGCTAGTGATCATCTCATAGGCTTTATTATGTAGACTTATTCATCTACTCATTATATAGTGTTTATTGTACTGGCTCTAACACAGATTTCAATGGTTATCACATGGTAAGTCCGTGTGGACACATTGTTTTTTTTATGTTGTTCATTTTATAGTTATGTTAAAATTTGTGCTAGGCTCTGAGACTCTCTGTTTTGAAACACTTTAACATCTTGTAACATTATTGTGTAACTCAATGTCCTCATGGAAGTCATCATCTATTTTGTTTTATAATTGTGATAATTGTTATGAATACTGTATGAATATCTTCACTGGTCAGCTGGTTTTAGGCTGACCGTAGAGCTATCAATGTTAACACCCATGTTGTTGGTTTGCAATGCTGATAATAACAACAATAACTTGGTGTTTTTATATTGAACATACATTCTAGCAAAGTTGAATATTTAAGTATTGATTTATTGGAAACAAAGTCTACTTAAAGGTGTTTTTTTTTTGTTATACAGCAATATAGAAATACAGAATATACATGAATGTGGTGTTAGTGGAATTATGTAATATCTGATGTATTCAAAACACCAGTTTCTTTTTAAATCAGATTTTATTTATCTTTAAACTCATTCGCACCAACTCGTTTTATATTGAGGAAAGTTAAAAGTAGATCTACTTGAACAAATAAATGATTGTTAAGGTTATATATTATGCTGTTAAACTGTTAACTTGTAGCAAATTGTACATTTAGTTTTTAAGCCTGAAGGTTATGTTAAAATCCTTCGATATTAACCAACAGATTTTTTGAAATAGTAATACATGTGTTTTACTTCAATGAATGTGCGCAGTACATTTAGACTGTATAAAAGTTTGAATTGTAGGATTTGAGAAGAATTTGATCAGTACATGATTGTACATATCAACTGGTAAACTGTCTTATATCAAAGTTCTATCATTCGTTCTTAGTTCTTATTATATTGAATTAGTCGGACGTTATTTTATCCTATGGATCATGTGACTTGTATCTACATTGTTATAAATTAAATTTTACTCAGACACAAAAACACTAATTCATTTGTTTTCTTTAATAATGAAACAATTTACATATTTGTTGAAATATCTTTTTGGGGTATAGTTATGATGTAAAGTAATAATGTATAATAATATATGATTTTAAATGTTATAGGTGTTTTGATACAAATTATCAGGAAAAGAAACAACACAGAAGTGTTCGATTCATAATGAAAAAAATAAATATAAACCCTTGCCATGCTAAATATCTGAAATGGAATTGTCCATTTTTTAATAAAAAAAACATTGGGTCACTTTTAAGGAAATTTTCAATATTATTACTGATTTAATAGCAAACATTGCAGGCCATGATCAGTTGGCCCTGCAGTGCTGGCAGATGTTGGTCTGCAGTGGTTGTATGGGTAGAATCTGTTCCCACCAGCAGACTAAAGGTTTTAAATATAGACTGGTATCTTATTAATTAATTACATGGCAACCATTCTAGTAATTTGCTTATATATATCAATTAAAAGATTAGCTCGCTGTAATTTTTACACTGTTTTTGCGTGATTAAGAGTTTTTTTTATGAATATATATATAAGTTGAGAACTGCTATACAGGTAAATGTACAGTGATAGTTATTTTGTGACTATGTTTACTCAATAAAGCATTGCTGATACGTATACAAATTATACATGATGAGTAGTGTTGTGTGCAGTTATAATCATACAGCTTGTAGCACAAATATGTCTTAGCTAATATTGTTGAACTATGTGTATGATATACATATATAATATTTCTTTGTTAACTTCTCAAATATTTTACATGAAACATACAATAAATATACCAAACAAAATTTCAGTGTCAGAACTTAAATATCTGTAGTTGTATTTTTGAAATAACAAAACTGATGCATAAAGATAAAAAACGTCTTCACAGTTTAAAAGTAAAAAAAGACAAACTAAACTTGACAACTATATATATAGTTCATTAAAGTCAATATTAACATTTTAACATTCAGTAAGAGATCACTTATCATGTTGAAACTAGGGATGATATTTATTATTAGGGAAATTTAAAACTTACAAGAAAATTTAAGGCATTTTGTATTTTATATTATAGTATTCTTTTAATGAAGTAGATTGTTTTAACAAGACATTGTAATAGTTTTATATAGAATTTTATGGATACATACACACAGTTGAACATTGGGTGTTTTTGTATATGTGATGAGGAGTTAGCATTGATGTTGATTATATTATTTTATCAATGCTGATGTGAAGTGTATATACACAGCAGATTCTGTTGGGTATATATATCAGATTTTTTATGAAGAAATATGTAATAAAATATTAGTAGGAACTATGTGTTGTTTAATACAAATCCGTCCAGTTTTAATATTTTCAAATTGTTCGAATTCATATGTTCGATACTATACCATCATACATGCACATGTCCTAAATTCCATTATTGAAAAGAAATGTGTTTACCTTTTTCTTTCAGGGTCATTTAATGTTTCACTTGATATATACAGTTCCCCTAAATTCTGTATGAATATTCTTCTAGAATGCATTAAGCATAATTTCCTTTAAAACAACTCATAGCAACAACTTGATCTCCAACTTGGAAGCTTTGGGTCTTAGTAGTCGGATATTTAGTTATACCAATATATGGTGACTTTTCAAGCTTTACTAGTGGTGAAGTAGACCATGGGTGCTTCTAGGTGCATATGTGGCTAGTGAATAGAACCACCAACTTTCTGTAAGACAGATGTATGGCATTCTCATGAAAATTCAACGTCCTAAAGACAAATTATCACGTCACTTTCATCTGCCTTTCATGCTGTAGTTTCTCAAATCTTTCATAGTAACATAAAGAAACTTATACTTCCTAACAGGACAAAAAACAAAACAATACTATTTTGTTGAAGCAGAATATTTATTACTTTATAAACATAACTACCTACATATTATTACACACAATGGCAAGATAAACTTATAAGCATTTACATTATGGAATTATAATTGAGCACAGTGGTATACATACAGGTTAAATAGACAGAAATGCTGTCGTTAGATGTGACAGCTATGATGGCTCTTAGTTCTTCACCAATTTTTCTGTTCTAAAAGTTATAAATGGCATTAATTTTGCAAAAACACATCGACTTTTAAGATGTATTTGATTGGACTAACAGAATCTCATATGTATAGTATATATTTTAACATGCCATTATTAAGGTTGTGGCAAATACCATGAACATTCCAAGTTTTATAAATTACAAAGGAAAAAACATTAAAAGCACTATTTAAGTTATTCCTGCTGAGTATATCAAAACATTTTTGCTTTGAACTTAATTTCGTGAAAATCCACCAAAATGATGTCTGAAATTTTATATAAAATAACTAAAAGAATGTTACAATATATCAAATGTTGCTAATCTTGTTAAAATTTAGTATTAAGTTTATGTACCATTTAAACCATGCCTTAATTCTAACATTGGCATATGCTGTTTGTGAGGGAACAGGGGTGAAAATCATCTACATTTGATGCAAGTTCTAAAAGTTGATTCAAAACAAGACATTATTTCAACGTTAATTTTATTATTGGTGAATAATTACCATCCTAGTCTAAATATCTCCTGCTGAACTAAATAGTTAGTTTATACCCATGTAGTTCATACTGCTGAACTAAACATAAAGGGGCAGTGGGATGGATGAATACTCTGCAATGTGAAACAAACATTTTTATATAAAATACGTATAAACATACAATATTTTCTATAAAATACAACACCTTGAGATATAATCATTACACACAAGTAGAGTACTAACATGTACATGGATATATATGTTACACATTTTTAATAGTTTATATTTTTCTCAAGATAAATACCAAAGGTTTCCTCATGCAATTTATCTAAAGCAATTTGGATAAAAAAAAATATCAATATTGGAGAATTTAAGATAATTTCATTGCAGATTTTCTTTATTAATATATTTAAGCAAATAAGCTGGCCACTGTTTTCTTTTATCATTGCATTACTTCCTTGGTTATTTGTTTTGCTGACAAAATTGAAATTATACTGGTAAAGTGGCAAATAGCGACTAACTTCCTTTAATTTTCATTTAACTTAATTATGAATCAGAGCTTTTTAAACAGAAATTACACATTACAGACATATCACTACATTAAAAGTCAATCAGATGAAAATTAAATAAGAAATTCATAATTCTATTAAAAGCACCAACACCTTACAAAATTTTACCCTATGTGCTCTATAATAGAAAAAATTGGATTCAGAACAGTTATAAAATCAACAGGGACTAGTTACTATATGTGAGTATATAAAGATATGATAAAAGAAAACTTCACATAAACTTCACAACAATTACACACAAAAATATTGCACTAAGTCCAAAGCATTTAGACACAATTATACATTACAACACAAATGCACCAAAAATCAACAGGTCGATGGACAGTGGATGTATTATAAAAAGTTCCTAATTGTCCAGATCTCAGAAAAAGAAAACGGCAACAAAATTTATAACTAAAACCAAAATCAGAAGTTGTTATAATAAATACCCATCACCTTAGACTCATTTTAATCAAATAATAATACGATTCAACTATCAGGGTTGTTTCTTGTAATGTTTACTACTGCATACCTTAGTTTTCACTTGTTAAGGGACAGGGTCACTAACCTAAAAACCCTGAAACAATAATTTCTATGAAGCACGCACAGATAGACAAAAGCCATTACTTGAAAGTCTAATTCATAGTTTATGAGTATAAATGCAAATCAGAACCTCCCATCATTGCAGGGTTTATATTAGAAAATGAGCAGTGGTTTTACTTTTAATGTCAGTCAATGTAGAGGATGTTTTGCACTAAAATAACTCTGGCTAGCTCAAGAGAACCATCTGGGATTTTACCAGAAATTATTGTCCACACACTGGACAGATTTTTTCACAAAGTTTAAGTCCCCACTACTCTCTGTTTGGGTGTTTCTATGTGATTGCTGAGGAGGGGTCAAAAGCTTGAAATGACCAATACATAACCATCAGGTCAAAAGCCATTTTTATTCTACTGTCTTTATAAGAAGAGACCATAATGCAAAAAGCTATTTCAAGATTAGTACAAGAATATGTTATGTAACCATAATGCCAAAAGCCACTTTTACAGTAGTACATGAATGAATTATGTTTAATAATTATAAAATTATGAGCCGTAACCATTTCAAGTGTGAATGTCATAATAAAGCGCAGCTTTTGACTATCTTAACAAGAAGGACATCAAAATCTTCCCTTATTCACAGGGAACAAGCTGATTTACAGAATGTGCAAATACCCTAAAATGGAGCAGCCATTCATTCCTTGACGGGATTCAAAAAAAAAATTTAAAAAAATGAAAAAATAAAATTAAATGATACAACATAATACAACATAACACAGAGATATGCTACTGGCATGGTATAAATACATGTTTACATGCAAACTTTTACACATAAGTCATGATTTCTTAATCACTGGTTAAAGTGGTTTTCGGGTAAGGCACCTGTTTTCAACAGTTTTGTTGTTAGGGGTTTAGCCAAACAGATATATGTGAGTCTGGAATGTTATCTGTTACTGATATTACTTTCAGTCATTTATCATGTCTGAAGTAAATACATGTACGACATGTTTAATAGATTTGGTCGATTTTTCAAATCCTGAAAATCCTTATTCTTCACATCTCTATCACTTGTCATTCCTGTTTCGATTTTGTAAATCTTATCATAGTTTCTGTTGATCTATATAAAAATAGTAATTTAGAGAACAGTTGTTCTTCCAGGTAATATTCGCCACATTCTCTCGCTAAATAGAGATTCAAACACAAGTGTAATATACGATCTACGTCCGGTATTTCCTGAAACATGATCTCCTGGGAACCGCCCGTGAAGAAAACGCGCACTAACCGGCCTACCACCAACACCAGCGATATATATAAACCAATGATACTGCAAGTAAAACAAGAAGCACAAAGCATAATGTATATATCATATACAATTATTGTATACAATATTTACAAAATAAATGCAGTAAAGCACTACAAAATCATAAATATTAGGGACCCTGTCTTATAAAAAACTATTTCCTTTTTCCATTTATACAATTGCTCTTTCCAGAAATAATATATATAATGGGCCATATACATACATTTCATGATATAAAATAATGTCAGAATTGTACAATTAATTCTTAAGAAATTTTAACAATTTATACAAACATTTTTTTTTATTTTACAATGCATAAATCTTTTTAGGAGTAACCCAAGATTAATTTATTCACCAATGATAATTTATAGTCTTTCTATTGGATAAAATTGTCAAGTGCAACATGAGTAAATTAAATTCAAATATTTGAGGGACATGACTTGTATAGATTTTATTTTTACCTAAAGCATTACAAACTTTATGGTCACATGCATTATCTTCAACAATGTTCAAAGAGAAATCAAAAAAATATAAATGCATAAAAAGTTCATGTCAATAATTAAAGTTATAACAGTAGTAGCCTTACCAGCATTCAAGAATATAAAACAAAAATAAAATATCAGTGTCATGACCATGCTAACAAAATATACTTATAAGTACTCCATAATGCATAAACTAATAAATACATCATTTATTTGAAAAACATATGGTCATCATAAATTGCAACAAAAATTATTTCCCTATTGATACATAAATGGGTTTTATTTAGCATGAAATAATCATTTATGAAATAGAAACCAATAAATAAATCTAAAATTGTCAACTAAAATGCTATGCTTATGTTAGTTCTTATTAACATGGAATTTTAAACTTACATTATTGACCATTATATCATAAAATCTGGAGAAAAAAAAATGTAACAAGAAAAGCATAATATTGCCTCTGGTGAAATATATATAAATGTCTTGGATATTTCTTTCATTTGTTTCATGATTGCCAAAAAAAAAACAACATTAAAACAAAGTACAGATATATAATGCAATAAACAAGAAATCTTTAGTAATAACAGCAAATCTATTAAAAGAATGGAGAGAAAAAATAAGATCTTTCAGCAATTAGCATCATTCAAATAAATAAAATATTCACAGACTCCAGTACTATAGAATTATAGACTGAATAATCTTAACTATAAAATCTGTAAAAATAGCACCCATTAACTGTACCCACCTCAAAATGAGGGAAAGAAATATTCACAAACAGAAAATCATATCCATGTTAGTTCTTTTTTTTAAATCTAAACAAATACCTCTATAGAGATAAAATAATAACACACAAATTAAATTCATTTACTTTTTCACAATGTCTGATGGGCAAACAAATTCTACCCCAACATAAAACACTGTTCCAGTATTTTGTTTTATTTTAAGTTTTGCATAACATAGCTGAAGTTTTTTCATTCAAATGATAATTTGCAAAAAATGCAGTAACAGAATTATTTCTTTAACTCTTGACAAAAATATTGGAACGTTGCAGCAGTTTGTAAATTATTAAAAGCAATTCAGAATGGTCACAATAAAGACCGACCTTAGCAAATGGTGATCTGCACATGAGCTTATCATTAAAGAAAGTGTGAACACAATATAAACAGAGAACAAAATATTACGGAATGCAAGGTCAAGATAAGCAAGACCGGATATAAAGTTAACAAACAATCCATTGAACACTTTTGTCAGATAAAAATAAATATTTTGAATACATTTATATATCAGACTTATAGTCTATATAGAACAATCTACAACAAAAAATTGCAGATAAACAGATACAAGACAATTTGATGAGTATTATTTCCAAAACACACACACACAATAAAGTAACAATCTGAATCATTACCTTACAAGTAGAAATAAGCCTTCATAACCAACCCTGTTTTGTTTCAATTTTCCATGAGAAAAAAATTTGTTTTCAATATCTCCATGAGTTACAACTGATGCACTGTTTTTACACAACAGACAACATACTCGCACATAATGATCTGTGCTTTACATTGTACTTGTTATGTCCTGATAGAACTGATCACAATGTTAAATGCAGTACACATATTTAACAATATCAATGTGAAATCTTGATGTGACTTTAAAATATAAAAAAATCTTAACAAGTCCTATACAGAGATATGTGTGTGAAATGTCTGTTTAAAAGACAACATCAACATTTTTTAAATTGCCATTTGAACTTTAAAGTTTGAGATCCTAAGAACGAAAGAAAAAAGAAGTAGATCATTAAACTTACTGCTAAATGCAACATAAATGTTCATATAGCTCTTACAGATCCTTAAAAAAATAACCAGGTAGCGGTAAGTTATATCACTAGTATTCCAATACATCCTATTGTAAAAATGAAGTTCATCATCAATGTATTTTACATTGCAGAGTTGTACTTTAGTGTGAAAATCTTCAAGCCAAAGAGATATACAAACTTCCTACATGTATATAAGTTATAATATTTTCTAAACTATTTTGATCTTACATATAACATTTTATAAGCAATATTTAAAACGTTACATATATATAGTATTAATTGTCTTAAAGATTTTTCTTAGTCTCTTCAACATCCGCTCTATGTAGTCGTGTCCATTTGATACGTGTTTCCGCAGATCTATACACAAAGATAAGTTTTGCATATAGATCTTCCTCCAGTCTGAACTCCTGCATCTCTCGCACCAGATATAGATCCAAGCAGAGCCGCATGATGTTATCTACATTTGGTAACTCTCGGAACGATATGGTCGCTGCCATCCCTGTTGTGCTCAATCTCAGCATTCTTCCAATCAATAAAATGAACGTTACATACAGTCCAATGATTCTGAAATTATCACATATCAAAAATGGAAAATACAGTCTAATGAGTCTGAAATTATCACATATCAACAAAACTTAAAGTCCTCCGAAAACATTGTCCAAAGATTCAATGTAAGAAACATGGCTTTCACAATGTACATTTGAAAATCCCACAAGAGCAATGAGAACAAAGTTCAAAAGGTTACAGCTGCCGATTACGATTCATTGTATGTTCATTAGAGATAATGTTAGGTGCAATATTTCTCATGCCCTCTAGGATCAGCTTGAGCAGTAACTTAAAATAAGCCTCGCATAAAATCAAACAAATAAGCCTTAAATAAAATAAAACAAACAAGCCTGAAATAAAATGTCACAGACACACCTCACAAATCAAACTAACAATTTGAAAGTATCCTTACATAATGTAACCATCAGGTATGTGCCATAAACCTCATATAAACTTTAACAATTACAACAGACAAGCCTGATATAAAATACTACAAAGCAGCCTTGAAGCTGTGACAAAGGCTTCACAAAAATTTCAACAAACCAGCCTAATAATAAATGAAACAAAGAAGTTCACAGAAATTCAAAATCAAACCAGCCTCACTATATAAAAGGGAAAAAATACCCAAACAATGATGCCCTGCAACAAAGCAAGTGCCATATATCAGAAAAGCAGAAAATGTGACTTGCATCACATGAAATGCAACAAACAGGTCTCATATAAGGTGTAACAAAGAGACCATACAAACACTTGTTACAAACAGGCTCACAAAATAAAAAAGCATAGGAACAATTGAAAGTCCAGAGACACTGCCACACAACACAGTCTATACATTATGTAATTCTTCTGTTGGTAGCTCAAGTTGTGTATTTTTATATTGAAACCCCTTAAAATTTAGAAATTTATTGTAGCTGCGTATATAGAATATAGTATTATTATTAGAGCTAGAAAGAGTACAATATGATTACAAGTTCTTTCTATGTTTTAGCATTAGACTAAATAAATAATACAAACAATGCAAAAACAAGAGCACCACTAGGCGGAGCATTATATGCCCAAAAGTGCTTTTTTTTTTTTTTTAGTAAAGATGAAGCATTTGTAAGACATTGGAATTAAATAAAGTATTACCACCTTTCAAATAACAATCCTCCTATGAAGTTTGAATATTGTGGTCCAAATGGAACTTAAGTTATGCCCCAGAAACTGTTTTCAGTTTTAAGGTAATAGTGACCTTGACCTTGTGACCCCAAAATCAATTGGGGTCTTTTACCTAATATGGACAATCATCCTATGAAATTTGAATATTGTGGGCCTAATGGAACTTAAGTTATGCTCAAGAAACTGTTTTCAATATCAAAGTAATAGTGACCTTGACCTATGACCTTGTGACCCCAAAATCAATAGTGGTCTTCTACCCAATATGGACAATCATCCTATGAAGTTTGAACACTGTGGGCCAAATGGGACTGAAGTTATGCTCCGGAAACTGTTTTCAGTTTTAAGGTCATATTGACCTTGACCTTTGACCTTGTGACCCCAAAATCAATAGGGGTATTCTACCCAATATGGACAATCATCCTATGAAGTTTGAATATTGTGGGCCAAATGGAACTTAAGTTATGCTCCGGAAACCAAATTGCTAATGGACGGACGAACGGAAGGACACCAGGGGGTATAACATAATACTAGTATGCCCGAAATTCTTTTGGGCATATCATAAAATGACAGCTGTACAATATATATATGTCATTAGGATACACTTAGCATAATAAATACATGTAAATCAATATGCCATTGCAAATAATAATAAATCAAATGCAAAATAATCAACAGCTTAATGCTAAGCCAGCTGGCAGCAACAGATTGCACCCACTAAGCCAGTGTCCACCAAGATCAGCCAGCACATCCATGCACCAGTCTGATCATGGTCTACACTGTTCGCTATTCAGTCAAGCTTTCCCTGAAAATGATGAATGGTTTCATCCACAATTATAGATGATCAAGTACATTTAACATAATAGCATTACAAAGGTTAAAAGTATAAAGAAAAGCTGCAAATTATATCAAGTACTGAAGCTACAATAATAGCTGTGCAAAGCTTAATGCAAGCCGCATGGTACATGTGTGTGTTCAAAATAAAATAAAAAGCAATCTCAGTTACATTTCTAATTATTTTAATGAAAAATTTTGCACTTATGTACATATTATTTCAAAATATAGTAGTTAAAATGACATTTGTAGGTTATGAGAGAACGGGAATATCAAAATGTATGCATACATGAACTTTATCAGAATAAAAAAAACTTCAATATATGAACTTAAGAAAACAAAAACCTGAATAATTGTCAATATTCCTAACATTTATTTGTTTGAATTATAAGTTTTGATGAATCACAGTCAAAGATTCATTTGTAAATGCTGGGCTTATTTTTTTTTCTATTCTTTCATGAAAATATCAATCTGAGGACATTTATTCTTTCATATAAATATCAATCTGAGGACATATATTCTTTCATGAAGATATCAATCTGAAGACATTTATTCTTTCATGAAAATATCAATCTGAGGACATTTATTCTTTCATATAAATATCAATCTGAGGACATATATTCTTTCATGAAAATATCAAATTGAGGACATTTATTCTTTTATATAAATATCAATCTGAGGACATATATTCTTTCATGAAGACATTTATTCTTTCATGAAAATATCAATCTGAGGACATTTATTCTTTCATATAAATATCAATCTGAGGACATTTATTCTTTCATGAAAATATCAATCTGAGGACATTTATTCTTTCATGAAAAATATCAATCTGAGGACATTTATTCTTTCATGAAAATATCAATCTGAGGACATATATTCTTTCATGAAAATATCAATCTGAGGACATTTATTCTTTCATGAAAATATCAATCTGAGGACATATATTCTTTCATGAAAATATCAATCTGAGGACATTTATTCTTTCATAAAAATATCAATCTGAAGACATTTATTCTTTCGATGAAAATATCAATCTTGATATTTATTCTTCCATGAACATATCAATCTGAGGACATTTATTCTTTGATGAAAATATCAATCTGAGGACATTTATTCTTTGATGAAAACATCAATCTGAGGACATTTATTTTTTGATGAAAATATCAATCTGATGACATTTATTATCCCATGAAAATATTAATCTGAGGACATATAATCTTTCATGAAAATATCAATCTGAGGACATATATTCTTTCGTGAAAATACCAATCTGAGGACATTTATTATCCCATGAAAATATTAATCTGAGGACATATAATCTTTCATGAAAATATCAATCTGATGACATTTATTCTTTCGTGAAAATATCAATCTGAGGACATTTATTCTTTCGTGAAAATATCAATCTGAGGACATATAATCTTTCATGAAAATATCAATCTGAGGACATATAATCTTTCATGAAAATATCAATCTGATGACATTTATTCTTTGATGAAAATATCAATCTTGATATTTATTCTTCCATGAACATATCAATCTGAGGACATTTATTCTTTGATGAAAATATCAATCTGAGGACATTTATTCTTTGATGAAAACATCAATCTGAGGACATTTATTTTTTGATGAAAATATCAATCTGATGACTTTTATTCTTTCATGAAAATATCAATCGTAGGACATTTATTCTTTCATGAAAATATCAATCTGAGGACATTTATTCTTTCATGAAAATACCAATCTGAGGACATTTATTATCCCATGAAAATATTAATCTGAGGACATTTACTCTTTCATGAAAATATCAATCTGGAGACATTTATTCTTTCATGAAAATATCAATCTGAGGACATTTATTCTTTCATGAAAATATCAATCTGAGGACATATATTCTTTCATGAAAATATCAATCTGAGGCTAGATAGCTTCATAACATGGAAGATTTTAAAGAACTTTGTGGATTTGTGTTGGTAGTAGTGAGAGATCAGTCTAGAAAAAAGAAATTTAGAATCAAAATACTAAAATTGAGTAGCCAACAGTACAGAACTTGTCAGCAGACTGGTCTGGTTCTATACTGGTAGTATAAGTCAATTTTTACATTTTTCCTGATAGTAATTGCACAGTTAATGTGTTTTACAAAGGAAAATACAACAGTAGTTAACATACTAGTCTAAAACAATTAATTCAGGGAGAACACATTGACAAACTTTGATACAAGTATAATACCTGTAGCATATTGATGGATTACTAATAATACAAGACATGTTATCTATATAAGGGTACATATGCTAACTCAACTACAGACTAAATGTGCATGTAGCTACTTTAAACTAAGCAATGCTATATACAATATATATATGATCTATACAGGATATATTGTCTGTTTCAGTTCATAATCCTTTCTTTGTTTAGTCAAGTGACATAAATGTTGGTGTTTTTTTGTCAAAATCCCACAAGGTATAAATAAAAGTTTAAGAGAGCTCATAAGATGAAACAAAAGAAGGATTATTCAACAAAACTAACAATTTCTTTTATCTTATGCACTAATTTGCATTGTTAACATTCAAACCTGTAAAAAATCTCAATTTTGTCACCCAAATGAGGCAAATAATGAATTTTTATTTTAACATGCAACAGCAGCATACATTTTAGCTGTATCTTTCAAAATTCTATACTTTACTGTCTAAAAACAATCTCAAATGATTTGTAAGTTCCAACTATTTTCTTTTATAAGAATTTCACTAATTTGCATAAGATAAGATGCACAATATAAATAGATATACATGTATAAAATGCATTAAAAAAACTGCTGTGACCATAAAAAGAACATGCATGAAAGCCCGCAAGTAAAATAATATGCGAAAATAATAAAATAAAATAAAGTAACAGCAAAATAAAACAAAATCAATAATCAAGTTGATATATTGAGTACATGCTCAAACATAAACTTTATCTGCTTCATTACATTATTCCTAGTTCAACATAAAAAATTATATTTTTGGGTAAAAAAATAAAAAATACTTTACTTCTATAATTATGATACATGTTTTTGTAAAAACATATGTTTAAGACACATGTAAAATAATCAACATTTTCACTGAAAACTATAATTTGTTTGTGGTCGAAAATTGATACATTGCAAATAAAAAAAGTAAAAAAAAAGTGTTACATACATGTATCAAGAAAAGGTTTCATTATTGTATTTTAATATAAAAGTTGTGTGTTTTTTTCATTCAAACAAAACATTATATTAAAACATAGTGTATAGAATAATTTGTGTATATGACTTATCATACATACCCGTAACCTGTGATGGCTGAAATTCCAGCCGGTGCTACACGCTCGTTGAACGTTATAAAGGTAAGTTTATTGTCCTTATGGCCAGGACCCAAGTCTTTAATAATCCACCATGATGCCTCCTGACTGGAATTACCACTTGTAGATTCCAGAAATATATCAACATCAGTATAGCCATTCTTTGGAGCTGAAATAAATTTATGTTTCCAATGCTTATCAAAGGTGTAGTAGACATGTTGAAATTATCTCTTTAAGGCAGTCATACACTTAGCTATATAACACTTTAAGTACAATTCTGAAATTTAATCAGATTATTTTATAGTAATATACAGAATTAATTTTAATTGCAGTGTGTAGGAAGCAATAAGCTTATAGACACACTCTCGAATCCGATCCTGGAACCAATCAGTGCTAAGCAATAAGTGTAAAGTTTCTTGCTCAAGAAAACAACATCTTGCCCTAAACAAGGTTTAAACCCAGCAGCCAGCAATCCTTAAATTGATTACTTTTCCAACTCATTAAATAATATGGCTGCCTTTCCCTTGCAATTTACAATACTCTTGTATAATCACATACAGATAACAGACAAACTTTGTGTAATAAACAAAACATTTGATAGTTTCAAATAAACAAGAGTGCCAAAATGGCCCTAGATCGCTCACCTGACCCATCGAACTCATCCAAACAATTACCTAGACAAGCATCCTGACCAAGTTTGATGATAATTGAGTCAAAAATGTGACCACTAGAGTGTTAACAAGGTTTTTCCATATTTGGGCAGTGTGACCTAGTTTTTGACCCCAGGTGACCCATATTCGAACTTGACCTAGAAATCATCAAAACAAACTTTCAGGCCAATTTTCAGGATATTTGGATCAAAACAGTAGCCACTAGAGTGTGAACAAAGTTTTTCTATTTTTAACTCCTGTGACCTAGTTTTTCATCCGAGATGACCCATGTTCAAACTCATCCGAGCTATTACCTAGAGAAGGATCCTGACAAAGTTTGATGATGATTGAGGCAAAAATGTGACCACTAGAGTGTTAATGAACAAGTGTGGACAGACAACGGATGACAGACATTCAACGATCCTAAAAACTCACCCTGATCTTGCTCAGGTGAGCTAAAAATTTAAAAGTGTTACATACGTGTACCAAGAAGTGGTTTTATTTCTGTAGCTGCCTTATTTGCCAATCTTATATACTCCGGAAAAGTCTTCGCTATCTTACTGAAAGCATGAAAAGAACAACTCCAGTACACTAATAGTCATGCATTCATAAATTAGTTAAAAGTAGCAACTATGAAGGTCCCGTAACACAGTTAAACTGAAAATATTGCAGGTTCAGTTTGAATAAGTCTGTTCATGGACAGCAGAACTAAATGCCATTCAATTTAATAAATCTTTTAATATTGTAAAATTTTCATGATATTTTGGTGATTTTATAAGTGAGATGACTCAATGTAACTCTTCCTTAACTGATCAATAAACAGTAGAAGACTAGAGGGCACCTTTTTTGTGCATTAACCTTTGAAGAAGCACAAGGACATATTTAAAGCCCAAGCTCGCAATCCAAGCAGTCCACTGGTTTCTGCAGATGTTTTACCACACAAAAAAAGTGTTACCGGTATCTCTATTCTTGCATAAAAGCATACATAGAAATTGGTTATTCTGTTTTTTGTTACCTGTATTTCGTATAAAGAAACCTTTGCTTGTGCCATGTTTTCCACATGCTAGTGTGACGTCAGTAATGTTTTGATAATAAAACAAGCAGGGCTGTCACTAAAAGTGTGTGTTATTATGCAATAAAATCACAGTTGAAGTTCTATATTTAGACATGTGACGTAACCACTAAAAATGCAATGCGCTGAAAATAAGTACTGAAACAAATCAGGCGGTATTTAGCTTCATATCAGGTACGGCAGCATTTATTTGTTGATATTGCGTTAGACTCAAAATAATATATCCAAATTATCATTAGGATGCGCATCATTATATCACTCTGATATGCCCTTATGATATAATTCCTAGCATCCAAACTCCAAATAGTGATTTTATTTAGCTATAAAATCACTGTTTGGGATATATTATTTCTTAATTATATAAAACAAATATAGAGTAAAGAGTAAAGACATACACAAAATTTGTAATATTTTTGTTGATCATTTCAGCTGTCAAGGTCTTCTCATCCTTTGATAATTCTGTCCGGTACTGTATTGTCAATGTTTCCCCAGCCTGAGTGTTTGGTGGCCTGAAACATAATTATTTAAAGTTCAGTTAAAACAAAACTTTACCAAAGTTACCTATGCACAAAAATGTGTTTGATCATTTGATATGCTTTTGAAGGAAATGTCTGTCCCTAAAGTGTTGACAAAGGCAAGTATTAATTGCTATTAGATTGTTTCTTTTTCCTGAAAAATTAAATGATTCTTTCCTTTAAAGGTTATATAATGGTTTGTTTGTTTTTTTTTGTTTAATTTTATTACCACAAACACTGTAAAAATTATATATAGCATTACTGATTGAGGAAGACCTCAAATGTCTTTCATTACTTCAGGCACATTTTGGGACCTGGGTAGAACCAACAACCTTCTGTAAGTTAGATGGATAGCTTCCTCACATGAAAGAATCAATAATCCATATACCAACCCATGGGATTTAAACCTTCAAGGATTAAGGGCAAGTGATTTGGAGTGCCAGTGCCCTTTACCACTCGGCCATGAAGGCCCATTGGTATAGGATGTATCAATCATTGAGGCTGTCGGACATAATTGAGCTTAATCTTTGACACTGCAACCTCTTAGTAGGTGTGGCAGATACAGCTCATCAAGGTGCATGCATCTGTGAAGTTTGAAGAAAACTTCCATATAATGGTCAAGGTTAAAGTTTTGTGACAAACACAAACCATAAACAATATGCTCTCCTTATTCCCTTGATCTGGGGGCATAAAAAATGCTAAAAATTAAAGGTATTTATTGCTCTACCGTCATACAACACAACATGCAAATGGAAATTAACTTTATTAAATTTAGAAATCTTTATAATCATTAATACTACTACTTCTACACCAACATTAAGAACTATAAATACATGTACCTTGTGAAAGTGACAAGGAAGTCTAAGTTAACTTTTGTTGTAGGACTAGTTAGATCACGTATAAGGTTTCTTAGACTTGGAGGACTGATTGTCCACACTGATGTTGATTTTCCATCCAGAGTTATCTTGGTAACATCTTCAGCTTCATAGTTACTTAAGAAGGATGTTGCCACCTGAACAATAAATGAAACATGTTTAGGTTTAACTATACAATGCAACTTAAATGTTTATTCTTTATCCTGTCAAGATTTTATACAATCAGTAACTGTACAAATATATGCAATTATGCATTAACAATAAGGCAAATATGCCCGTTTTTTGCCCTTTCAGCATGAAACTGGATTAGCACTCATCAAAAATTAAAGTTATACAATTTATAAGTTCTCTCAAATTGAGTAAATTGAACTGCAACAGTGAATTGTTGAAAGAACACATACATGTGCAATAATAGTTGGTGATAAAAGCTCACCACTAACACAAAGAGGCCAGGTAGGCTAATTAAGGCTGAGAAGGGTAAAAAATGTACTAGGTAATCAGATTCTATAAAATGCTTTGTAGACATTGTTTAATCATATGTCCTGATCAAAACATGATTAACAGATACTTAAGTGAAATTGTGTTGGGACAAATGAAAGGAAACATCAAATGCTTACAAAGAAAAACAGAATATGCACAAAGATACAGTGACTTAATCATGTTTTAAACAAAGCAAGGTAGGTTTCTATTTGTACCCTGCTGAAATTTGACATTGGATTAGTATCACTCCTTTTCTCAAGCTGGGTTTTCCTCCTGATATAAGCATACCATACAAAATCCTGTTATATAACCTAATAATAAATATAACACTGAAGTGTTATACTAAATTTATCATTAAGTTCATAGGTATTTCTTGTACTTACTGGATCAGTATCAAAGAGGGACTTTAGACTTGTAAATTCACCTTCACTGTAATGGTATATATCCTGTTGCTGTCCAGATACAGTAAAGATTGGCTGAAACAAATCATCATTATCTTTAGCCATAAAATTAACACATAGTAAAGATTGGCTGAAACAGATTATCAATATCATTTAGCCAAATTATATAGATGTGTATCAACAAAACTGGATCAGTATCAACCACATGACATGTCATATTGTGAGATGGTAGAATATTTTTTCACCATCTCTTGTGCACTGTTAAAGGATATGTATTAAAAACTTGGAATTCTTTAGATAAAGCTTTGTAGAACTTCTGTAGGACATTTGGTCTTCCTTGGACACACTGAATGTTGTTTCTACTTATCTTATGTTTAAATAAAATAAAGGATAAAATAGACTTTTTTCATAAATGCTTTAAACTAAGTCTTTGTTTATCTTATTCAAATTCACAGAAAAACATCTTCATAATTGCTTTGAAGTGACTAACAAAAGATTTTTTGTACTAAAACTTTTTCTCAATATTGATATTCATTAAATATAAAAAGAATCTAACATAACAATAATTTACCTGATACCCAGCTAGAGCAACACTGACAGTGCACTCTGTAGGAGGGTGTGGCACATAGACCGTGTTAGCAAATGAGAATATAACAAGTGGGAACCAGATGATGAAGATGATGATAAACAACAATAGTCCGCCCACACCATACTTGATTAATGCCTTCTTTGGTATAGCTCTTGGTGTTGGGTATGTCTATAAATAGAAACACTTTATTGTAAAGCTCCATATACTACTTGTATAGATTATTCATTTTTATTATAAATCTTTAACTTTTCTGATGAAAATATGGTCATTTTCAAGTAGAGAAAACAAATCTGATATTTAGTTCAAGCATATTAAAATTGCACTTTCTTTAATCAATTGTTCCCTTAAGCTAAGTGTTCAACATAAACTTGGCAAATTACAATGCTTTCAACGTTGAAATAATGGAATGTTTTTGATGAATAGAACTTAAAGTAGAAAACTTACAGAAGGTATACTGTGATATGAAAGAATCAACATACATGTAGCAACAAAACATGAAAATCTCAGATAATACATTTTCATTGAAGTAAATAATCATACATTCAATTTTGCTTGATTGGATTAAGACTCATAACACTTGTTTGCTTTTCTGTTTTTTTAATGCTGATTTTAACACTGTTAGTCCTATCATAGCAGGACTGCTTCAAGTAAAACAGTATGAAACTAGCCTCTGGAAAGCGACAGGTGAAACTAAACATAGCGATTTTGACCTCCCTACTATAAACATCAAGTTACACATAATCACATACGTAAATTATACATGTACTAATTTTCATATACTATACAATATTTTTTTTTAAAAGTTTTAATTCAGCGTGGGTATGTTATAAATATTAATACAGCATTATTAAGAATCCATCCTATGTCACATGACATGTCATATTGTGAGATGGTAGAATATTTTTTCACCATCTCTTGTGTACTTCATCATGATTCAACAGTTTATTGTAAAACATGCAGTTTACCTTCTCAATAACCCTGTAACATTTGAGTATGTAGATATTAGCATAAATGTCTTCCATTTGCAACCAGCTACCAATTGCCATTGTCGTGTTTGTCCACATCCAGTCCATCAATGTACGTAACTCAAGCAGGAATGGTATTGCCAAAAATCTGAAATGTCATGAAAATTCAAAGTTTATACACCAATAGTAACAAGTCCCCATATTTCTCCAACAATAAAAATACTGACATGAACAGCAAACTCCATCGAAGTAAATATTTTTAAAAAGATGCTCTATACTGGTGGCAAATCACTTTTGGTCCAAAGTGGTTAACGTTTAAACCTTTAGGTCATAGAAACTTTATTTTGCATTACCAGACTATATCTTGTTTTTAAGAGATAAAAAATATATATGTACATTGATTATATCATACCCTTTAAAGAGGAATAGATTAATATAGTTGTATTTCTTGGTGAGGAAATTGCCCAGAATTCTAGTAGGGTACGCCGACCTGATCTGATATGCAGACAAGGCAAAATAGACACACTTAATAAAGTACCATAACTGTGCTGGTCTGTTACTGAAGAAAGGCCTGTAATAAAAATATGTCATAATTTGAATACCGGTAAATCTTTTAAGTGCACTTATTCAATCATATCTTGAAATCTATAAAAAGAAAGACTTGAAATGTTGGGACTTAATGCACATTTAGTCTTCATTAACAATATTTCTTTAAAATTATAGCTCTAATGTCAATAACAATTGAAAATTTCATTTGAAAGACTACAATTCCATGCTGATTAGTCATGAATATATCATCTATAGCCATGTTTCTTGTGTACTAACATAATTTTACATTTATAATGGTAGCAAATAATTGATAACAAACGTCCATACTTGTTAGTAGAGTAAGGTAGTATGAAGAACATCCAGATATGGAGAAGTACGACGAGCAGGATCTGGAAAATGAACTTTCCGAGAACATTCTTCCGCAGGTAGAGGGCCCGGTCAATAATGATCAGTATAAACTGAGCTAACAGCATGATCAAGAATGGAACAGGAATCTAAAATATACACAATACATAAACAGATTAAATTAACAACATACATGTTCTATCACAATGATATAAAGGGGACTGTAGCACAATCAAACTTTCTTAACACTTGTAGTATGTACTTATTTAACATGCAAACAAATATTGTGAATATTTTCATTAAATACTATAAGCAAAGTTAATAAACACTCAACACACATTCTAACAAAAATTAATTGTTCAACAGGACGATAAAATATTCTCTAAATTTAGTTTTAAAGGTAAAGGTCACTTTGATCTTTGCCACTAAAAACATGTAGAATACAATCCAACAGCTCAGTATAATACCCTGTTTAAGATAAATCTCTGGAATTTGAATGTGAGGAATTATCAATCACAGAAATTTAAGAGACATGGTTTGTAAATTTCAGATGTTTGTTTGGTTTTCTGGCCCACTAACACAGTATAGGTCATGTCATATGGCGCTGAAATAGGTAACATGATTTTGGCTAACCTTGGTTGTTACAAACTTCAAAGCAACATCAGGGGTCTAAACCACCTTACCGGCTGGAGCTAGGAGATGCATAGACCCCAGTTATTCAAAACCATTTAGTTGCCTCTTATGATCACCTAGGAATGAACAGTGGCTGCAATTCTTATGCCTCAACTACTTAAGGCAGCCCCTCAGCCACAAGAAGTGTAAGTTTCAGAAAAATTTACATACATGACTTATTGAGTACTCAATGATGACAGTGTTTTAATGTTAAGTGAGATAGTAGAAATAATTTTACCCTGTTATCTGATATATAGGATGTGACATCACCTCCAGCTGTTTGCTGAAATAATACAAAGTGAAATATTTTATTACAATGCTACCAATTTATAGATCTTTTTTCCAATTTATTTATATAAAATAAAGATATTGTTTTTTATTTATTAGGTTTTAAATCACACTGAAACAGCAAATTCCCATCTTACCTACTGGAGAAAGATGTTAAGTGACCCTCCCTGCATTATTTCAGGCAGGAGCCAGCAAACCAAAGGTTTCATTAGCTAGTATTCAAAAGATGGAATTTCATTTATGTATTTTCATCTTTTTTTAAGACAGTAATCTACATATTTACTACGTGAATCAGGAAAAGACTATAATCTGTTTGTCTAGATTACCTGAGAACATAACGATGTACAATGAGCCGTGTCACGACAAAACCAACATAATGGGTTTGTGACCAGCATGGATCCAGACCAGCCTGCGCATCCGCATGGATCCATGCTGTTCGCTATCAGTTTCTCTACTTGTTATAGAGTTGGCAAGCGAACAGCATGGATCCTGATCAGACTGCGCACTGGTCTGGATCCATGCTGGTCGCAAACCCATTATCTTGGTTTTGTCGTGACACGGCTCAAATAATTCTAAGTGGACAACTTACTGATGGTCCAAACGCTTGGTAACCAAACACTATGATGAGAAAGTTGATAAAGTCACAGACAAACATTGGGGCATATACATCAGTGGTAGCACTGTAATCTGGGCAGGTTAGTTGCTTGTAGAAGTTCGTGAATGGACTGAACACACTCTTGAGGGGCGTGGATTTTTTCTCTGTACTTTGTTCTACCTCCTGTGATTCTAGGGCAGCACTGGTCTCAGTTACATTTTCTTCCTTTGTCTCATCTTCTTCCTTTCCTGACTCCTGTAATAATTAATGACATCTACAAATGAATCTATATAAAACTACATGAACCATAAACTTGAGTATATGGGGCCCTTGGTTGGTTGAGCATGCAACTTTTTTCTCTTAATGTGACAGATGTCTGTTAAGCATTTTTGAATTAATATATAAAAACCCGAATATTAATTTTATAAATACCAGTTGCCATTCACCTCTTCTGGCACCAGCTTGATCATTATTTAATATTCCAAACATGAGCTAGTTACATGTCCATACATTCCACTGTTTTGTCAGTCTGTGGACAGGGTGAGCGCGAGACGGGCAGACAAGGGAACATCTATATACCCAACCACCCACCACAAGAATGGCATAGAAATGGTGATATTCTGTATTTAGTATCATCTGCAAATGTATTATAACAGTGGAATTTTCAATGTGATACTTTGGTGCCTAAGACCTCCATGTACATATATAAAAGATAATGAAATTGTGTCCTATTTTAATGATATTGCTTCAAAAAAAAAATAACCATTTATATTTAAATGCATCCATTATCATTGGACAATAAAAAATAATAATTTGAGAAAGAAATACTTACTTCTATGGAAGCTTTTGAACTTGACTTAGTTGATTGAGAATCTTCCGCTTCATCTCTCCATAATCCATATCTCTGTAAATATAATCCATACGAAATTTAAATAATATCATAAAAGGGAACATTATTCCGAAAACCTGTTTAGATAGATATTCAACAAATATTTCCCTGCCCTTTTAGATACTGCATCATGTGATGATAACGTTTAAGAAAACCCATGTTTCGAGTGAACAGCTTTAATAGTTTCTGATAATATTGACCTTTACATATTACCTTTTACAGGTCAGTAACCTTGACCTTTTGACCTCAAAATCAGTGTGACAAGTAGAACTCATCAAGGAGTATCCAAATATGTTGTATCAAAGGTATGGCTTTATTAGTACTGAAGTTAATGAGCATATAAAATCATCAAACTCACCTTTAGAATGGTTCTATGGATGAACAAGGCTAACAATAATATGAGGTCCATGACAGCAAAGTTGTCTTTTTGTTGTATACCTATAATATTTGGTGGCCAGAATGGATCTGTTTGTGCAACTTTCATGTTCCACGGGAAAAATCCAAATTGAAACAGGTACTTTACCACAATCACAGCCTGAAACATAGTTTATGATAATTAGACAGATCACTTCTTGAATTTATACTTCTTGAATTTATAAATGTATTAACCTTTTCAAAGCTGAGGAATAACTTTTGTATGTACACATCTTATCAAAATACGTAAAATGAATGGGTTATTATTCCAAAATTCGATCATGAATTCATACTGTAAATATCTTTTCTAAATTCCAAATATAGCTAGTAGTCAAGTATTTGAAAGAACTGAGCAAAATAGTTGTTGGGAGATTTAAAACTTTAATGATTTAAATTGTTATATACATGTACTTTCCAATAATTCATCTTAAAAGGACCATAACTCTCTGGTTTTAGACTATGGCCTAGCCGATTCTAATCATATCATTGACATTTGGAGCAAAATTTATCTACATACTATTGACAGTTTTCTAGATATGTCTCTTTAAAGTCTACTTGAATGATGAAACAGATTTTAGGTGGGAATTCCAACAAATATATTCTAATTTTACAACAGATTGTATTCTCTCAATTGTGCTCTACTGGTTTCATAGCAATTTCCGGCCACAAATCGCACTTTTTAACAAATAAAATAAACATAAGTCTACGGAGGGGTACAAAACTTTGACAGGACAAAGTTAGGTACCTGTCCAGCATTGCCATGTGTTTAATGTTGCACTTTCATTTTACTTTTCAATTTGAATACATGCCTGAAATGTAACACCTTTTTTCACCTTTATTCAAAAATTCATAGCAGTTTTCCATCCTTTTTATTTTGAATATAATTCAGTACCATAAACGATGTTAAGATAATTTAATCAGACAAACAAAACTTCCCAACCTTTTCCGTGCGGTCTGCAAAAATATTTTCAGAAGTATGGATTTACCTAAAATGTCAGGGTCTTAGTTATTGCGCAAGGATATTCAAACTAGAATTCCCCAGGTGTTGCTTATTTTTGAAAGTAGCAAGTCCTCTTCTGTTACTTTAAATAGCATGCAAAACTTCATACATTTAAATTTTTGTTCTATTTTAAATGCCGTTAAGCATAGAAAACAAATGTCTCTCTGATTGATGAAGTAATGTGGATGCCTTACTGGTAAAAATAGACTGTACTGGACGAAAATTTATGATTAACGACCGGAAAACTGCTAGGGGACGGAAACTGCTAGGAAACCAGTATTGCTAAAAAGATTTGCTGCCATCTACCATTTGCTGTCAGCACCCATTTTCTAAGTCACAAGACTATTCTACAGTGTTTGGAGATGGATAAAATACAGACAGAAAATGCCAAAACTATATCGGACTATAAAAATATAAAAGTAACACTATGATTTTAATTTGTCAATAATAATGAAGCATGTTACCTCGGTATATGTGATTACAGTAATCCAAAACATCTTTGTAGGTCTAGGGACAGACAGCATACCCCACAGGAAGACAAACATTGGTAGAGGGAGGGACAGGATACTGGCAGATAAGATGTGGTTCAAAATCATCAGGAAATAACACACTACTTCAGATCTGTAAACATATTCATATAATATTGACTTATAACAAACAGTTAGAGAAATACAAGAAATGTAATATAGTATATGAACATTCTTTGTTCTAGTGTTTATGGTGATATGTTTATAACTTATATACCCATGTATAACAAGCAATTATCATAGTATTGCAAGCAATCCATAAGTCCCCTACCGGTAAGAGCCCAAGCAACATTCTGAAGGGCCATTCACTTATGTTCCTATTTTAAGTTAATTTGTTGAAAAAGTTCTTTAAAAGTGATCACAGGAAACAGTTTTTATGTACAGACAGACGGACTGAAGGACACTCTAAAGTTATTTTTTAAACATCCCTGTTATCAAAATATATCATTTTTAAAATCCTATCATGATTGAAGAAGTTGGAGTAAAAATTACCAATTTCTCAAAAAAAAGTCTAAGTTCAAAAAGGGGCATAATTCTGGAAATAGTCTTGCTAGAGTATTGAACACTCACAAATGTTGAGTGACAATAAGAAACATTTATATGAAGTTTGAAGTAGATACATTTAGAAAAAGAAGTTATTAAAAAAAACAATGTTTTTTTTTCATGAAAATTTTAAGTTCAAGGGAGGTAATTCTGATAAATTTTGTACTAGAGTTGTAAACCTTGCCACATATGATAAAGTTGATGACAAGCAACTTATATTTAAAGTTTGAAGAAAATACCTTAAGAAATAAAGAACTTATAGTGAAAAAACTTAAAAACTAGAATAAGAAATCTTGAAATTCAGTCTATTTGTTGCCATAGCAACCAGAATTTTCAACATAGGAAGATAAGAAAAGGATGTGCATAATTTCCATACTGCCATCTACCCATATGTCAAGTTTCATAAACATATTTTCAGTACTTTTTGTGTTATCACTGGATCCAGGTTATGTGTAAAATTTGCCATATTTTCAGTCTATTTGTTGCCATAGCAACCAGAATTTTCAACATAGGAAGAAAAGAAAATGACGTGCATAATCTCCATACTGTCATCTATCCATATATCAAGTTTCATAAAAATATTTTCAGTACTTTTTGCGTTATCGCGGGATCCAGTTTATGTGTAAAATTTGTCATATTTTCAGTCTATTTGTTGCCATAGCAACCAGAATTTTCAACATAGGAAGAAAAGAAAAAGACGTGCATAACCTCCATACTGCCATCTATCCATATATCAAGTTTCATTAAAATATTTTCATTACTTTTTGCGTTATCGCGGGATCCAGTTTTGTGGACGGACGGACTGACGGACGGACAGACGGACGGACTGACGGACGGACGGACGGACAGACGGACAGACGGACGGAGGGTAAACCTAAAGTCCCCTCCGGTAAACCGGTAGGGGACTAATAAACATGTTTGTATGAACAAATAAAATAATGTATAAAATAAATTAGTTTAGAATAAACAATTTGTAATCAAATATGAAAGCAATCATGATAATATTTTAACTTAGTTGTCATTTACCTTTACTGTAATACAATACTGTAATATTATACCAAGTTAATAACATTTGTACCAAGCTCTTAACTTTAATACCAAGCATTTAGCTTTATATCAATATCTATACTTTCATAATAATATCTTAACCTTTAAACCAAGCTTTCAACCTAAATCAATAGCTTAACTTTTCTAACAATATTTTTTACTTTTTATATAAATATCTTTAACTTTTGTGGCTTTTAAATCATAAACAAAGTTTTTAAGTTTTTACTCATGTATAATAAACACAGTCAACAAAAATGTGTGAGATTAACAATTTTTGATATTATCAAATATGAAATCAATTATGATTATATTTAAACTAAAGTATATTTTAAAAAAACAGTAATGTAAAACATAACATCATAATACCAAGTATATAGCTTTTGTAAAAAGGCTTTAACTTTAATACCAAGTTCTTAATTTTATATTAACATCTTCACTTTCATACCAATATCTAAGCAATATCTTAAATTTTATACAATATTTTTAACTTTTATATCAATATGTTAACATGTATACAAAGCTAATAAACAAAGCTAGTAACTTTTGAACTGTTGCTTACCTTGCAATAATAGCAAAGTATGTGGCAACAATCAGTCGATATATACACGGCTGATTTTTCTCAAATTCTTCCTCAGTTTCATCAAACTTGTCAAGGTCAATGCCAGATAAACTGAAATAATGTTGCATAATGTTAAAATAAGGTAACACAAAGTAAATTTCTAGATGTTTGACATGCCTGTAGCTTAGGAATGTACTATTAATGTCATGCTTTACAGATAATACAGCCAAGATAAACTTAACTCAGCACTTTTTGTGCAATTTAAATATTAAGTAATCATGAAATTGACCAGATGAAACACTAGTTAAATCTTTGCTTATGCTAGGAATATCATATCTGACTAGAAACGTAGGCAACCTTCAATATGATCAGTTTTTGATAGGTGAAATACTTTAATTATCAAACTACATTAACAAAGTTCAAACAAATGGAATAAGTTGAAATACAAGAATAGAAAAGTTATACCTGAGTTCACTTTTCTGAGGTACTATAGCACCTTGTTGGACAGGTTCTGTTGTTACAACCACTATCTCTTCATCTCCAGCACCACTATATAGTATACAAAAGAACATGGTCTATACAAGAGAACATTGTTAAACAAGAGATCATGGTCTATACAAGAGAACATTGTTAAACAAGAGATCATGGTCTATACAAGAGAACATTGTTAAACAAGAGATCATGGTCTATACAAGAGAACATTGTTAAACAAGAGATCATGGTCTATACAAGAGAACATTGTTAAACAAGAGATCATGGTCTATACAAGAGGACATTGTTAAACAAGAGATCATGGCCTATACAAGAGGATATTGTTAAACAAGAGATTATGGTCTATACAAGAGGACATTGTTAAACAAGAGATCATGGTCTATACAAGAGAACATAGTAAAACAAGAGATCATGGCCTATACAAGAGGACATTGTTAAACAAGAGATCATGGTCTATACAAGAGAACATAGTAAAACAAGAGATCATGGCCTATACAAGAGGATATTGTTAAACAAGAGATCATGATCTATACAAGAGAACATTGTTAAACAAGAGATCATGGTCTATACAAAAGATCATGGACTAAACAAGAGAACATTTTAAAATAAGGTTCATGGACTATACAAGAGAAAACCAGAGAAAAAGGTCTATACAAGAGAACATTGTTAAACAAAAGATCATGGTCTACACAAGAGAACATAGTTAAACAAGAGATAATGGCCTATACAAGAGAACACTGTTAAACAAGAGATAATGGCCTATACAAGAGAACACTGTTAAACAAGAGATCATGGTCTATACAAGAGAACATGGTCTATACAAGAGAACAATGTTAAACAAGATATCATGATCAGCACAAGAGGACATTGTTAAACAAAAGATCATGGTCTTTACAAGAGGACATTGTACAAACAGAGATCATGGTCTATAAAGAGGACATTGTTAAACAAGAGAAAATAGCTTATACAAGAGAACATTGTTAAACAAGAGATCATGGTCTATACAAGAGGACATTGTTAAACAAGAGATCATGGTCTATACAAGAGGACATTGTTAAACAAGAGATCATGGACTAAACAAGAGAACATTCTAAAACAAGAGATTATGGTCTATACAAGAGGACATTGTTAAACATGAAAACATGGTTTATACAAGAGAACATTGTTAAACAAGAGATTATGGCCTATACAAGAGAACATTGTTAAACAAGAGATTATGGTTTATACAAAAGAACACTGTTTAAAATTTTAAAAAGAGATCATGGTCTATACAAGGACATTTTTAAACAAGCAATTATCACAGTATTGCAAGCAATCCATAAGTCCCCTACCGGTAAGAGCCCAAGCAACATTCTGAAGGGCCATTGGCCATTCACTTAGGTTCCTATTTTAAGTAAATTTGTTGAAAAAGTTCTTTAAAAGTGATCACAGGAAACAGTTTTTATGTACAGACAGACGGACTGAAGGACACTCTAAAGTTATTTTTTAAACATCCCTGTTATCAAAATATAACATTTTTAAAATCCTATCATGATTGAAGAAGTTGGAGTAAAAATTACCAATTTCTCAAAAAAAAGTCAAAGTTCAAAAGGGGCATAATTCTGGAAATAGTCTTGCTAGAGTATTGAACACTCACAAATGTTGAGTGACAATAAGAAACATTTACATGAAGTTTGAAGTAGATACATTCAGAAAAAGAAGTTATTAAAAAAACAATGTTTTTTTCATGAAAATTTTAAGTTCAAGGGAGGTAATTCTGATAAATTTTGTGCTAGAGTTGTAAACCTTGTCACATATGATGTGGTTGATGACAAGTAACTTATATTTAAAGTTTGAAGAAAATACCTTAAGAAATAAAGAACTTATAGTGAAAAAACTTAAAAACTAGAATCAGAAATCTTGAAATTCAGTCTATGTGTTGCCATAGCAACCAGAATTTTCAACAAAGGAAGATAAAAAAGGATGTGCATTATTTCCATACTGCCATCTACCCATATGTCAAGTTTCATAAACATATTTTCAGTACTTTTTGTGTTATCACTGGATCCAGGTTATGTGTAAAATTTGCCATATTTTCAGTCTATTTGTTGCCATAGCAACCAGAATTTTCAACATAGGAAGAAAAGAAAAAAACGTGCATAATCTCCATACTGCCATCTATCCATATATCAAGTTTCATAAAAATATTTTCAGTACTTTTTGCGTTATCGCGGGATCCAGGTTATGTGTAAAATTTGCCATATTTTCAGTCTATTTGTTGCCATAGCAACCAGAATTTTCAACATAGGAAGAAAGAAAAAGACGTGCATAATCTCCATACTGCCATCTATCCATATATCAAGTTTCATTAAAATATCTTCAGTACTTTTTGCGATATCGCGGGATCCAGTTTTGTGGACGGACGGACTGATGGACGGACAGACGGACGGACGTTCTCACAGGACAGTATTTATGTGGCTACTCTATTGTTAAGGGTGTAACGGTTTACCGGTATACCGATATATTGCAATATGAAAAAATAAATTTCGTACTGCGGTACGATTTTTGGAAAACCGGTATTTTATAAAAATCATAATTTTCAATTAATTGCCTTCTAATTTTGTTCAAATTTCACATAAAATCTTTAATTGGCGAATTTTGTTGGCGCCAACGTAAGATAAAAGTATCCGACAACTAGTACACTTAAAAGTCAATAAGCGGCCGCATAATTTACATAAGCGGCCCAGATGTGAAAGGTCACACGCGACTAGTTTTGTTTATCAAATTGTGTGACACTGTACTTTCTATTTATTCCTTACATTTTTATTAAGTTTCTACTAAAAATATATACATATAATAATAATATATAAATGTTACTCCATCTTTACATCAAAACATATACAAGACAATACGTATTGCAATATATTGCAATTACGCTTCAGCAAAATGGCAATATATTGCAATACGGTTTTTGCTGTATTGTTACACCCCTATCTATTGTTCTCTCTATTGTTCTTTTTAGCCACGCAAAAGAAAATAGCCACATAAAAGCATTACGGAATGAATGACATCTAAGAGAACCTATTGTCCCTCTAGCCACATAATTACTCTCCTGTGAGTGCGGACTGATGGACAGACGGACGGAGGGTAAACCTAAAGTCCCCTCCGGTAAACCGGTAGGGGACTAACAAGTGGTTATGATCTATAAAGGACAACATTATTTAATGTCTATACAAGTGTGCTGAGTTAAACAAGTGAAACAATGTTACCCTGTGTCAGTGCCTGTTGCACCTTCTTCTGCCTTTGTCTCCTGCAGCTCTACATCTTCTATTAAATTCTTGTGCTCCATCTATATAACAAAAAACATACAGTTTGCTAGTAATGAATGTGGATTGTGCTACACTAAAATGTGCAGATCTTAAAATATTCTCATGGCATGCATTATTTCACAGTAACATAACAATATAGAGGCTTTTCAATGAAAAGTTATTTCACAGATTTGGGGAAAAAAACAAGAAGTATATTTTGTTACACAGTGACAGAAACCAATCATCAAGATAAATTTTAAAACTTGAATGAAAATCAGTAACTTATGCAGTGTATTAAGAAAGAACCATTGAATGCTTTAACAAATGTAGTGATGAAATCAACAGATGCAATATCTTTCATAACAAACTTCAGCTTGAAAGAATTCTAAAAAGCTCATTACACTAATAGGGGACAGCCAGCACTTTGCTACTTAAATTTCCTACCTGAAATGACTATGTAAAAGATGTACTGACCAAACCTACTTATTTCCTATATTTTAGAACAATGGCAATTAAAAATATTTTAGTACTGTATAATTGATGATATTTAAAGCAATGAGTGGCTGCAAGAACATTCTGTAATCATAAAATTTATAAGATATAACTGTACCTGAATTTGTTGTTTGACACGAATGTGATCATCTTTCATTTTAGCAGCGACCAGTCTATAGTTACGAGATATTCTATTGAATAAAGCTGTGAACCAGTTTGCACAACTTGTCAAAAATGCCACAATAAACCTCAAAACATTCTTTATCTTCTCAAGTACACCCTCTGAAAATATTATATTTCACCAGTTAAATATGTAACTTTTTTACTCATAGTACAAAGTAGCACTCTAATTACAGCTACACAGCATCTCAACCTTTTTGTTGTTGTTGTTTTCATTTTTTGTTTTTGGTTAGGTTTTCCTCACACTGAAAAATTTTAAGGTCATATGATGACTATCTGGAGAAAGACCTTAGTTGCCTCTCTGCATTATTTCAGGCATGAACAACCAATCTTTCTTAACCTAGCTAGATACCTTTCTAACTTGAAATTTCTTAGACAACATAGTCAAGTGGTAAATGTGTTGAACTTGTAATCTAATGATTGCTTGCCTCATGGGTTCAAACCCTGTCAGGGGCAGGCTATTGTTTCCTTGAGCAAGGAGCCTTACATTCATTAGTAAGTACTGGTTGGTTCCATGATCAGATTTAAGACTGTGAATTTAACTACATAATCAAAGTAAAATAACTTCTGTATAAAATAACTACTTAGATATTACAAGTGGCTTTAAAATAACAGAATTTTTGCTTCTCATTTAAATGGTCCTCTTGTAAGGCAAGGTTTTTCTTCTTCTTTTCTTTCAATAACAGATTGCCTACCTTTCTTCTCCTCTTCACAAATGGAGACTTGATCCTCTCCTCCTTCTGCCTCATCTCCTTCTTCATGCTGAAATCATAGAACATTTATCATTCATCATTATCTTATGGTTATAAAAGGAGGAAAGGAATCTAACAGGAATGTACAGAGGAAGGAAAATGTATATGAAAACAGGAATGTAACAGCAATAACATTTAGGAAACAGGACTATAACAGCAAATTAACAATATAAAGAAGAAAACATGAACTAACTTAAAGATAAAGAAGAAAACAGGCAAGTAACATCAATTTAAAGAAGAAAACATGAACGTAACTTAAATATAAAGAAGAAAACAGGAAAGTAACATCAATTTAAAGAAGAAAACATGAATGTTACTTTAATATAAAATAGAAAACAGGAAAGTAACAGTAAAACAAAGAAAAAATAGCAATGTAAGAAAATGGCACTATAAGAAGAGGAACAGCAATATTTGAAGGAAATAGGAATATAAGTACATGTACTAATAACATTTAGAAGCATTACCTGTTTAACAGCTTCATCTGTCCCTGATGTCATAGCTGTTGTTATCAACTACAAATATAAACAAGATTTGTTACACAGATATTTCTAATGAAAATATTCTTTTACCTTTATAAGGTAACTAAAACAACTGGATTAAAATAACAGATATAAAATTTAACATTCTGAATAAATGAAGTGAGCAAATCACCTGAAATTTTGCACACAAGTTATTGGTCCATGCTTGTAAATGAGTAAAATTCTGTAACAGAACACACCAAAAACATATATACATTCATCATAACAGAATCAATTGTTTTATCCATTTGTTTTACTCATTTATAAAATTTGCCTTTGCAGCCAGATTAGAGACAGACAAAGTTCTATACTGTCGGCAGAACAAATTCATTTTCATACTGTTATCCCCATAAATTATAATGGTCAGTTCCTAAAATAGAAGCTGGACAAGTCTATTCTAGAAATGTAGCAGTTTCAGACTTTCAGGGTAAGAACACCTGTAGAAATACCTCATACCCTCTGTCATTAAATCATAAGACACGCCTACCTTCATTGGATCAGCATTCTCTCCATCCTCATCTTTATCTTGACCATAAGTTAGTGTGGTAAGTTCATCTTCTTCTTCCACATCTTCATCTTCCGACTCCTCAAACAGGTAGTAGTCTCCAGATCTTATTGCTGAAATATTCATTTATGTCTTAATTATATTACTTAATGTCAGATTTTATTGCTGAATTCTTCATAAATGTCTTAATTATATTACTTAATCACAGCCTTCATGTTCCGTCCTCTAATTATAATCTACATGTATCTAAAACTTGCAAATGAATTAAGTTCATGGTGACTTTGCATTTAAGCTGGTAATATTGTTCTATTTATGTTCATCATTGTTACTTCAGTTCTAATCAATGATTATAATATTTATTTACTGATTTTCTACATCATACTTCTACCAAAGTGTAATTTAGAACAGAAGACTGCCACGTCTCCTAACAACAGTCTGAATTGTGCAGGTGCTTTATTTAATGTTTTTTTTTAAAAGCATCCTAAAATCTAATTATAACTCATATATAGAACCAGTCCAAGCTTTTGAAAATGGCAGCACCCAGCTAACTCTGGATTTTTCTCAAACATGTTTAGTTTTAGACATATATTTTTTTTAATTGACTTTAATGGGATTTCAATTAAACTTATACACGTCATACATGTTATCTGAGCTCTATGGCCCTTGCAGGGGGACTTCCTCATAATATAATAAACTATATCTCTCTGTATTCAAAAACTATAAATTCATGTTTTTTTCTATAAACTGTTTCTCTTTTATGTCTATACCTTTAATGAACTATATCCATATGCCTACAATAAACTATATCAATCTGTTTTTCATAAACTATATCTCCACAAGTTTGTTTGTTTCATAATCTTTTCTTTCTGATTTTCTCTTTATGTTTTGTACATTATCTATATCTCTTTATGTGTATGCCTTTAATGACCTATATCCATATGCCTAAAATAAAAATAACACTAAGCTAACATTGTTGTCATTCACAGTAAATATACCTTGAAAATGTTCAACCGGTTCAACATAGTTCTTCTTCAGTTGTGACTGTTTCTCTTTCAATGAGCTCATCTTTTTCTTGATTTTCTCTAGAATTGTCTTCTCCTCCTCCTTCTGCTTCGCCACTTCCTTCATCAGTATACGATTGATCAACTGACACCCTCTAAATACAAACATAGAACATGTACCTTTCATTCTAATATGGGTATTCTAAATTTACTATTCAAACATTAGAATAAAACATCTAAATTTTGTTTAGTCAAGTTTCAAGCCATGCTCTTTACATAAAAGTAAACCACATTCCTAACTGACCATTACAGTACAGGTTATATTAATACTCAACCAATCTAAAAAGATAGCATACAGTCTTAAATGCAATTTTATTAAACTGACAAATATTCATCACTTGACAACAATTTACCAATATAGTTACCAATCATTTTCTCAAAAATATCAAAAAGTGTCAGAACGCACACCAATTACCTTGATGCTAATCTGTTTTGAGCCTCGATATCAGACACCACATGCCGGAAATAATGACTGGTATATATCCTCCTTTGGAACAACAAGAATGTAAAGCAAACAACGTCCCATGCCAGTCCTGTGTTGTCCTTCCCTATGATACACTTTATACCTATAACTGAATATAAAATAACATCAACATTTTTAGCTATTTCAAAATCGTATCATTCCTTCAATACTGTTTAGCCATATTTCAGTGAGTACATATTATTTATCTTACACCTGGACCTCCCTATGTTAAATTCAAGAATTCCATGTTTAATTTTGGAAACTTGGAAACTTTAAGTCTAGTCAACCAACATTAAATTTTGGACTCTGATGTTGGTATTTTAAATTCTGGTCTTCCTATGATTAATTGTGGTTTTTGTATCTATAATTGTTGTCTCCCTTTGTTAAATTCTGGTATCACTACGTCAAATTCTAGTGTACTGATGTCTCTTTCATACATGTGAACTCTCCCACTTTTAGCAGGAGACTCCCACTTTCTGCAGCCATATTTTCAAAGATTTTTCTTAAAATAAGGGGTATTTTCACAAATTAAAGAAATCTCCCTATTTTTAATTTTGTTTATTGCAAATTCTAAAATCTCCCTCTTTTTGAAGAAAAATCTCCCACTGATCATTGAAAAAAGTTCACATGTATGCTCTTTGTTTAATTCTGGTGTCCCTATATCAAATTCTGGTCATCCTATCTTTTTTCTGGTTTCATATGTATAGTTGTAGTCTACCTATGTTTAATTTTGGTCTCCCTATGTTTAATCCTGATCATCCTATGTTTAATTCTAGTGTCCCTGTGTCATACATATAAATGTCCTCTAAGAGCATTTTCTTTTGTATAGAGTAGAAGAATCTACATACCTGGCATATATCCTGGTCTCAAACAGGTAACCCCTAACAACTGTACCAACCAACAAGCATTGTCAGATATGGTTTTATTGTAAACACATCCTGGCAGCTTAAAATAAACATAATAAAATCTTTTATAAATCATATCTTTCAATAAATGTTTAATCACCAGAAAACAATTATCAATGCATAATATACGCATAATAGTCACATAAAGAAAACTCTTACAAGCTTTTCAAGACTAAATACTGTTAGAAATTTTAATGTTTGGAGGATTGCACAAATAATACAGATTTAACAAGTGGTGTGTCTATGTGCAAGATGTAAAGCACAGAACCTCTCGTCTAAAGTTTTGGGTAGTTTTAAATAAAGTGGTGGGAATCAAACTCACAATGCCTGGATTGGTATTCACACAGTGTTACCACTGATCGGGTCAATTATAAATTGTAAATATCCTTGTTGTTTAAGCACATTAATATAGTGGACATTTGACCAATTATTAAGAATTTGAAAATAACCAATTAAGCAACTTTTAGATGCTTGTATATAAGATATAATTTCCCTTCTTAAATTAAACATAAATAATTAATTACCTGTAAAGCTGCCTTCAACAGCAACACAAAGAAACAGTACCCCAAGAGGAAATTCCACCTGAAAACATTAAATTCAAAGCATAAGCTTAAATGATGGTCAGTACAGTTGTATGTAACTTAATCTGCCACTAGAATTTTATACTTCAAACAAATCCAAATACAGCATGTTACTGTAGAGGGAAGTAAGATATCTATTCAAACAGCTTCTATACAAAGCAATGGGTGTATGAGAAATCTCTCTAACAAAATCATTTTAACAGTTCTTAAGAAATCTGTTCAGTAGAATAGCAAAGTAAAGTATGACAGCTTGACAACAAACAAATAGTCTTCTATGTTCTACTCGTAAATGTCTATATAAGAAGTGACTCTTTTTTTATAAGTAAAAGTGCATCATAGTGTCAGATATCCTGGTTCAAGACTTTTTTCCTTTATCTTTTAAGCTCTAAAAATGGAATGTTATAAAAAGCACAGTAGTAAAGTAAAATGCCACCTTGCAACCAACAAATATAACCATTTAAGACCTTTTTACAACACAGTCCTTTCCTATGTAAAATCGATCGGAAGTAGCATTTTCGCGCACATGCGCAATCTGTGTAGGGCAAAAAGAGCATCGCGCTACATAGAAATATAGTAGATGTTGCGTTTTTGCCCTACACATAATGCGCATGCGCAAAATGCAACATTCGTTACTATGCAATAATAGGATTGTAACAAGAGGGCCATGATGGCCCTGAGGTCGCTCACCTGTATATAGCCCCCCCCCCCCACAACCCATAAGAAGATGTTTCATGCTAAACAATTAAGCTCTAGCTCATTGGGCTTTTTAAAAGAAGATTTTTTTTAAAGTTTTTACTATACACATATAGTTAAAAACAATGACACCCCTGGGGCGGGGCAAGTTTTGACCCCAGGGCTTTTATTTGAACAAACTTTGTAGACACTTACTACAAGATGTTTCATGCTTAATAATCTAAACTCTAGCTATTTGGGTTTTTTCAAAGAAGATTTTAAGTTTTTGCTATACACATATATGGAAAATCAATGACCCCCGGGGCGGGGCCAATTTTGACCCCAGGTCTTTTATTTGAACAAACTTTGTAGACACTCACTAGAAGATGTTTCATGCTAAATATCTTAGCTCTAGCTCTTTGAGTTCTTTAAAAGAAGATTTTTTAAGTTTTTACTATATGCATATAGGGAAAATCAATGACCCCCTGGGACCGGGCCAATTTTGACCCCAGGGCTTTTATTTGAACAAACTTGGTAGACACCCATAAGAAGATGTTTCATGCTAAACATCTAAGCTCTAGCTCATTGGGCTTTTTAAAAGAAGATTTTTTTAAGTTTTTACTATACACATATAGTTAAAAACAATGACACCCCTGGGGCGGGGCCAGTTTTTACCCCAGGGCTTTTATTTGAACAAACTTTGTAGACACTTACTAGAACATGTTTCATGCTTAATATCTAAACTCTAGCTATTTGGGTTTTTTCAAAGAAGATTTTTTTAAGTTTTTGCTATACACATATAAGGAAAATCAATGACCCCCGGGGCGGGGCCAATTTTGACCCCAGGTCTTTTATTTTAACAAACTTTGTAGACACTTACTAGAAGATGTTTCATGCTTAATATCTAAACTCTAGCTATTTGGGTTTTTTCAAAGAAGATTTTTTAAGTTTTTTTGCTATACACATATAAGGAAAATCAATGACCCCCGGGGCGGGGCCAATTTTGACCCCAGGGCTTTTATTTGAACAAACTTGGTAGACACCTATTAGAACATGTTTGATGCTAAATATCTTAGCTCTAGCTCTTTGAGTTCTTTAAAAGAAGTTTTTTTAAGTTTTTACTAAATGCATATAGGGAAAATCAATGACCCCCTGGGGCCGGGCCAATTTTGACCCCAGGGCTTTTATTTGAACAAACTTGGAAGACACTCATTAGAACATGTTTCATGCTAAATATCTTAGCTCTAGCTCTTTGGGTTCTTTAAAAGGAGATTTTTTAAGTTTTTACTATATGCATATATGGAAAATCAATGACCCCCTGGGGCGGGGCCAATTTTGACTCCAGGGCTTTTATTTGAACAAACTTGGTAGACATTCACTAGAAGATGTTTCATGCCAAATATCTAAGCTCTAGCTCTTAGGGTTTTTTAAAAGAAGATATTTAAAGTTTTTTCTTTCTGTTGCCATGGCAACCAGAGTTCTGCATGGAATTAAATTCTTTGAACAATTTTTAAAGGTGAACACCAAAGGAACATTCCTGTGAAGTTTGGATGAAATTGGCCTAGTGGTTTATGAGGAGATGTCATTTAAAGTAATAGTATACGGACGACGGACGGACGACGGACGAAAAGCGATCACAAAAGCTCACCCTGTCACTTTGTGACAGGTGAGCTAAAAAGGTCTGTTTAGGGCAGTTTTCAAAATAACCAAACAATTTTCTCCGTTACCTACTGACCACTTATAAGACTACACTGCAATTCTGGTATAGTAACCACCAGGGTCAACTATTCCATCGTAAATCATCAACAAAATTAGGAAATAAAGAAATCACTTCAAAGCAGAGTTTCATCTTAAATTTTGCTTTATTTGTATTCAAACTAAATATAAAATATCAAACTTACGCCCTGACAAGTTTTCGTAGAGGTTTGATGAGAAACTCCTGGCCAAACCACATAAAGCAGAAGACAGCTATAACGTAACCCATACTAAACAAGTTAATGCGGGTAGTGCCGGCAATAAACACGATCGCTAGAGTCACCCAGAACATGTAACCAAACACAAAATTCTTTATCACATCCAAATATGACCTAAAAAATGTACAAAACTATTATAAGAGCACATAAGTAACATTACAATGTTGTTTATAAATCAATAAATTTTATTTTTACACAAATATTTTTATATTTTAGTGAGTACAATGATATCACATAAGAAGTTAAAAACTTAAGCAAGTATTGCAGTAACTTCAAAGCATTAGTAGTACATGTAGTTTTCTTTTATGTATTACAATCCAAACTATACTTGTCAATAAGTAAGTTGTTAATTTTCTCAAAAACATCTTGTATAATCATACATTTTACCAATTATTAAGCTAGCACTACAGTCTTAAAATCTCACTCAGATTAAGTCTTACATATACTATTTTGATAAATCTATCTTCCTTTCAAATGCTACATACAAATCATGATTTTATTCATATACTACATTGTAAATGAATTATCTATAACAAGAATATGAAACTTTTTATGAAAGAATGAACACTATAATCTAGTATTTAACAGTTTATATTAAAAGTGTTTCTATGTAATATTTTATGTAAGGGAATGAAGCTGGTATCTTATCCAAGCCGGCCATACCTGTGGTATATGACATCACTTATGACATCACAAGCAGAATTTTTTTTGCCACCATTCAGGGAGGGGAGCAAAAGTTTCGTTATCATTCTATTTCAGCATCAATTTTAATGGCATACTGTGTATATAAATCAGAAAATAGTTTCCCATCCATAGATCTTCAACAGTCTTTAGTGAGATGGAAATATAATCTGACCTAAAAATGTTATAAAAGAATCTAAACTCTGTGATGGGATTCAAACCCACAGGGTTGAAGTTGGCAACCTTAACCGTGAAAGTTAACCCGTAAGCCACAGACGCCTATCTTAGCCTCATCTAATTTCCATAAAAATTGATGAAGAAATTGAACGTTCATAGCAGTTTTCTCTTCTGGATTTTAATGCTAAAAATGATGTCATATACCACGTGGTATGCCACCTTGTTATCAGGATGTGTCTTGTGTAAAGCAGTTAGGACTAGTGAATGATAAAATACAATGAATTCACAATTAACACAAACAAAATGATGATCACATTAACTACTGATGAAAAACTTCGCAACTAAGATGATCAATTGTACAGCAATTATATAAAAAAAAAACTATCAAGCAAGTATTTCATAAAATGTTACAGATCTAATAAAAATATTTATGTAAAAGGATTGAAATTAATATAATACAGTAATGCCTTTTAATTCTAACATTCTTTAATATCTAAAATATTTTTGGTTGACAACTTAGATCTAAATTTCTTCATTTGTTATCTTATTTTCTAATTGTTCATAGGAAACTTTCTATCAAAAAGTTTGGAAAAAAAACATAGATAATTAAATTTTTGTCAAAATATTGTCTTATTGTTGGAAAAAAAGAATTAAGATCACGATATCTGAATACTTGAATTTTGATGACAAATGTAAATGGATGAATTTCAGTTTGATGATAATTAATCTTATTATCTGGGGAGGATAAAAAAGCCGTCTCATCTGGATAACTAGTGAGGATTGATTTTATCTGATAAAGCAGCCGGTGTGCATGGCAAGAATGAAACTAAAATTATACCTCTGTAACATTGGTCCATGCGCTCTAACATGTGAAGACAGAAATAACACAAAATAAAGAGAGAAAATAACAGAACAATTCAGAAGAACAAATAATAAACAAAAAGTAAATAAAGTAAATAACTAGAAATAGTCACTGTTATTCACCTACCTCTTTAGTATATTAAACACACTAAATGGTAATTAATACAGCAAAAACTTAACAGGATATATCATTATATATTACAAGTACATGAAGTTTATCAGAATTTCAGACACAAATATTTTGATTTAGATATTTAGATAGCAAATTTCATATGGTTATATTGGAAAAAGTAACAACTTGCAGAGGGGATGTAGTTTTGGGTACAGACAGCCAAACATATTACCCCTACTATGTCTGTGAAATCATGAATGTTTGTGTTAAGTCTTAACCCTTTACATGCTGAATTTCTTAAATGGACTTGTCCCGTTTATTGATTGGAGCTACCTATTATTTTTTTAGGGAAACCAACATCTAAATTTAAAGTTAAATGTCAGCTACAAGCATAGAGCCTAGTCAGACTGTAGGGATGTACAGGTTGGCCGGTGGCAAAGACTAATCACTTTTGGTTCTAGAAGGTTAAAGGTTTCAAGGGTTAATGCTTAGTCATACAACAGATTGACAGTGTATTCAATATATGAAAACTTCCCTGGAAGTTCTATTTCATCATATATCAAAACTTAACTTCAACAAAGCCAATATTGTGATGCATTTTCTGTCTGTGAGGAAAAATAAACCAAACCATGTTCAATATGTTCTTGAATATTTGAATAATATTGTTATGAAATTAACAATAAATACAAAATTAATTTGAAAGCAACCCTGTATTTTAGATAAGCAATGAAAATTGGACATAAAATTATTAAGATGAAATAAAAACACATAATTTATATGTGTAAATACAGATACATAGACACACAGACATAACATGTGTAGAGAAAACTTCTAACACAGAACTACACAAAAAAAAAATCAACAGAAGATGTTGATAATACAAGACTGCGGCAAAGTAAGCATTGATCAACTTTATATTAACATTATGTTTTGTATAATTAGAACTTGTGAACATTTTAGCATTTTTAATTTCTTAAACTGAAATTGTGACCTGAAGACACAACTTTCCTCTCTTCCCTTCATACTTTTATGGAGTAGTTTATAGAATGCCTTAATTTTAACCAAGTCATTGAAACGCCATAACTCCTTTGCTAGAGTTAAACAATTAAAGAAAAACACATTGGCACAATGAACCAATCGTTCAAATATACATCTGTGTAAGGTTCAAAAACATTGCTTTTTTTACTGAAGGAGTACTGTTTTGTTTACTGAAGGAGTATTAAAGGCCTCAACATATTTAGGGCCAAATGTTTAAGTGAATCTTTATCACCCACGGGGCCCATGTAGCGGTATTAAATGTCCTTGACAATGTTTGAAGGTGTTTCTAACTGTTTACATGGTCAGGTTGGCAACAATATTTACTGTTACGTGGTCAGGTTGGCAACAATATTTACTGTTTACATGGTCAGGTAGGCAACAATATTTACTGTATGTTGTTGCTATGTCAGATATTGTTTGTTTTAACCTCCCTTCTCGTTTAGTTTTGTCAATATACATGTAAAATACAAACATAAAGACACATAACTTGCAAAGCATTGCAGTTCAAGCTAATAAAGATTTATAATTATAGTAAACAAGGAAGAGTAGAAGAAGTAAAAAAAGCAAGTATGTGGTTCTACCTTAGACTACTACTCAATTTACTAGGAGAGGTAGCATAAACAAGTAGAATAAATATTGTAGACATATCATAACTTTAAAACATTATTATCCTTAAATCATTTCCTTTATCTCTTAACATTCATATATCTTAACAATGACTTTTGTTTCCTAAAATTTTAAGTCGCAAAAAACAACAGAATTATTCTAACCAAAATGTACTGTAAAATAAGATATTTTGTGAGGCGAAAATTTTGTGAAATCAATATTTAAGACATAAGGTGAAACATTCGTGAATTTCTATTTTCAACTCTGTTATGGATATATGATACTAATGTTCTTAGATGACATTTATTTTCATTTAATTCTTCAATTTGCAATATTAGTAAAATTTAATCCCTTACAAAATTTCTAATCATAAAGTAGTGACTATTCAGGAAGAAAACAGAGATAGTTCAAAGATAGAAAATTCTTTTTTGTTATACAAATATCTTTTTCCTATCATCAATGTAAGTCTTATATTGATTTAAAATGGGAAGACTCAATTTGCTTAATTTCCTGAAGAACTTACGATATTTTGGTGGTGAAATCATCAACAGGAATCTCCATTTTAGCTTCCACTTCAGGGGTAATATCTTCATTGTTGCCACCATCTTTTTCATCTTCTTTCTGGCTCATTTCTTTCCTGAATACCCGCCATTGCAGACATACAAAGAGAAGCTGGAAGAAGTCGGCAATTAGTTTGTATGAGTTTGGAGGATTAAGATAGTCCGGGAGATAAAACCAGAGCTCTAGCTCCTCCCCTTGATTGTCATTTAACATCCAGAATCGACCATCCCACGGATATCCTATAGATAAAAGATTAAACTGTAGGATTTTCCCAATTCTATGTATAAGCAATTAAGCAAAATATCAATACAGAATTTGGTGAAGATATTACAGAGTATGTCTGTGGTCAAAGTAGCTCACTTAAAACCATTTGCCACTTACCACTGTGAGTTTGAATTTTGCTATGAACAATTCGAGGAAAATATCTTAAGGTCTTATTGCTAAAATGTTATTAGGCTGTATTTGATAAAGGGACATTATTTGAGACCCTTGATGAAGAAATTTGCTAGATTGATTAATATCCTTGACTCTTCTGCAATTCTGGTTTTACCAAATTTACTTTGGCATATTAAAAACACAGATCAGAATGCTAATATGAGACATTCATATATTCCTTGTTGTCTCTAAATATCATTTTCTGTTAGAATGACAATGATAAGGGATCTGAACACTACTACAAGCCACAATGACATTTTCTAATCCGAATCCAGTTGATTAGAACAGGAAGCCTAATTTATGGTTTACTTAACACCTGAGATAGAATAAACAGTTTTATACTTAATCTTTAACAATAAATTTATCGATGAACACTTACTATAACAGAAGCCAAGAGGTAGACCCAGTGCTGAGAGGAACTGTACAGGGAGTAGTATTACAAGGAATATGGTGTATATCGGCCACAATCGAGCATTTGCCCGTCTGCTGAGCAGTAACAAGATACCAAGTAAGAGGGCATACAGAACAGACATGGCATCCACTCGTACACTTATTGCCACTGCTGTCATTATGTAACATACCTGTAAAATATTATACAAGAACATAATAAAATATGCCTTTCAGAAAAATCAGTCAAGCAATCTTTGTCAAGTTATAAAGAACGTTCAATGCTCCATTTCAAAAAAATTCAATACTTTATTTTGTGACCATTTTTAAAATTAACAAAATATGTCAAATATTGATACATGCTATCATCCTGGTTACACTCTAAACCAGTTTACATATATAGAGGATATTGAATGAGTGTAGTTTAATACTAAATTTATTGAACTCGTTTAAAAAAATCATATTATGCGAGCCTCTGGCAAGCATAATATTGTTTTATTCAACGAGTTCAATAAATTTAGTATTGAATCTACACAAATATAATATTCTATTTATCACATATATAAAATAAGAACAGTTAACTGTTAAAATGAGTAATTTTTCAATGACGCGCTTATAGTGAAACGCTTACATTAGCACGTTTTATCGCTAAATTTGTATATAGCGCAAATGACGTCACGTCAAAGTGTTATTACACTAGTATAATATCGTTTCTATTAATTAAATGGCTTTATAACACTTCTGCACTGTGGTTTATGTGATAATAAAGTTTATCAAATATCATGCAAAAGAGAAATAAGTCCCCATTGAATCTCTTGATAGAATAAAATCATTTCACATTTACTGTTTAACTGAAAATACTTCAAACATTTCACCACAACTGTGAATAAGAACAAATTTTCTAACCTCCAAGCCAAATTTATAGAAGAAATAGTTGAGAAAATATTTAAGACACTCCACAATGCCTTTATCTGCTTCATGCCTCTTGATATCAGAGAAGATGATGCCTGTTTTGGGTTTCTGGACGTCTGGATGACGGTAGTACTGACACTGATGATATACCACTATACGTTCAAACACCAGGATCAATAATATACCAATGTAGTTCTGTAAATAACATTTACTTCAAATTAGAAATAATCTTAATAAATGTATTATCCAATCTAATATACATAATAAAAAGATGTAGCTCTGAAAACATACATTTCATATAACTAATAATACAATTTTTACACTAGAATTAACAAGACATGTATTTCAATATAATTCTGGAAACAAAATATTTCACATTTTTAGTATTCCTGGAGAACTATGCAGTAAGTACCAATTTCTCTGCAAGTAACTGACTACTTATCCTATATGATATCTGAATCAATGACAAGAGATAAATGACCATTACATTCTATGTCAGAGATCTGTCACAAAAAAAAATATTACCTCACCCAAGGATCAACCCCTGGCTTACAAATCCAATGCTCTAAATATAGTTTTTAAAATTGCTTTCAGGTAAGAAATATTGTTACAAATGCACCAGTAAAATTCACAATACATGTATATTCTGTATCAATATAGTTATGAAAATATGTATTAAATCAGAAATAGTCCTAAACTGCCATTAGCAATAATACAACTTATTTCTTAAAATGTAATAGGTCATGCCTATAAAATAACATCAGTTTTTGTTAAATTTTACAATAAATACAAGAACTTACCCTAAGATAATATGAAACATCTGATGTTTTCATCATGCCAGCCCAGTGAGCATTATCTATCTCTCCTTTAAATGGTGCCTCATTTGACATATTACCCTGAAATTAAACAAAACATTTATATCCATAGAAACAAAACATTTCTTTTCTGATTAATACAAACCAGAACATTTGTTACCCACTGACCTTTAACCTCAGTTTTTCAGACTACCCACCAAATGGACAATCTGGTATGTCTCAAAAATTATATGAAAGATACATATTGGTTAAGAAAGAAGTATAAATAAGGAATTTCCTTAAATCTGGCACAATGAGCAAGTTTCAGTAGCACTTGCTTATAAATGCTGACTCTAAAGAGTTTGTCCCAATAGCTGATCATTGAACTATATGTGCTCAGGTGAGCTAAAAAATAAAATTTCAAAAAGATGTAACTGATAAAGTAAATTTCTTCAAGACGATATGAGAGTATATATTATACATACAGCAGTACAGTTAGACAGCCATCTACTGTTATCCACCAGTCCAAGTTGGTAGATCATCTTAGCTAGTAGTACAAGAGCTGTCCAGAACTGAGCTAGATGTGACAGTAGAAACTGACAGCCTGTCAGTGGCAGGAATATGCTCAATAAAATCACATACACCGCACTAACAGCTGATACCTGAAAAAAACAAAATACATTATAAATTATACATGTTTTCTAATAAAGACATTCGGGTTTTCCATCTTTATATTTTGTTCTTTGTATTTGAAAATTTATAAGGAAAATGATACATGTATATGGTAAAATTGAATCTGGTTCTGTATTTCAAATATCATTGATGAAATATTAAAAAAATAGTCAAATAAAATTACTGTAAACTGTCATATAATTTCCCTATGATGAAAATTTGTGCCAATGTTGAAAATGATGTTTGTAGTGCAAAAACTATGGATTTTTTGTTCTGTGTGAAAAAGATGATTTTAACAGACATTAAAAACCATTGAACAATTTAACCATAACTATAATATTTTGAAGTTCATCTTGTGCTAATTACTTCTGAAACAACACACAAAACAAACCTCATGTGTTGTCGCCATGATGATAACAAAGGCTACAACTTTGAATACATGTATTTCTGCCAGTCTCCATAGAAACCTGGTCAATGTCTCCCAAAAGTCAGTGGTATAACGCCAACACTTTCGAAATTGCTCATTAAACTTTTTCCCCATTGCTGTAAAAAGTAAATCAACAACATTATGCATCATTTTTACATCAGACCCTATTTCTGCTTGGCAAAGAAAGAAAAATGGCTTAAGCAGAATATATGGCATATGAAAGTAAGTGCCACATTTCAACCAAGATGTCCCTTATAAACTTGCATATTGGAAGATTTTTCATTATTTATCTATCAATATTTAACAAAAACATGTTATGATTTACGTTTTATGAGACACAAAAAAAAACAAGAGGGCCATGATGGCCCTGAAGTCGCTCACCTGTATATAGGTCCCAGGAGCGGGCAGGTTTAAACCCCCGGGCTTTTATTTGAACAAACTTGGTAGACACCCATTAGAAGATGTTTCATGCTAAACATCTGAGGTCTAGCTCGTTGGGTTTTTTAAAAGAAGATTTTTTCAAGTTTTTTCTTTACACATATTGTTAAAAACAATGACACACCTGGGGCAAAGCCAGTTTTGACCCCAGGGCTTTTATTTGAACAATCTTTGTAGACACTAACTAGAAAATGTTTCATGCTTAATATCTAAACTCTAGCTATTCGGGTTTTTTCAAAGAAGATTTTTAAGTTTTTGCTATACACATATAAGGAAAATCAATGTCCCCCGGGGCGGGGCCAATTTTGACCCCAGGGCTTTTATTTGAACAAACTTTGTTGACACTCACTAGAAGATGTTTCATGCTTAGTATCTAAACTCTAGCTATTTGTTTTTTTTTTTCAAAAAAGATTTTTTAAGTTTTTGCTATACACATAAAAGGAAAATCAATAACCCCCGGGGTGGGGCCAATTTTGACCCCAGAGCACTTATTTGAACAAACTTGGTAGAACTTCATTAGAAGATGTTTCATGCTAAATATCTTTGCTCTAGCTCTTTGGGTTCTTTAAAAGAAGATTTTTATAAGTTTATACTATATGTATATAGGGAAAATCAATGACCCCCTGGGGCGGGCCAATTTTGACACCAGGGCTTTTATTTGAACAAACTTGGTAGACATCCATTAGAAGATGTTTCATGCTAAATATCTTAACTCTAGCTCTTTGGGTTCTTTAAAAGAAGAATTTTTAAGTTTTTACTATATGCATATAGGGAAATCAATGACCCCCTGGGGCGGGGCCAATTTTGACCCAAGGGCTTTAATTTGAACAAACTTGGTAGACACTCACTAGAAGATGTTTCATGCCAAATATCTAAGCTCTAGCTCTTTGGGTTTTTTAGAAGAAGATATTTAAAGTTTTTTCTTTTGGTTGCCATAACAACCAGAGTTCTGCATGGAATTAAATTCTTTGAACAATTTTTAAAGGTGACCACCAAAGGAACATTCCTGTGAAGTTTGGATGAAATTGGCTTAGTGGTTTATGAGGAGATGTCATTTAAAGTAAAAGTTTACGGACAGACAGACGCCGGACGGACGTCGGACGGACGTCTGACGAAAAGCGATCACAAAAGCTCATCCTGTCACTTTGTGACAGGTGAGCTAAAAATCCAACCTGTCATAGATGTTAAATGTTTATTGAGGATGACTGAAAGACTAGAATCATGTATACAGTACATACATTTACTTTTGTCTTTTGGATCAGCACATTCGGTATCGGTTGTATCAGGAGAGGTAACAAGGTCTGGTGTAGTTGGGGCATCACTGGTAGCACTTCTATAATCATATTTACCATCATATATACATGTACAGATATTAGCAACAAAATGATGCCTTCGCACCAGAAACAACAGCCTTTACACATCAACCCATTAGTCGGCCATTCAAACTTAATATTTCAAGATTTCCATAAATTTATCAAAAACAAGCATTTTTTCTTTGTTTTACCTATTTTGCATTTATATGAATATTTTCATCAACTTCAAAAATCATACATTCTTTTCAATTACTTACAAAATAGATAAACATTATACTTATTTGTATAAAAAAAAAATACATAAAAAATACATAAAAAGCAGCATGTTTTTTACTTATTGCATTAACTTAAATTTTTTTGCATAAAAACAAGCATAAATTTCAGTCACTTCATATCAGAATGGCATAAAAGCATGCATGTTTTTCACTCACTTGTATAAAACTTTACTTACTTGAATCTATTTAGGTCACTGATAAGGAGGAAAGGTTTGTGGAAGTAGTGTACTTGTATAATGATAAAGATGAGGAAACTGGTAGGTGTAAGTAGTTGTACAAACAGTTTTGCTGTACTGAACTTCTCTAAACCAATGTCAGCAAGTCTGAAATATATAACATATATACAGTCAAACCTTTATACCCTGGCCACTTAACAAAAATGAAATTACACCGAAAGCCAGTCAACAATGGCAATAATTTTCCAATAAAGAAAAAAACAAAAGAGGAAAAATACTCTTAAGAGAAGCCACTTACAAATAAAAACCTGTAATAAATAATTGTACCCCCTTTGACAACTATGGCAAATTTATTTCAAATAATCTTCTTGTGTTTGAACAAGTGAAGTTCATTCAAATATGATAAATACCAAGTCTGATGATGATCCATGCATTGGTTCATGCAAAGAAGTCAGAACTCAGTCTTTTGTCAGCTCTTGTTTAAAGATAATCCACCAAAAGGTTCATGGCAAGACTTTGTTACAGGTATAACTATTTTCAAACTTAGCTTCCCATAAAGGGACTGTCAAACTCATTTGTACAAACTTTATATAATGATATAGAATTCTACAGACTCAGTTAAAGCCTATAAAGAGAAAAATGCTAATGTTATCACATACGTTTCATCTGACAGTTTGGTTGAATTTTTCCACTGTTCTGCAACATTTTGAAACTGGAAGGTGTACAACATGATGAGTACTATCATAGAGTACACAATAATCACCCACCAAAACAGGAACATTGTTGCTCTCCATAATCTGTAGGCATACTGCAATAACATCAAATAGGATAACCACACAAAATAATAACATTTGTCACATGTTCTTCATTGTTCTTTACAAAAAAAATGTACAGAAAAAAAATAAATCAAACAAGATTTAATCTACAAAAATGTATATATATTAAAGAAAGTCAAATCACTATATTACTGTTAGAATCAAAAGCCTTTGCTACCAGTATAGAGCCAGGTTACCCTGCACGTCTGTGCAGTCTAAACGGACTGGTACAAATCTAAGATTTGTAAATCCAATAAGCAAATTGAGCAGGTTAGAGGCAAGACATATTACATAACATTTTAACATGATAGTGCATCATTATTGCAATATTATAAGACCGACACCATGCTGGTGTGCTTTTCCTCAACTATGAATTTAACTCTCAAAAGTAGCCTTCAGCTTTTCTAAATATGTTAATTTTGGATAAATTGTTTCATATAATGGTCAAATCAAAAAATACATATACAATAAGGAAACCCCTTGATACCTCTAAACTACCGGCCTGCTCTCTATATCTAAATTAGTAAAGTGGATGATTTTTGTCCATATCTTTTATTTTTAGAAACGAACATCACTGACACATTATGAATGCTCTTAACAATTAAATGATGCACTTTTCTAAGATAAAATTACTGAAATAATTAGTTTGAAACAACACAGAATTGTTTGTTTTTTTTCAAATAGAAAACAAAAGCTGAAGGCTGCTGCTGTAACAAAGCTGGACAAGTCCATTACCCAAAGTAAGAAGGGTAAAAATGTACAAGTTAAATATACCTGAAATGTGAGTATGAAGGCGAGGAAGAGTATCATGTAGATAATCCTGTAGACCACAACCTCTTGAAGGGAGATAACCAGTAACATGGCAGAACATAGCAAGATCCAGTATTTACACAGCATATTCCATACATACTGACCTACATGGTAAAACATATAAACATATACATGTATATGTAGAATATACTACACAAAAGTTATTTAGTATATTTTACTGATTTAAGTAGAACATGGAAAATTCTTAAAGAAATGAGTAATAATTTGAAAGAAATTTTATTGAAACAAATTAGAAATCACTTGGAAAGTACTGCTTAGTTTTCTTTTGACTGATCGTTTTTCCTAGAGAATGAACAAAGAGATACAAGGGTCATTACTAACTTTTATTTCACTCCTGTGATTATAAATATTTTTTTTAATAGGAAAATCACTTATAAATCTCTGTATAACTTAAAATATCAAATTTTTCCTGAACTGTATATGGCAATAAATTTTTACAAAATTGGAATGCTTGATCATAAACTTATAATAATTTTTCATTTAACTAAGATTTCCACTGAACTTCCTGGCATTGAAGCAAACTTAAACAATACAATCTTTTTACTGTAATGAATACATAGAAATGTAAACATTTGATAAGATAATAGAATATAACAATGGATTCTATCAATTGTTGGAGACAGTATAGTGAGTATACTATAACTGGTACATACAATCTGTAAGGCAAACAACTCTGTTCAAAAAGCATGACTCCAATAAAATTACAGTGAATATATGAACGACCATAATGGATTTTTTTTTCATTTAACTTACTGACAACAGGTAAATAAGAAGAAATGAGAATACTAAAGTGTTTACAGGCAAGGCAGATAGATGGCCAAACAGTGGACACAAATATTAAAAGAAAAACTACATGTATGTATAATTATTACAGACTAATGTTTACAGACACAGTTATGCACAATCCCTATAAATATATTTTATCTAGCATTATTTAACTACAGTTTATATCATTATGGTAAAAAATAGTTTTAATGTAGATAATAATTTTATTTTGCTTGACTACAGATATTATAAAACAGTTTCTGTTAACTTTATTTATATTCAAAATTGTGAAAACAGTGACCTCATGAAAATACAAAGTTACACAACTTTTATTTTGTGATACATCATCAAAAATAATATTGAAAATCAAGAGAACCGTGGAAAATTTTATAAGACAGACATAAAGACTTACAAACTGTAATGATAATGGACAACACATGTCTTATTCATTCTTGAAATAATTTCACAAAATACATAATACACAAACATACCGTAAACATAATTGTACAATAATTGTCTCAATCATGCAATCATACATGTATATATATTCCTGAATATTAATAATATCATATACATGTATTATCTATGAAGATAGGCTAAATATAGTAAAAAATTTCAGTTCTTCCAACTGTACTCTCCACTTTTTTAGTTTATACATATTTATTTTAGTTTGATTGTGTTGGAAGCTATAAGCCTAATGAAACACTCCCAAATCAGTTCCTGGAGCCAACCAGTACTAAGCAATGATTGTAAAATTTCTTGCTCACAGAAACAACAGCTTGCCCAATGGGGTTTGAACCCACACAGCCAGCAATCTTTAGATTACTAGTCCAAGGAGCTAACCACTCGGCCAAGCCACCACTTTTTTCAAACCCCATATAAAACGAGACCATGCCCTCATAACAACTTAAACATGATTGATAGTTGAAACAATGGAAGTTACAGGCTATTTTTGTTGTCACATGCTTATTATTTATGTGATATAATACACAATAATATGTTATTTTCACATCTTCAGGCATGCTGTTGTACAATATATGTGACTACAATTAAATAATATATTTTTCACTTGATAAAAGTGCTACTCTAGCAGGATACTACAGTGGGCAGGTTACTACAGCGGGCAGGTTTACTATAACTAGATGATCCGTGTAAAATGTATTGACATCATGACATAATATGTTGTTGATCAAGACAAGATAATGGAGATAAGATGCAATATTTTTCAAGACATGATATGTAAATAATGAAGATAGGATGCAATATTGATCAAGATATGTTATCTTATTAATGAAGATACCATGCAATATTAATCAAGACATGATATGTAAATAATGAAAATAGGATGCAATATTAATCAAGACATGATGTGTAAAAAATGAAAATAGGATGCAATATTGATCAAGATATAATATGTAAATAATGAAGATAGGATGCAATATTGATCAAGATATGATATGTAAATAATGAAGATAGGATGCAATATTGATCAAGATATGATATCTTAATAATGAAGATTTGATGCAATATTGATCAAGACATGATATGTAAATAATGAAGATAGGATGCAATATTGATCAAGATATGATATGTAAATAATGAAGATAGGATGCAATATTGATCAAGATATGATATGTAAATAATGAAGATAGGATGCAATATTGATCAAGACATTATATCTTAATAATGAAGATTTGATGCAATATTGATCAAGACATAATATGTAAATAATGAAGATAGGATGCAATTTTGATCAAAATATGATATGTAAAGAATGAAGACAGGATGCAATATTGATCAAGATATGACATGTAAATAATGAAGATATGATGCAATATTGGTCAAGACATTATATGTAAATAATGAAGATAGGATGCAATATTGATCAAGACATGATATGTAAATAATGAAGATAGGATGCAATATTGATCAAGATATAGTATGTAAATAATGAAGATAGGATGCAATATTGATCAAGATATGGTATGTAAATAATGAAGATAGGATGCAATATTCATCAAGATATGGTATGTAAATAATGAAGATAGGATGCAATATTGATCAAGATATGATATGTAAATAATGAAGATAAGATGCGGTATTAATCAAGACATGCTATGTTAATGATCAAGATATGATGCAATATAATAAATGGAGACATAATATTTTATTGATCAAGACATAATATGCTAATGATCAAGATATACTACTGATCAAGAAATGATGCAATAATGATCAAGACATGATATCATATGCTAATTATCAAGAAAATATGCAATAATGATCAAGATATGATATGTTAATCGTATTAAAGATATCGTCAATATATAATGATCAAGACATAATATGCTGTGATTAATCATTACTCAAGACATAATATGCTAATGATCAAGACATAATATGATAATGATCAAAATATAATGTTCTAATGATCAAGATCAAGTGCAATAATGATCAAGACATTTTATGCTTATGTCCATTTTATAATATGCTTATGATCTATATATGATATTTATGCCAAATTTCAAGTTATAATTTGGTAACAATCAAGATATGAAGCACAACTGATATAGACATAAAAGGCAAATGATTAAGCTATGAAAGGTTAATGATTAAGATATGGCAAGATACTGATTTAACATGATAGATTAATGATTAAGACATGAAAGGCTAATGATTATGACATGTTAGAATAATGATTTAACATGACTAGATAATGATCTAGACTTAATAGAATAATGATTTAGATATGATAGAATAATGATTTAGACATGATAGAATAATGATTTAGATATGATAGAATAATGATTATGACATGTTAGAATAATGATGTAACATGATAGGATAATGATCTAGACTTAATAGATTAATGATTAAGATATGAAAGGCTAATAATTTAGACATGATAGAATAATGATTTAGATATGATAGAATAATGATTATGACATGTTAGAATAATGATGTAACATGATAGGATAATGATCTAGACTTAATAGATTAAATGATTAAGATATGAAAGGCTAATGATTAAGATATGAAAGGTTAATGATTAAGATATGGTAAGATACTGATTTAACTTGATAGACTAATGATTAAGACATGAAAGGCTAATGATTTAGACATGATAGAATAATGATTTAGACATGATAGAATAAAGATTAAGACATGATAGAATTATGATGTAACAAAGCAGTATAATGATCTAGATATAATAGATTAATGATAAAGATATGATAGAATAATGATTTAGACATGATAGAATAATGATTTAGACATGTTAGAATAATGATTTAGACATGATAGAATTATGATGTAGCATAGCAGTATAATGATCTAGACATAACAGGTTAATGATTAAGACATGATATAATGAGGATTTAAATATGACTGGCTAATGATCTAATAGTTAATGTTCTAGACATGAGAGGTTTACAATCAGATGAATCTGCATATGATATGTACCTAGGTTTTTTTTGTTAATTTCTACCTTGGTATCCCAGTATTCACCATGTAATTTGCCATTACGATAATTTAACTATTTCATTGCAAAAACAAACAACATTAAGTGTAGAACAAGATATATTTTTATGTACCAATTAAAGACATGCCAAGGGTCTAAATGCCAGTCAAAAAGTTTTAATAAAAACATTAAATTTTCCGAGACCAGAAACACATTTACATAGAATCAAGAGAACAAACTGGATAATTCTCTACTGTCTTACATGATGACTGGGATCCAAGCAGTAAACTATCCTTGTTGTTCATTTTTCTTTCTTTATATAAAAAAACAACAAACAACAAAACAACAGCTGTGATCTTCCACCGGAAAAAAACAGTAGAAACCTCAAGTAGTGCAAACTGAAACCTTACCACTGAGACATAGAAATGGTTTGAGAGTGGGAGTGAGAGAGAGAAAGAAAGAAAGTGCGTACCTAACCATATCATTGTATTGCTATCATACCCATCCGGGGAGTCCAGGCGCAAATCTGTGTCACAACAAAACACGCACACGCTGTTAGACAGTTTACACCATGTACTGGTATTAGTAACCAACTCTCTTTGCAAACATATTTTAATATTCTTTTTTCTCACCTTTTATCAAAAACTGATCAAATACATTTTTAATTTGTAGTGTTTTTATATTTTATCAATATCTGTGTATATAATATACCGGAATAACTTTGCAGACATATGTAACTGCCATTTTTGCCAAAATTTTAGGCGTAACGTGTTTCTTATGAAAATTAATCAAATTTTGCAAAGAGAGTTAATGTTATGTTAATATTATATCATAAAAAAGGTATAGAAAGGCTCTAAGGTAAATTAAAGCATTTTAATAATTATATTAAAATCATATATAAAACAAGATGTCTTGTATTTTCTGATGTGTTTAGACAGTTTAAATAGACTGACTTACTCTCAAATAAATTAACACTACAAGACTTAACATATACTTATTAATAATCATTTTTTCCTGATACTCATTAATTTTAATGATTTTTTTTTTCTTTCAATTTTATTCTAAGAGAATGCAGGAAATTTCTAATTTTAAAATTGTTTCCACATTCAAATTTGCTTATCATTAAAAGTGAATAATTATGAAACCATTGACCGTTGTTGTAGGGAAGAAAGTACAGCAACACCAATAGGATTTTTTTTACCCGTAAGTTTTTTGTTATTTGTATATTTTTACTGATATTTTTTCAAACTTACAATCATACAAAATCTAACACGACTACTGACAGTATTGTGTTAACAAAATCTCATCAATAGAGATATAATTTAGTCAGAGATTATAATAAAATTCTCACACACACACGTTAGTCATTTCATTTTTAAAAGATTATTTCGAAAATGAAATCTTGGGACTACTTCATGTACTTATTATGTGGCTTAAAATTTTTTTTTCAAAGAGAAAGACACCTTCACTAAATATTCTTAAGCAACATTGATCCAATTCCCTTATTCACTAGATAGTGCCTGCATTTTTCTCTATTTGGTGGACAAATATAAGCAATGTGTTCAGTGTAGAACAAACATGGCACATGCCTGAGCTCAGCACCTATACCAGTACAAACATTATAGCCTGCAACTGGAGTCCCAAGATTTCATATTGGAGCACAATTAGTGAATGCAGTATTTTGTTATCAAAATATACTTATCTATTACCTAATAAAGCTAGAATTGACAATAAAAAAGTAGAGAAAATTTATATATATTAACCAATATATTAACTTGTAAAGCATTGGTAATATTTGAATAAGTGTAAATAGATAATGATTTAAGTAATAAACTGTCAAAGAGTTTTAAAAGGTGTAACACTCAAGTATAACAAAGAGCAAAGAAGAATTATAGCAACTAAAGCTTGAACAGTTTACTCAAACAAAGCAAAGATTCATGCTTAAACATTCAGCATTTAGCCTGTTTTATCATGTCTTGTTCAAATTATAACTGTATACGTCAAAATTCAACTTCCCAGCTGGTACTTGTGGTGAATGAACCCAAATACCCTGCTTGGCAATATTGAAGGTGCATGCAGGCATTTTGGTAGATTTACCACCCTTCCAAACCAAAGGATTCAACCAGCAGGATTAGAATCCATGGCAGCAAGGTATATAATTCCTGTGTACCTTAACTACCTGCCCACAGAGAGACCTTGACATAATACCTAACCAACTATTTGCAATTTTATTAATCCAGAATACAGATCATATTAAATATGCTTGGATAAAACAAGACTTAAACAGACTTGGACCTTCTTCAGACAGGGCTGTCTCAATATGAATTCTGCCCCTTGTGAACAGTGCATTATTTATAATTCTAACACGACCTGCATTTTTCACTATTGAATATAGAAGAACCGAAAGTGTGTGTTATTATGCAACAGAGTCACAGTTGACGTTCTATATTTAGATATGTAACATAATCATTATACATGTGACGTAACCAATAAAAGAATCCGACGCGCTTAAAATAAGTACGGAAACAAATCAGGCGCAATTTTGCTTAATATCAGGTACAGCAGCATTTATTTGTTGATGTCGTGTTAGAATCCAAATAATATATCCAAATCGGTGATTTTATCGCTTGATAACATCACTGTTTGTCGTTCAGATGCGCATCATTATATCACCTCGGCTACGCCCTCGTGATATAATTCCTCCCATCCGAACTCCAAACAGTGATGTTATTGAGCGATAAAATCACTGTTTGAGATATATTATTTCTTAATTCAATGTGACACACTTGATTACAGAGATTAATTAACTCATTATGTCATTAACTCTTATCTTACTGAACTTCTTTAATAGACATTATGAAGCTCCCATTTAAGAAACTGTCCATTATCAAATTTAGGGATATCAAGATGACAATTTGAGGTTGGTCCAACAATAGCAAAGTTCAAGGTCAGACAGATGTGATAACTTTGACTGGCACTTTAATGGCAGCAAAGGGTGACTACTCCTGTCTCCAGTATGCCAAGTGTTAAAACACACTCGAAAATATGTGTTTGAACAATTATAACTTCAGCATGGGGCTATATATATTAATTGGTTGAGAAGACTGAATACGAAAGCGTCATGGAAAGTACATGAAAACATCAAATTGTTTTAGGAACACTGGTCATTATAACTACTGGATTCAAACTATATCCCATTACATGAGATAATAAATATATAAATACATAAAACCTTTATAATTTTATCTTATGCTTCGTAAATATACCTGCATTTATAGGAGAAAGCACAATGCACAGAGGGGTATCAACTTACAACATTACACCCAGCCCAGGTATAAATGTGCATAAACAAAACATAACCTTTTTTATATCTACATGATTTCTTAAAGCCTCAGCCATAAATGAAAGTATAATTAAGCCATTATCTTCAAAGTGGTGTAAAAATGTATAAAAACAAAATATTACCAATAATTTCCCCGATTTTGCCATCAAGCTTTTTCATGGCTATAGTTTTAGAACAATAATTGTATATTTTTAATTACATGTGAGTCAACAGGACATTAAGAGCCAGATATTCTTGTTAAAATGAAAAGAAACTAGAAATGTGTCATCATGCCACGGATGCCCCCGCATGCAGCCAAAATTTCAAATGTTATAATATTTAGTTCCAAATTTGTTTGCACAAATTATTTTTTTCATTCTTAGTTCAAAGCCCTTAAAACTTTTCAATGTTAACACAAACCATTTTTATACAATGTTCAAGGCACTGAAATTATTCAGTCTTAACCATTTTTATACAATGTTCAAGGCACTGAAATTATTCAGTCTTAACCTTTTAAAAATAGCATATTGCATATTTGTAGCCAACATAATGGCTATATACATTTCCACAAAAGTATGAGTGCTGAAACTGAAAGTTCAAAATTTTTCCAACATTCAGGAAAGATAAGTTTGTCTAAAATCATTGAACCACGTCCAAATTCAAACTTAAACTGCTTATTCCTAAGATGTATCTATATTATTTTCAAAGTGAAAGGGACATAACTCTGCCAAAAAATCATCGAACCATGACCAAATTCCAACTTGACCTGCGCATTCCTTTGACATATCCATATGTCAATTTTGAGTTGAATATGTAACACTGTTGGGTTGATAATGAACAGAAACTGTAAATTTCATATCATTTTCAAAGTGAAAGGGGCATTACTCTGCCAAAAATCATTGAACCATGACCAGATTCGAACTTGGTCTGCGCATTCCAAAAACATATCCATATGTCAAATTTGAGTTGAATGTGTAATATTGTTGGGGAGATAATAAACAGAAACTGAAAATTTCATATTATTTTTAAAGTAAAAGGGACATAACTCTGCCAAAAATCATCGAACCATGACCAAATTTGAACTTGACCTGCGCATTCCTTTGACGTATGGATATGTCAAGTTTGAGCTAAATGTGTTGTACGATTGGGGAGATAATGAACGGAAACTGAAAATTTCATATTATTTTCAAAGTGAAAGGGGCATAACTCTGCCAAAAATCATTGAACCATGACCAAATTTGAACTTGACCTGCGCATTCCTTTGACGTATCCATATGTCAAGTTTGAGTTGAATGTGTTGTACCATTGGGGAGTTAATGAATGGAAACTGAAAATTTCATATTATTTTCAAAGTAAAAGGGGCATAACTCTGCCAAAAATCATCGAACCATGACCACTTTCGAACTTGACCTGTATTTTCTCATGACATATCCATATGTCAATTTTGAATTGAATGTTTTGAACCGTTTGGGAGATAATGAACGGAAACTGAAAATTTCATAATATTTTCAATGTAAAAGGGGCATAACTCTGCCAAAAATCATAGAACCATGACCAATTTCGAACTTGACCTGTATTTTCTCATGACATATCCATATGTCAAATTTGAGTTCAATATGTGAAAGGGTTATTAAGATAATGAACGGAAACTGATGATGACGGAAGGACGGAAGGACGGAATGACGGAATGACGGAACAGGGTAACACTATATGCCCCTGCCATTATATGGCGGGGGCATAAAAACACAAATCTATATTCACTCCAAACCCTTAATTTCAAAGGCAAGGGCAACAAAATAAAATTAATATAAGGAAAACCAACAACATAACTATTACTAACTTTTAAGCTTACTAAAAATTGAATAAAACAAAAATTGAAAAAGAAAAATTAAATAATACATCTATAGGCACTAAAATTAACATAAATGAAATTCATTTTAAAACCTCTAAAGCTTCTATTTTTATGGTAGTGCTTTTGAGATATATTCTTATTTTGTTGGTATTAAAATAATCACACTACAACTAATGATAGTGTATTGAAGGAACCTTGGTAGTTAATATCACCATCTTAGTGCAGTCTGGCGTTAAGTCCTAAATTTAATAGGAGTAAACTAGTAACTGCACTAAGGAGACAATATGTAAAAGTCAAAATCCATTCATCAATGGTTATCTACGGAGGAAGAGGAATGATAACAGACATTAAGACAGAGAACAACTGTACAATTTATAAATAAGAAAACTTGCTAAATATAAATCATAAAATAACTTTATTGTTGAAGACCTACATTATCCGCAGATAAGTAACATTCCAAAGTTGTTTACCTGTAACCATTTTCTATTTTGACATTGTAACTTTAACTTTTTGATCCTTTTTAATTAACATTGTTTAGATCCTATTTTATTAACATTAGCATTTGAACTATTATGTTTTGGAAGTATACAAGATCTTTTATGAAGAACAGAATGGTCTAAAAACTCATTGACTCTGTATCAGCAAAATAATACACCCCCTGTCCTCCACAGAAACCATCATTAGTCTAAATATCTCAAATTAACTACCAATAAGTTTGTAAAATGTTAACCCTCTATCTTACATGATAACACAAAAAGAAACTTTCAGTTAAAAGACATGTAGGCTATACATACGTAGCATTTCAGAGAAAGATTTAGGTGTGGTGGGTGTCACCGCGGCAACCGCTTCCATCTGATATTTCTCCTCATCACTCAGTATAGACTGTCTTCGTTCTCTGATATACTGTCTTAATGTTAACCAAAACATCACAGTATATACAACCTGGGGAAAAAAACAGTGTCAAACTTGTATAAAATACCAGTGAATGCTGAAAACATAGAATGCCTTTGAAGGTCAAGGTTATATCCGGATAAGAATTCATTTCAAGAATTCATTTCAATATGAAGCATGGCATTATGTTAAATTGCACAAGTACTAAGAGCTAAGAGTAAAATAAATAACATATATATGGTGAAGTTTTCTGAATTTTGAACGTTTGAACTTGAAAATAAAGATCAATAATGAGCAGAAATCAATGTGAAAATGAATGTTTTGCAAATATAATCATTTAAGGTCAAGGTCATAATTCATCACACAAGCATAAAAGTATCTCATCAAGAGATGTTTTGTGTCTAGGTATGAAATTTCTAGTTAATTATAAAATGAAAATGTTATAGATATATCAATAAGGGAGAATAGTTGCAAGATGACCACTATAATCTTACAGGTTTCTTAACAGTTGCTCTATATAGTCTTTAAGTATTTCTGTTAACTTGAATGTAAGATAAGCTAAAATTATTTATCCCTCAAAGGTTAATTCACTGGTCAATGATATTAATTTTCCTAATTAACACATATTATTGCCAATAAAAGAATCAAAGTCTCATTCTTGAACTAAATGTATAACCATACCTGTAAGGCCAATTGTAAGCATGGGTATTTAAATTTCTTTAATCCGATTTCTTCCAAGTTGACTCCATCCTTCTCTTTGGGTAGTTCATTGTCCGTTAGGTTCATTCCGTAAACAAATTGTATAATGAGAAGAGCCATTGCGTATATAAGGATGATTGGTGATACGATGTAGCAGACGCGACGTGAGTTTGGTAACATCCAGATGCAGCAGGCTGCCAGTAACAGAACAAATGTCAACCAACTGTGAAACGTGATACTCCAAGCCTTAAAAAAAGTTTACAAACTGATAAAAACTTACCTAGAAAATCATGCTTCCATTCTGATCAAATCTTAAAGATAGTAAAATTGTCCATCTTATTATAAGCTTTACTTACTTGTTTGAAGTTCCCAGCCTGACATGACTTACTTGTTTAAATATCAACTGGATTAGAAAAAAACATCTCAATCTTCTTAATTTAAAATTCTACCTTAATAACATTTGAACTTACTAAATGATATGTATTAAGAGAATCATTTACAAGAATAGATGTCAATACACTTAACATGACTGTTTAACCCCTAAATATGGTTCTGCTTTGACCCAAAATATGGTTCTGCTTTGACCCCTAAATATGGTTCTGCTTGGACCCCATGTGGTTCTGCTTTGACCCATAAATATGGTTCTGCTTTGACCCATAAATATGGTTCTGCTTTAAAGGTAAACTTATATATGTAATCTACTAAAAATCTGAACTCATAACAATTCATCATCTTGAATCATCATTTATAATTTGTAAATACAAACATACCATCATGGCGATAAGAGACAAGACATAACTCTGTCCCATGACAAAGACGAGTGCAGACACCCATGGTGATCTTTTCTCACTTTGTTTCTTGTCTCGTCCATCTGTCTCATCACTGACGTCTGCTTCATCATCTGTGCCGAGCATTGTAGGTGAACCGGATCTTTCTGCATTAACCGGTTCAATACTGCTGTAATCTCGTACCTCCGCCTCAACCAGATGCTGTAATATATAAACAACTACATACTCTAACCATGTTATGTGATAAACAGTCTACTGTCTTCTGAAATTCGAACATGTTTTTAGTAAATTTTTGTAACTTCATCCACCCTTGCTCTTGAACTTTTCATCCCGCTACCATTGCAACTTATACACAACAAAAAATAAGCTGAAATAATAAACAACAAAATGGACCAAAATATCAATATAACACTGAAATAATAGTCCTCTACTGACCACAGAAAGGTATTGTATTTATACAAGCAGCTGTACTTAATGACACAATGAAAGGCATCTTCCAGTTCAACCTTGAAACCTCAAACCCTTCTGTGATTGATAAAAAAAATCAGCAATTCTGTAATGTTTTAGGATTTGGAGGTATACTTATTTTGAGAAGGATATTTGAAAAAGTTATTTGTGCACTATTATTTCCTCAGTACTGGTTGGTTTCAGACACAGATTCGAAAGTGTGTCTATAAGCTTATGGCTTCCTACACAAAGTAACATAAATACTGTATAAACAAAATATCATTCAATTATGTCAGTAAATGGTTTGCAAATCTTACATATATTTGATTCATAAAAATACAGTTTCAAAGACACTGAGAACCCAGTATCTTTGAACCAGATATACAGTTTTAAAGAAACTTGGGACCATAAATACAGTTTTAAAGATATTGGGGACCACAAATACAAAGACAATCTCGACTATAAATACAAATACAAAGAAACTGTGTTATCCCCACAAAGAAAATAATATCTACAACAACTAGACCTATCACTGAAGGTGATTTATACCCCCACCAGCAACTTTTTGAAAAATTAGTAGTCTGAAGAAAAATTTCAACACAAACTATCAACTGTGTACAAAGAAATATTTCAATTAATTGTAATCCCAACTGGGGTCTCCAAATAAGCTTGCTTTTCACAAAGTTTGATTACAATATCTCATTCCTAACTCTAGTTATTGTCCGGAAACCATTTTTCTATTTTTAGGAATGGTGACCTTGACCTTGACCCAAGGGGGTCCAAATGCAATACCAACCCAGGTCTTCATATAAGCTTGCTATACACCAAGTTTGATAACAATATCTCATTCCTAACTCTAGTTATTGTCCGGAAACCATTTTTCTATTTTTAGTAACGGTGACCTTGACCTTGACCCCAGGGGGTCCAAAAACAATACCAACCCAGGTCTTCATATAAGCTTGCTATACACCAATTTTGATTACAATATCTCATTCCTAACTCAAGTTATTGTCCGGAAACCATTTTTCTATTTTTAGTAACGGTGACCTTGACCTTGACCCCAGGGGGTCCAAAAACAATACCAACCCAGGTCTTCATATAAGCTTGCTATACACCAATTTTGATTACAATATCTCATTCCTAACTCAAGTTATTGTCCGGAAACCATTTTTCTATTTTTAGTAATGGTGACCTTGACCTTGACCCAAGGGGGTCCAAATGCAATACCAACCCAGGTCTTCTTATAAGCTTGCTATACACCAAGTTTGATAACAATATCTCATTCCTAACTCTAGTTATTGTCCGGAAACCATATTTCTATTTTTAGTAACGGTGACCTTGACCTTGACCCCAGGGGGTCCAAATGCAATACCAACCCAGGTCTTCATATAAGCTTGCTATACACCAAGTTTGATAACAATATCTCATTCCTAACTGTAGTTATTGTCCGGAAAACATTTTTCTATTTTTAGTAACGGTGACCTTGACCTTGACCCCAGGGGGTCCAAATGCAATACCAACCGGAGTTTTCACATAAGGTTGCTATATACCAAGTTTGATTACAATACCTCATTCCAAACTCTAGTTATCGTCCGGAAACCATGATGTGGACCGACCGACGGACCGACCGACCGACCGACCGACCGACAAGCTGACTCCTATATACCCCCCCTAAACTTCGTTTGTGGGGGTATAATAATTCAAATAACCATATCTTTAAAGGTATAACATGGAAAACAGCAGCAAACACTCTACTTTATACATACAGATAAAAGAGTTTCAATACAGCCTTTTGTGCATTAACATCTGCAGAATTATAAGGTTGACTTTAAAGCCAATGCCTGCAGGAGAAGAGATTCAATAGAGACTGAGGGTATCAATGATAATGGTCACATGTCGATCAACATAGTTTTTAATAGTCATAATACGTACATCAATATTTATGGTCAAAGGTCATACAAAATCAATAGTCAAAGGTCATACAACACAAATATCAATGGTCAAAAGTCAAACAACATAAATATCAATGGTCAAAGGTCATACAATATGAATATCAATGATCATACAACATCAATGATAATGATTATAAGGCATACAAAGTCAACATTAAAGGTAATACATTTTCAAAAATAAAGCTTATAGGGGATACAACATCAATACTCATGGTCAAAGGTCTTACAAGATCAATATCAACATAGTTTTTAATGGTCAAAATTCATACAACATCAACATAAATGGTCAAAGGTCATACAACATAAATAATAAAGATAATAGGGCATACAACATAAGTATTTAATGGTCATAGGTCACCAAACATCAATATTCATAGTCAATTAAAGGGCATACAACATTACTATTTATGGTCATACAACATTACTATTAATGATCATAGGTCACATATTATCAATATGGTTATAGGCTATACAACATCTATATTAATACACAAATACAGGTCATATGTCATTCAATCTTAATCATTATTATAATCAGCAAGCTAATGGTTTTAGGTCATACAAAAATCAATATTCATTTTCATAAGCCAAACATACAATTCACCAAACAAAAGTAAAGCCTATTCTTGGTGTAAATGTTCACTAAATAAAGGCCAATTTTACTTGCTACCACATATTCCTAGGCAAAATGAATCAGCACACTGAAGCAATATACCAACATTCAACAAGTTGGTTATTACAGCTAAAACACAAAATAAAAGCATTTTCTACAATAACAAAAACTCTCTGACAAAACTTTATAAACTGCAATATTTTGAACTACAACTGAGTTTTAATAACATAAGTATAACGTTTTTGAATATTTCTTTTAGGATCAGTATTTTAAAATATTTATATATATCAATGGCAGTTTAAAATATTGGCATGCAGTTTGTAACTTTTTGACAGAAATAAAAAATAAATTGACAAAAAAAGGATTGGTGGAATAAATTTAACAAAATTTAAGCAACTAACTTCACACATAAAATGAAAATTAACTTTTTCTTCAAAACTTTAAACAACAAATGATGAAAATAAACAGAAACATGCAAATCCTTTTCTACATAAAAACTTGAATGAAATTGTATAAATAATAAACAAATGAAACTGTCACTGAATGTTACTTTCTTGAACAACCTTTACCTTTTGATTAATCTAAGGGGTTTATATGTGCAGTGTACTTGTCATGTCTCTGACTTAGAACTATCCAACTTTATATTTCGAGGAATGTCAACTTAGTTTTATTATTTTTAATTTCAAAACACATACTGAATACATGTATACGTATATATTTCTTTTCGGTCCAAAATTAATTTCAGCAGTATCAAAAGCCCTTGAATTGAGTGATTTTTACCTTATTTCAGCAGCCAATACCTGATATGAACAGTCAATACAAACTTCAATGGCTAATTTCACACATAGAACGAAAATCAAAATCAATCTTTTTGATAAAACTCTAAGCATTCAATAAAGAATATAAAAAGAATCATGCAAATCTCTTCTGTGCGAAAAACTTGTGTAAACTTGCATAGATAATAAAACATATAGAAAAGCGCTAATTACATATACACTGATTACTTTAAGGTCTCCTTCATAAGTGCCAAATCAAATTGTGTGAATTCATAAATAAATTACTACAAATGGTTGAAGATTAATTATGGAGTTTTCAATTTTTATCAAAAGATGACATGGGCATTCTTATAGAACATAAAAGTAATAGGATATTGATTCATTAGATGTAAGTGAAATATTGCATTTTAGTAGGTATTTTCTATCCAATCAATATAATGAGATACAAATAAAAATTCTATCATAGTTTGGGGACTTTTCTGTTGAAAATATGTCAAAATTAAATTGTATACATATACATGCACAGTGCATTAACTGGAGTACAGTTATTAGTTACCTGCACTCAAGAGCATGCCCATTGATTGGCTCATTTTTTTCTGGGGTTTACTTATTGTGACGACACAGAAAGAGATAGCGATAGATATAACATATTCAGATGCTCGTTCATTGGTTACTTTTTTCTGGGGTTTCATATTGTGACAACAGGGAATGTGTTTCTATTTTTACCTTTGATAGTAAGGAGAAAGAACATCAAAACACTCATCAACCTTATTTATACTCAAGGGCTACAACCCCTCATACAAATCAGATAGCCTAGTGTTTGATTTATACTTGAGGGCTACACCCCCTCATACAAATCAGATAGCCTCGTATTCAATGCTCTTTCTATTACTTAGACTTTGTATAACATTAAATAAAGACCATTTTCTTAAATCACTTAAAATTATTTCACAGCTAGTGCATTTTTCCTTCACATACTTGTCAAGATATTTGATGTATCTCAAGGCAGGTGTCATAATTCTTTTATAGTCAAAAAAGGATGATTCAAATTACTGTCCTGCAGATTATATAATATAATGAATAATTTTGAAAGACATTTCTCAAATAAATTATGTTTTAATCAATAATTTTAGGGAGATCAATCAAAATAAATTATGATTTTTTTAGGAATTAAGAATTAATTAATAAAATAATCTACACTTTCATGAATAATTCAGAAAGTGATAAATCACATAAACTATGTTTTAAAGAATAATTTAGAAACAGATTAATTGAATAAACTATATTTTTAATGAATAATTTTGATAAAGATTAATCAAATTGCAATCATATATATTGTTATAGGAGAAAAAGACATGTCGAGATGTTTAAAGTTAAATAAGGCACCAACATTTCACATCATATCTAATATGAGGAAAATCATTAATAAATTACAGTAGTTTCTCTACAAGACAACAGATCAACCTCTTATTCTTGGTAATAACCACTTATACATTGTACTTTGTAATGATTGGTTATTCTTTATAACAACTGCTTATTCTTTGTAATAATTGCTTATTCTTTGTGACAACTGCTTATTACTGATATTAACTGCTTATTCTTGTCAATAACCACTAATTCATGATAATAACTGCTTATTCTTGGAAATAACTGCTTATTCTTGGTAATAACCACTTATTCTTGGTAATAACTATTTTCTTGTTAATAATTGCTTATTCTTGGTAATAACTGCTTATTCCTTGTAATAACTGCTTATTCTTGGTAACAACCACAACCACCTATCTTGGTAATAACTGCTTCTTTGTAATAACTGCTTATTCTTGGTAATAACCACATATTCTTGGTTATTACTGCTTATTCTTGGTAATAACTAGTAATAAACAGTAAAACCAAATTTCAATATGATCTATACAAGTGGCCTAGTTGTTAACCTGACTAAACTCATATCCAAACATGAACTAGAAATTTTTTTATTCAAAATCATGATGAATATGGCCTCTAGAAATTTAAGAAGATTTTACGTTCATCTTTAGCAGTGACCATGTTTTTGATCCCTGATGACAGACAATTAGCCAAGATTCAGATACATTTTGTTGTTGTTGTATAATTTACACAAAATATTGTGACTTTACAGAGTCAGAGCACATGGAGCACAACGAAAGCATGTTTACAGGCAGGATGAGACATTTACAGGCAGGATGAGACAAACTAAAATTAACATCTTATACAATTGTGATGCTTTAAGGGCAGTACAAAAGCTTGAATTGAAGCATATTTATCTTAAGGGCCATCTGGTACACCACCGAGTTTAGTGTAGAAATAAATGGAAGATATAAGTAAACTTTCTATAATGGTTGAAAATTATCTCTGCATGCAAGCCAAAAATAGCTTATGATAAGCATAACACCTAGTCTGTGCTATATTATGAAATATGTTAAATATACAGACAAAAATGAAAGCTCTAAATGCATAATAATATAAATATAAGTTACTAATCTATGATTTGTGAGGATTTACATGATCCTGTACTTGTAGATTATATCATACCTTTTACAGAGCATTTTATCAAACAATTTTACTCAGCTTAAGTCAATAAACTATGAAGCAAAGAAAAATAATTTTTTAACGATTTTTCTTCACATCTAATTATTGACTATAACCGCTAATTTTCAAAAATGTTTGACAAAATAATTGTAAACAGCATGTGTTACTTATCATTAAGTGTGCAAGTTAGTAAAGTTACCACATTCATTACAGTGACAACAGAGCTAAATGACAATATAAAAATCTTTTCTTCATGCTATATATATTCCACCGAACCTCTTTTTGGCTTTCATCCAGATTCGTGGCTACCTGACGCTCTGATGCTTTCTTCTGACGCCGCCGGGAACGCTTGCGCTCGGCATCTTCACCATCTATGGCATCCAATACAACTACCTAGAACACAGCATGCACGTGTGTAATGGCTAACACAGCAAATAACAATGTCACAACTGTTCACTGAAACACTTTAATATGTTATTTTGAGCAGGAACACACATATAATGATGAAACACTGGTAGTAAGGAGTGACATTAATTTGGGCAGGTACACTCAAGTATACAATGTAATATAAGGCTAGAAGGTGATGTAACACGAATGTCAGAAGTAACACACAATTCCTGTAGTTTAGGAATTAGGCAGAAGAAGGTGACATAAATTAAAGGCAGTTTTACACATATGATATACTTATAGGGCTTAGGTAGAAATAAGTGACATTATTAAGCAAGTATACATATATGATGCAGTTTATGACTTAAGTAGGTATAAATGACATAAATTGAGGCTGGTATATCTTATGTAGTTTTGGGCTTAGGTAGGAAGGAATTACATAAATTGAGGCAGGTATATCTAATGTAGTTTTGGGCTTAGGTAGGAAGGAATTACATAAATTGAGGCAGGTATATCTAATGTAGTTTTGGGCTTAGGTAGGAAGGAATTACATAAATTGAGGCAGGTATATCTAATGTAGTTTTGGGCTAAGGTAGGAAGGAATTACATAAATTGAGGCAGGTATATCTAATGTAGTTTTGGGCTAAGGTAGGAAGGAATTACATAAATTGAGATAGGTATATCTAATGTAGTTTTGGGCTAAGGTAGGAAGGAATGACATAAATTGAGGCAGGTATATCTTATGTAGTTTTGGGCTAAGGTAGGAAGGAATGACATAAATTGAGGCAGGTATATCTTATGTAGTTTCGGGCTAAGGTAGGAAGGAATTACATAAATTGAGGCAAGTATATCTTATGTAGTTTCGGGCTTAGTTAGGAAGGGATGACATAAATTTAGGCAGGTTTACATATAAATTGTCATAAATTTAAGCAGGTACACACATCTAATGTAGTTTGAGGCTTGGTTAGGAAAAAGTGACATAAATTTAGGCGCTTATAAACGTAAATGGTATGTATGAATCGGACAGGTACATGCATTTGATGTAATTTTGGGCTAATATGAAGAAAGCTACATGTCATTAATCAGGCCAGTAAGGACATAACTTTCAACTGAAGAAACACTGATTTAAATGAACTGACCTTCAGACAAAGGCAAAAAAACTGTAGTTCAGAAACTATTATCTAAGAATAAAAACTTGCTAGTTACATATAGAAATGGAACATTTATTTCTTTATATTATTGCAATAACCATATTGATGGCGGTATAGGCGGGTCAAGATGTATCAATATAAGTCCATTAATGCTGAAGAAAAAATCTAATAGAACTCAATATGGGAGTTTTTGTAAAAATATTTTCACATTTACCCAAATCATGACAACTAATGCATGCTCACCCCTAGCAAGCTAAAACCTTAATATTTAATATCCCGTAACCCTGTAGGATGTGTGCTACATCTTTTTTATTTTTTTTAAGTTGAATAGATTGAATTCAGGCTATTTATCTGCAGTTATACTGTAATACAAAAGCATTACATGACCCCAAATTTCATACACATAGAGGATTATATTGGTGCAAAAAATCTGTACAGTAAATTAACCCTTGTATGTTTTCATTTCCTCACATTGTTGAAGTTGAATTATCTTTAATTCAATAAAAAGGAAATTATCAGTCTACAGCCTTATTACAATGTATAGAATATATGGCTCCGATAGCAAACAGTGATGATTTATAGGGTATCAAATAATTTGTTAAAGGGAGGTGCAACATGGTCTTACAGTCTAATAACATACAATTTTAACCTCTTATATATATCAACCGGGTATTACTTAAGACAGAAAAATGAAAACTTTAAGGATAATATTAAAGAAATACTAAGAATTAAATCAAAATTTCAATACTTGGTGCCATAGCTTTTAGCTTAGTTTAGGTAAAAGCATTACCATTTTCATTAAAAATAATTACATGTATTCTGGACAAAAAACAGTGAACAAATTATCTAAAAGTTCTACTCACACTTGACTGGCATAGAACTTAAATGGTGAAAAAATGTGGAAAAATATTTCCAGTCTTGCCATGTCAAAAACCGCAGTCGAGTCCCTTTAAATATTAATTTTAACAAAATTCCTGTCTTTAAATGGGTGCTATTTTGGATGTTGTTTATGTTCCCTAATGAAATAACTCAATCAGTTAAGTAGACATGCAGCATTCAAATTAATAAAAATCCAGCAGGGTACAGACATATGGTTTATACCAATATGTACAAGTTTACTATGGATGTCTGCATTTTTTCAAGATAGACTGCTGTTCACAAAGACATTCTTCTTTTTTTGTAGCTGTCTGCAGAATAAATCTACTCATTAACAGTATGGTACAGTTTTGTGTAATGATACAAAAATGATGAAAAACTTTGTGAACATAATAAGAAACTTGGTTATTTTTTATGTATTTCAGCACGTAAGTTTGAAATATGTTTGTATTATGGGTTTATGCATCCAGTAACTTTCCTTTGTACAATATTTACTTGCAATTAATAATTTGAAAAATGCTAGTGAAAAATGTATATGTACTTAAGAAATGATATACAAATGTAGTTACTCTTTTTCTTTTTTTTTAAAAAGTATCTGAAAATTGTTTTAAAGGGTATAAAGCTATATTTAGCTTTTAAAGCACCTAAAAACAGTTAAGACATAAACATACTTGACAAAGAATCATCATAAAATGCTACAAAAAAGAATAGTTTCATAATTGATAGATTTTGTCACTGTACACCCAGACCTAATGGCTCACCTTCAACAGTCTAAAAAATCATGTATAACATCCTTATTTCTAATGCTTATGCATCTAAAACTGCAGTAGATGGAAAGACATATAAACAATAGTTAATCATAACAATCACACTCAGCATATCAAAAACAAGTTATATGTTGATAGAACAGAAAGAGATATACCCTTCCGTGCCAGCATCTTCGTACTTCAAATGCCAGGGTATAATACAAGAGAACCAGAATGGCTGGGTTAACAAAGTTTGGCCATTGTGTGACATCATCAAAATACACTTTCGACACGTTTGAGCATTCTGTTTTGACAACAGCTGTGAGACCTAGCAACCTGTAACAGAGACACTGTCAATTAGAACTTAGAATTCTTAAAACAATATAGCATGATATTCTTAACCCTATAAAATCAGGTTCTAGAGGAATCATTCTCAATTAAATTTTTTCCAATGAAGATAAAGAGCAAATTTTCAAAACCAATAACCTATTTCATACCATTGTCAATTATATAAATAAATAAGGACTCTCCAGATTTTTTCCTAGTACAACAACAGGGGATGACCTGCACATAATACAATAAGCATATTTGATATTTATTTTCAGTTTATTATATTCCACTCCAGTCACGACCATGATTTCTCATATGACATTAGTACTGGTAAGTTTCATTAAGCGCACTTACGAATGATAATATAAGTTGCAAAAACGTGTCTCACAATCAAGCTTATATAGATATGTTTTAACTGACTTTTATTTACCTTGCGATAAAACTGTCTGGATCAAGTGCTACTTGGAAAAACTGGAACTGGTATAAATGAAGAACAAGAATATGAGAAGCGCTGTATAAAAGTAGCAAAATCCTATAAACATTAAACTTCCGTCCAAGATGTCCGTACAGAGACCATATAGTAGCTAGGCACATAAATGATAGAAAATACAAAGAGGAAATAACACTAGGCACTATTACACCACTGGCGGCCAGAACCAGTACAAGGAACGATTCTCCAAGAAAGTCAAGGACACTGTTCACAGTGCGCCGCTTTTGAGTTTTCACTGCAGTTGGTAATTCTTGAGACTGGTTCTTTTCTTCTGGTAAAAGTTTGTAGCAGATGATGTAAGTTAGTAAACCAGTCAAAAACACCACAGCATCTGGGAGAACCAGTCTAATTATGTCTATTGTTGCTACATTATCCAACCTGAAAGTATAAAATATATCACAAATGAATCCCCCAAGAGCAGTTCACTGCTGTGACTTGTCTAACCTTAAAGTTATCACATGTCACTTTGTTTTCAATTACTAAATGTAAAATACATTGATATATGGAACATGACTGCTAATCAAACCTTTTTAACCTTAAAGGTATAAAAAGAAAAAAGAAAAAAAAGGTATATACATGAACAGATGACAGCCCATGACAAACATTCTCACTAACTGTTTATATTTTGAGCAGTTTTATGTCTTTCCCTCAGCAATAAATGGTTAACAATAAAGTTTTGTTGACATTGAATCAATAGCATCACAATGATATGTCTTTAAAATAAAATTTGCCAGGAAAATTGAATAGTATCATGTGATGAAACTACAATGGTCAGTTGTCCTAACTAGGTGCTTTGCCTAAACTAATGCATATAGTGGCATCTGCACTCTCCCTCTACCAGTAAGAGTAAAGTTCCAGTCACTTAATATATGCACTTGTAATAATGGTCTTAAAGATAGATTCATATCTTAATCCATATATCACATATGCAGAACTTCAAAATGTACTCATAACTCTTTGAATAGCTGATAACACATGTTTTAATCAATACATGATATTGTAAAGTTACGGAAGGAATTTGTACCATATGATGATCTACCATTCCCCAATCTTTCCAAGAATACTTCCGTGGCAAAGATAATTCACCCCCAAACTTCCTAGAATACTTCCATGGCAAAGATAATCTATCCCATATTTTTGTTTGTTTTTTTGTTTGATTTTACGCCTTTTCCCAACAGTATTTCAGTCATATAGGCAGGTAGTTTCTTAACCATCGTTCCTGGAGAGTTACACCAGTACTAGACTACCTTCCTCCGCGCTAAACTACCAAAGCATCTCCTGGGGATCGAACCCACGCCAGAGAGGTAACTGGATTAGAAGTCATCAACTCTAACCCCTCAACCACGGAGGCACAAACATCCCTAGTATACTTCAATGGCAAAGGAAATACATCCTAAATCTTCCCTAGAATAATTCCGTGTAATATGGACAAATAAGGCAGCTTGTTTTGGACACACCGTATATTATAGTATCATGTATAAGTACTAGTCAAGAAGAAAAGATTTAAACAAACCTTTCCAAAAGTATCTGCCTTGCTAGCCGCTCATTAGAAGAACCTGTGGATAGAAAATTAACAAATGACTTCTCTTCTTACATAGACATTTTGTAATATAAGCAAAGATCAAAAAGCCCCCTAAACCAGTTGTTAAGAAGCAAATACTTATTTCATTTATTTATCACCATTTTAGTTTATCTACATTTTGTCAATGTGACAACAGATATTTATTAATGACTTTGAGTGTTATACCTTTATTTTCTTGAAGCTGACAACTTCTACACATCTATTAACAAAACCAGTTGAGGAGCATAAACATTACATTGGACACATTGATTTCCATGGAACCACCTCATTAAATTTAAGTGTCACCCATCAAACTCAAACCAAGGTCCATGGCTCTTATTGTCTCCCTTTCAGGCTACTGAGCAGTTTATAACCATTATCAAACCATTAACATCAATTAGACAAATATAACTTAAAATCCCCTTGCGATTCAAAATACCTGTAAACAAGAGCCACCACCGGGCAAGGGCAACGCACATTTTTACTTTTTCTAAAAGCAAACAAATAAGAGGTCTAGCTCAAAATCGTTGTCGGATAGTGACAGGTAAGTAACATTTAGTCTGCTTTTATCCATGTGACAAGTGCAGAACAGGATGCGCCGGCACTTAATGTTCCATCTCATTTTAATCTGCACTGTGTGCTATTCAATCTGTTCATGTACTTATTTTGAAATTTTCCGTAAAAATTATGAATGGTTTTGTCCAGAGTGAAGTATGGATGATAAGTTTATTTTAAGAAATTTAGTATGGCAAAGGTTATAAATTGTTTTATATATAATAATACTTTTAATATCTGACATTTTTATTAGGATATTTTATAACCAATACAAGGCTTATGAATTACCATGAAACCTCCCTGATTCATCAATCTTCTAGAAAAAAAAACAACAACAAGAGGGCCATGATGGCCCTGAAGTCGCTCACCTGTATATAGCCCCCACCCCCCTCACCCCCGGGCCAATTTTTACCCAAGGGCTTTTATTTGTTTATTTGAACAGACTTGGTAGACACCCATAAGAAGATGTTTCATGCTAAACATCTAAGTTCTAGCTCATTGGGTTTTTTAAAAGAAGATTTTTAAGTTTTTGCTATACACATATAAGGAAAATCAACGACCCCCCCCCCCCCGGGCGAGGCCAGTTTTGGCCCCAGGGCTTTTATTTGAACATACTTGGTAGACACCCATTAGAACATTTTTCATGCTAAATATCTTGGCTCTAGCTCTTTGAGTTCTTTAAACAAGAGGGCCATGATGGCCCTAGATCGCTCACCTGAATTATCAAACTCATCCAAACAATTACCTAGACAAGCATTCTGACCAAGTCTCATGACAGGTGAGTCAAAAATGTGACCACTACAGTGTTAACAAGGATTATCCATATTTGAGCAGTGCGACCTAGTTTTTTACCCAGGTGACACATATTCAAACTTGACCTAGAAATCATCAAAACAAACTTTCAGACCAATTTCCAGGATACTTGGATCAAAACAGTAGCAACTAGAGTGTTAACAAGATTTTTCTATTTTTAGCTCCGGTGACCTAGTTTCACATGCGATTTCGAACTAATCCAAGCAATTACCTAGACAAGCATCCTGACCAAGTTTGATGATAATCGAGTCGAAAATGTGACCACTAGAATGTTAACAAGGTTTTTCCATATTTGGGCGGTGTGACCTAGTTTTTCATCCAAGATGACCCATGTTTGATCTTGACTTAGAAATCATCAAAAAAAACTTTCAGACCAATTAACAGAATATTTGGATCACAACAGTAGCCACTAGAGTGTTAACAAGATTTTTCTATTTTTAGCTCATGTGACCTAGTTTTTCATCCTAGATGTCCCATGTTCGATTTATTCCAAGCAATGACCTATTCAAGTTTCCTGACCAAGTTTGATGACAATTGAGTCAAAATTGTGACCACTAGAGTGTTAACAAGGTTTTTCTATTTTTAGCTCCTGTGACCTAGTTTTTCATCCGAGATGACCCATGTTCGAACTCATCCGAGCTATTACCTAGACAAGCATCTTGATCAAGTTTGATGATGATTGATGCAAAAATGTGACCGCTAAAGTGTTAACAAGGTTTTTCTATTTATAGCTCCGGTGACCTAGTTTTTCATCCGAGATGACCCATATTCGAACTCATCTGAGCTATTATCTAAACAAGCATCCTGACAAAGTTTGATGATGATTGGGTCAAAAATGTGACCACTAGAGTGTTCACAAGGTTTTTCTATTTTTAGCTCCTGTGACCTAGTTTTTCATCAGAGATGACCCATGTTCGAACTCATCCAAGCAATTGACTAGACAAGCATTCTGACCAAGTTTGATGATGATTGGTTCAAAAATGTGACCACTAGAGTGTTCACAAGGTTTTTCTATTTATAGCTCCTGTGACCTACTTTTTCATCCGAGATGACCCATGTTCGAACTCATCCGAGCTATCACCTAGACAAACATCCTGACCAAGTTTGATGATGATTGGGTCAAAAATGTGACCTCTAGAGTGTTCACAAGGTTTTTCTATTTTTAGCTCTTGTGACCTAGTTTTTCATTCGAGATGACCCATGTTCGAACTCATCCGAGCTTTCAACTAGATAAGCATCCTGACCAAGTTTGATGATGATTGAGGCAAAAATGCGACCGCTAGAGTGTTCACAAGAAATTGTGGACGGCCGGACGGACGACGGACGACGGACATTCACCGATCCTAAAAGCTCACCCTGAGCAAGCTCAGGTGAGCTAAAAAAGATTTTTTAAGTTTTTACTATATGCATATAGGGAAAATCAATGACCCCCTGGGGCGGGGCCAATTTTGAGCCCAGGGCTTTTATTTGAACAAATTTGGTAGACACTCATTAGAAGATGTTTCATGCTAAATATCTTAGCTCTAGCTTTTTGGGTTCTTTAAAAGAAGATTTTTTAAGTTTTTACTATATGCATATAGGGAAAATCTATGACCCCCTGGGGCAGGGTCAATTTTGACCCAAGGGCTTTTATTTGAACAAACTTGGTAGACATTCACTTGAAGATGTTTCATGCCAAATATCTAAGCTCTAGCTCTTATGGTTCTTTAAAAGAAGATTTTTAAAGTTTTTACTATATGCATATAGGGAAAATCAATGACCCCCCGGGGCGGGGCCAATTTTGACCCCAGGGCTTTAATTTGAACAAACTTGGTAGACACTCACTAGAAGATGTTTCATGCTTAATATCTTAGCTCTAGCTCTTTGGGTTCTTTAAAAGAAGACTTTTTAAGTTTTTACTATATGCATATAGGGAAAATCAATGATCCCCCGGGGCGGGGCCAATTTTGACCCCAGGGCTTTTATTTGAACAAACTTGGTAGATACTCACTAGAAGATGTTTCATGCCAAATATCTTAGCTCTAGCTCTTTGGGTTCTTTAAAAGAAGATTTTTTAAGTTTTTACTATATGCATATAGGGAAAATCAATGACCCCCTGGGGCGGGGCTAATTTTAACCCCAGGGCTTTTATTTGAACAAACTTGGTAGACACTCACTAGAAGATGTTTCATGCCAAATATCTAAGCTCTAGCTCTTAGGGTTGTTTAAAAGAAGATATTTAAAGATTTTTCTTTCGGTTGCCATGGCAACCAGAGTTCTGCATGGAATTAAATTCTTTGAACAATTTTTAAAGGTGACCACCAAAGGAACATTCCTGTTTGGATGAAATTGGCTCAGTGGTTTATGAGGAGATGTCATTTAAAGCAAAAGTTTACGGACGGACGATGGACGGACAGACGGATGGACGTACCAATTTTTCAGGTTTATGAGCTATTTCTATTGTTCTTTTCTTTTGTTTCCTTGTGGGCTAACAATTGTTTCCTTATGAGCTAACTATTATTTACGGAATGAAGTCCTTTGTTCTCTTTTGTCCCAGTGTACAGTTAGTTAGCTCTTATACCTAAAATGTTTGTGCGGACGGACGGACGGACGCCGGACGAAAAGCGATCACAAAAGCTCACCCTGTCACTTTGTGACAGGTGAGCTAAAAACAATCAATTACTTCTATCAAAAATATTTGAGCATTTGCTGTAGTCTATTGTTTTATATGTTACAACAAACATAAAATACCAAACATTTTAATCAAAATAAGTAGGTGGGGAGGTTTTTGTTTGCACTCTAGGGACACATAAGAGCACATTTATGCAATTACGATGCTGCCCAATGGTTAAAATAAGATGAATGAAATCGCTAATGTATCAATGACATAAGTATATTATATTTTTCTATACTAGAACACTTCAATTATTTATATTGTATAATAACAGAACCATGACTTTCACTTTATTGCTCGCTATAAAAAAAAGTTAAAAAAATATAGTTTGAAATTATGACCTAACATTTCCTTAACCTTACCAAATTGCAATCTTGAAAATCTAACAAAAGTGGAACTCTTAACAGTTTATCAAGTTTTCTTATAGCTTTGTTAAATTATCACTTGTTCCTTGATAACTAATCTTTGAAGATGATCTTTAAAATATCTCTCAGGCCATGTATCATATTTACCTATGTTATGTGTCAAATTTACCTGTGTCATGTCACATGTGTCAAATTTACCTATGTCATATGTCAAATTTACTTTTGTCATGTGTCATATTTACATAATAAATTATGTCATCTGACAAATTTACCTATGTCATATGTCAAATTTACATGTGTCAAATTTGCATGTGTCAAATTTACCTGTGTCATATATCAAATTTCCCTGTCATCTGTTAAATTTACCCGTGTCATATGTCAGATTTACCTGTGGCACGTGTCAAATTTACCTATGTCATGTGTCATATTTATCAGTGTCATGTGTCAAATTTTCATGTGTCAAATTTATCTGTGTCATATGTTAAATTTACCTTTGTCAAGTGTCAAATTCAAATGTGTCATGACTGTGTCAAATTTACCTATGTCATGTGTCAAATTTACCTATGTCATGTGTCAAATTTACCTATGTCATGTGTTAAATTTACCTATGTCATGTGTCAAATTTACATGTGTCATATTTACTTTTGTCATGTATCATATTAACATAATAAATTATGTTATCTGACAAATTTACCTATGTCATATGTCAAATTTACCTATGTCATGTGTCAAATTTACCTATGTCATGTGTCAAATTTACCTATGTCATAATTATGTTAAATTTACCTATGTCATGTGTTAAATTTATTTGTGTCATGTGCAGGTTGTATCAGGATAATGAACCATATATGTGAATTCAAAATTAACAACAAGAATAGCAGACCTTAATTCTTTAAAAGTTATGTTGTGATAATATTTGTAAAGTTTAAAAACTTCTGCTAAAATGACTTGGACAAACAAACTGAAGACTTAATCTGATTAAGGGCGTTATTATGACCAAGAAAATTAACATTGCAGCCCCTGTATAATTTAAATAGGATTTTCATTTAACATGCTCTTGTAGTCTAGTTTTTTTTTGCTTAACACTGACCCACTGACCCATTTTTAAACTAGTTAGTGATATTAATGTGACAAAAATCCTAACCAAATAAGAATGAACTAACGTTTCTTAAAAATTTGTGAATCAACAGTTCAAATTTGCATAAAAGGCTCAATGTACGGGATATCTTATATCATTCAAACCCTCTCTTGATATCAAGAAGAAATAGCACCTGTCTGCCACTAGATTCATTGAGTGAAAGATCTTCTGCTGATCTTAAGTACTATAATTACTTAGACAAACATGCTTCAAGTCTTATTACTGCCTGTAATTTCAGTATAAAACCATAAATACTTTGTTTGTGTACCTACTTTTCTAAATAAAACAGCATGCTTTTGTCACTTTGTTCAAATATAATTATTTCATCTCTGGGCTGAAGTACAATTTAATTACTACAATATCCTTTGAAAGACTAAACAGTACACTAGTGTCATGTAAGGAAAGATGGTTGTGACCCAATACTGCATGAACCCACACTCTCTTAACTTTGGGTTGAGAGGCATGCTTAAAACAAAAGGTCATTTCATGAACTGAAAGTGATTAGCTTTTGCCAGTAGAATACAGCCAGGCCAGTCTGCACACCCAATCTTTTAACTATTAATAGCTAACTTATCATTGTTTTTTTATATTAAAACCCCTTTACCTCTGAATGGACTGTTCTAAATTCAAAGCAGGATAAGTCCATTAAAGAAATTCAGCAGGTTAAGGGTTAATGTGGATGATTGCACAGCAGTGGAAGTAAATTTGCATTACCTATAAAAGCAGGTATGCATCCCGCAGTGAAGTTAAATACAGACTCATTTTTATAGGAAATCATTACAGTAGTGTAATGTGTGTTACAGAATGCCAGTCACTATGGTAACTTGTTTGTTTGTAAATTTTCCTCAAGCACATTTACTTTACTATGCAGGAAACATGCAGTGATCAAGGTTATATCACTTCATTAAACATACAAATACAATATGCGCGCATCCACTCATCATCACAGGGTGTATATAACACATAATTGTCATGTTATATTATTCATAACCTCAACAGCAGCTTAGTTTTTTTCCCACTTTATCTTTCGAATCGATGGTTATGTTTATATGTAAATAAGCAACTCTGAAAATAATTCATGTAAAAAATCAACACTCAAAACGTTTAAACTTCAAAAATGAAGTTTGCAGACTAAATCTTACAGAGCTTATTACCCAAGTGTTTTATGAACAGCATTGTATCAAATCTGCAAATCTCCAAATGGGACAATATAATTTTAACAATGCACAGATTTAAACATTGTATTTCAAATCTATTTTGAAATTCATATTTGTATAAAAATATAAGCTCTAAGATCTAAATGTATTCTGTGAATTGTATTCTTGGAAGTTAAAATGTTTTGAGAATAATGAACCTTTACTTCTTAACACGAGATAACACGAGATTAACAAAGTGTGACATTGACCTTGATCTGAGGAAGCCAAAATTTGCACTCTCCACATTGTCTCATGATAGCAATTGGCAAAACAATTAATTTCTTACCAAAGATAAAGAACAGATAGATGGGCAAATAGATAACCAAGAGCATACCAATTTACATCCCTTCAGGCTATTTAAAGAAATTTAAACGCTCAAAAACAAAACCCTAATAGTCAAGCTATAAATGTAGACACATTCTTATCAAAGATTCTGTACAGAATAAGTTCAATGATAAAAACATGACAATTTTTTTTTTATTCCTTGTAACTTTTTAAATGTGATGTTTAATCATCAACTGAATTATCAATGAATTTACCTAAAAATATGGATAGCTTATTTGGTTAAGTTTTTCTTTTCAAAGTTGCATTTCATATCACACATGCACTAAGTAATACTAAAGGAAGACCAGCAGCCTTATCAAAAAGGTCTCTTTTTTAATGCTTGATTTTTGTGTGCTTTAAAGCACTCTTTGTGATAAATCACTTAGTTTTTTTTTCATTAACATTCTTTTTTTTTTTATTTGTTATGGACATTGATTGAAAATCTATATAAAATTTTGGATGAATAGTAGTTAAAATACTCAAAAACTGTATTTACAGCTCAGTGCACAATATAGTATACATTATATGACTTAAAGTTTATTTTCTTTTCAATGTTATAATTGAAGTATGGCAAACTATGCATATTTGACATAGTTTAGATATTTTTATTTTCAAAGTGTAAGTAATGGGAAGGTGATATGTTGATAAAAACAGGTAATATGAGATGAACAAACAGCTACATGAGACATTGTCATATTGTCCAATATGCAAAAATGTTTATAAACAGCTCTTCTCATCATTTTATAAAAAACACCCCAATTTAATTACTTCAACTATTTTATTTTGTGCAAACGAGTTTTCTGCCTACCTTGCATATATTACATTTCATTACCCAATAAAAAGCAAAACTTATATCATCAGTTGATACCAACTTGTATATGTTTTCAACTAAAATACAGATAATGGGGAACGGCTTAATAAAACTGTTTGGCAACAAAGTAAATCTTAGTTACATCAGATGTCTCTATAAACTGAGAAAAATTGCTGAATTATTACATATGTGCCTTGTTTTACGAGAAGCATGACCTACTTATAGGAGAAAATAATATCACAAACTCATGGCAAGTCAGCAGACATCAAACAGGGCTTTCCAGACTAAATGTAATTGTTTCATATAATAAACTTCATGAAATTAAAAAAAATGCTAGTTTTGAGTCAAAATAATGTTGTGGGAAAATTTTTCGGTAAATTTTTTCCATTCAGTAATTAGAACTTTCTGAAAAATAATATCTGTCGGGGAAATAGGGAAATATGAAATATGTTCGTTCATGTAAGTTGAGTAAGATTATTCTGTCAATGGGATTTGTGGACAATTATAAATGTTAATATTTAATCACTGAACAAAAATAATAAAAACAAGAATGTCGAACGACACATATACCCCCCTTTCTAGCCATTGACTCACATAATTGGTAATTTTATTACAGAAACTTGCCAAAAATGGGTACATGGAAGTGTTCAATTATGGAAAAATCAATGGAAACCATTTTGACTTTTAAGGCCCATGTGACATTTACCTTTGACCTAATAAATCAATAGAGGTCATCATCTTCTACTTATGACCAATAACTAGGTGAAATATGAAGACTTTGTGATGAATACTTTTCAAGATAATCAGCGGAAACCCTTTTGACATTTAAGGCCCATGTGACCTTGACCTTTGACCTAGTGACCCCAAAATCAATAGAGGTCATCCATTAGTTATGACCAATTACTATGTGAAATATGAAGACTTTGTGATGAATACTTTTCAAGATAATCAGCGGAAACCATTTTGACATTCAAGGCCTCTGTGACCTTTACTTTTGACCTAGTGACCCCAAAATCAATAGGGGTCATCTACTAGTGATGACCAATCACTATGTGAAATATGAAGACTTTGTGATACATACTTTTCAAGATAATCAGCGGAAACTATTTTGACATTTTAAGGTCCCTGTGACCTTGACCTTTGACATAGTGACCCCAAAATCAACAGGGGTCATCTACTAGTGATGACCAATCACTATGTGAAATATGAAGACTTTGCGATACATACTTTTCAAGATAATCAGCGGAAACCATTTTGACATTTAAGGCCCCTGTGACATTGACCTTTGACCCCAAAATCAATTGGGGTCATCTACTAGTGATGACCAATCACTGTGTGAAAAATGAAGACTTTGTGACACATACTTTTCAAGATAATCAGCGGAAACTATTTTGACATTTAAGGCCCCTGTGACCTTGACCTTTGACCTAGTGACCCCAAAATCAATAGGGGTCATCTACTAGTCATGACCAATCACTATGTGAAATATGAAGACTTTGCGATATATACTTTTCAAGATAATCAGCGGAAACTATTTTGACATTTAAGGCCCCTGTGACTTTGACCTTTGACCTAGTGACCCCAAATCAATAGGGGTCATCTACTAGTGATGACCAATCACTATGTGAAATATGAAGACTTTGTGATAAATACTTTTCAAGATAATCAGCGGAAACCATGTGGTCTACCGACGGACAGACCGACGGACCGACAGACAGACAAACCGACATTAGCAAAACAATATACCCCCTCTTCTTCGAAGGGGGGCATAAAAATATAGATTAACCGGAAGACTAAACAATCTAATAGACTAGTATTACAATAATAATGTTAATCTTATTCATTGAATAACATAAAACTACAGACTAGCAGGACAATTTTATGTCCAAATTATTCAGAAGGTTGTGCCAAACAGTTCTATGGAGAGAAGAGTTAAGGCATGTATTATGTTATATACTTACAATTTGGGAACATTGATCCATAAGGTTCTGTATCTGTAGCTATAGCAGAGAGGGTTATGTGGAACACGCTGTGTGCCAACACTGCCAACAACGCAACTACAAACACTATACGCAGGTATATCCCTGTACATCCTGAAACACACAAAGAATAATGTATTTATAAGAATAAGAGTAACAAACATGGGATAAAATTTAATGTCACATGAACTTTGTAAAAGTTATGCTTTACTTGTGGAAAAAGAATTCAGGTATCTGTAAGTGCATTATTTCAAAAACATGGCAGGCTTCCGAGTGGAACAATATGCCTTCCATGAGCTAACTAGATAGCCTGTAAGTCACAAGCAAGATTTAAACCCACAGCTGCCAAAAGGAAGTGAAAATTGGCATCCTTACCAATTGGCAACAGAGGTCCTAAGACATTTCTTATTAACATATCAAATTACTATACAAAATAAATAAAGAAATAATTTGATTTCTTTTGATGGTTTGAATGACATTTTAACAGATAAGCTAATCACTGTTCATGGATAGGAAGTTTAACAGATCATCTATGAAAAAATCTGTTCTTTACTCAAGACTGTAATTCACAAATCCAAGGTTCACAGATCAAAAAGACTGCTGATTTCAGAAAATATACTAGACCAATGCCACACATGACTGTTGTTTCTCTTTTTTTATTTAAATAAAAGTTAAAGGTTTGTTAATTACTTTTTGGGCATTATCCTGGTAAGGGCATTAAATTGGGTAAATATGGTATATCATGATAACTTATACATAAATAATTAGAACCAAAATATACTCTTTTACAGTACCTGACTATAGCAAAATACAATAATCAACACATTTACATAATACTTCCAATAAGTGTTACTTGGCAAAATTATATGAATACTTGAGCCAACCTCCCAAATATAAAACATCAACAGAAATGTGGATTTCCCATTAGGAAAAGTGCAACAAATATTCACTGATATACATGTACATGAAAGGAGTTGCAAAAAAATGAAAGCTGGATTATTCCATCACATGACTTGACAGTAGGTTAAGTGTTAACTTTTGATCCTTGTAAAGAAGAATTGTATACCAGTGACTAAAACTACTCTTACTATTGGATGTGCAGTCAACTTGACCTTTGATCCATTCTGATCAAAACTATCACCTTAATACAATACAATAATTACCCTCTTAACATAGAGAATAATACATCATATTCATATATAAAGATAACAGAATGTACAATGAGGACCTTTTAAAGTAATTGAGCCAAAGTGTCACAACTATACAGCAAAGCTCACGGCTGCTTTGACCTTTCAAGTGTGCATATGATTTATCTAATAATATTATCAAGTTTGTAAGCTGCAGAGTCAGGCCTCATTTTCTACTTATGATAAGTGCATTGTTTTCAGTAAGATGAATATCTTGAACACTACAACTTTGACATATTGTCTCCCTTATCAATATGGAGCATTTGCTGGAAACCACGAAAAAAATACAGAGATGTCTGGCAGATGTATCCTAATTGAAGCCTTATCCAACAATCTTGTGGAAAACCATCAGTAAAACAATAAAGGTCTTCTTCTATTCATAGGCAATCATGTGATGTTTGGCGATTGTATGGCTTTTACCTTGATAAAACTGTTCAATCAAAAATGATACCAGTCTCTTCCCCAGTACAATCAATAATTCCAACTCTTGCTTGAATTATGAGCAGAATTAGTCTACTTATTGACAGGTCCATAAACCAAAAATCATATGCAAAATAATACTTATGTTCTATTCAATAATATTGCAAATTATATAATGGGTTTCTACAGGAAAGATTGGCTCTGCAATATCAAATAAAAGAAAAAGTTGTCAATATAACAAAATATGATAAACATAGGCTCTATTAAATTAAAATTACTATACATTGTCCCCTATTATATCAAATTAAGGAAAATATTGTCCCTGTTAAATCTAATATAGGAAATGAATGTCCCTGTTTTATCAAATCAAGATTGCCATTGTTAAACCAAATTTAGGGAAAGATTGCCCCAGTTTAATACAAAATGTATAGGAAAATACTGACCCTGTTAAATCAAATACATGTACATGTAAACTGTTAAAAAGATTGCCCTTGTTAAGTAAAATATAGGGAAAGATTGGCCTTGTTAAATAAAATATAGGAAAATACTGCCCCTGTTAAAAACAAATAAAGGGAAAGTCTTCCCCTGTTGAATTAAATGTAGGAAAGTACTTCTCCTGTCAAATCAAATGTAGGAAAAGATTGCCCTAGTTAAACCAAATTTAGGGAAATACTTCCCCTGTTGGATAAAATGTAGGAAAGTACTTCTCCTGTCAAATCAAATGTAGGAAAAGATTGCCCCTGTAAAATCAAATGTTGGCTGCATTGTTATTAAATCATTAGCCTCATCCTATGAAACTTAGTACATTGTATTTCTCTAAAATAACTACGAAATATAAGACCAGCATTAAAAGCAGCAGAACTTACCTCTTATACTGGAAGGAGTTGGAGCACTGAGTAGTGGACACAGTAAAAGGAACACTGCATACAGGAAGGAAACACCATTGAATCTTACTGCCGCACCTGTAATATAAAATAAAATATAAGATTGTTAGCAGAGGTCAAAATCTTTATATTTCATTTATTTCAATAACTCACAAAATATATGAGCATGAGAAATAAGTAATACACTTCTTTGTACTAGAATATTTTACAATCAAATTAATTCATTTTAAAATCTAATGAACATTTTAACACCAGTTAATATCTGTACAAGCTATAGAAGTTGATAATATGATAATTAAATCATTTGTTGTTTGCCGTATATGTATAAATGAATGAAACATTAACCTGAGATCATAGATCAAAAATCTGATACAGTTGTTTGTGTAAAATACTTACAGACTGTAATAACAGTAACAAATGTGTAGAATTGTAACAGACAAATAACTGCTATAATTGTTTGTGTAAAATACTAACAAAATGTTCACTGATACAATTGTTTGTCTTGAATACTAATAGACAAATAACTGATACAATTGTTTGTTTGAAATACTAGCAGAGAAATAACTGATACAATTGTTTGTATGCAATACTAGCAGACAAATAACTGATACAATTGTTTGTATGGAATACTAGCAGACAAACAAGCAAATTCGTTGAATTTATATCCCCCGCCGAGTACTGGTTATTATTAACACAACAACTGAAGACATAAGGCTTTATTTATATATTAATCATGGCATAAACAGTAATATTCTTTGAACTTGATAAATATTCAGGGCAATAACAGAGCCATAACTTTGTGTTAAATAGTAAAATCTGGAAATGCCAATGAGATGTATGCATACTACATAACTAATCAAGGGCCATAAATCTGAGTAATAAGTATCTGACTGGAACAAGGCGACTATATGCACATCTCCTCTTAGTATCCCATAAAGTTTCATTGAATTCCAGCCAGTAGTAGCAGAGAAGTAGCGAGGAAACAAATATTTTTCTATATGGATACTGCATAACTAATCAAGGGCCATAACTCTGAGTTTAAGTGTCTGACCGGAACAAGCCGACGATATGCGCATCTCCTCTTGGTATTGAAGGTTCCCATAAAGTTTGGTTGAATTCCAGCCAGTAGTTGCAGAGAAGTAGCGCGGAAATGATTTTTACTCCATATGCATACTGCATAACTAATCAAGGGCCATAACTCTGAGTTAAAGTGTCTGACCGGAACAAGCCGACGATATGCGCATCTCCTCTTGGTATTGAAGGTTCCCATAAAGTTTGGTTGAATTCCAGCCAGTAGTTGCAGAGAAGTAGTGCGGAAATGATTTTTATCTATATGCATACTACATAACTAATCAAGGGCCATAACTCTGAGTTAAAGGGTCTGACCTGAACAAGCCGACGTTAACTCCGGAAACGATTTTTACTCCATATGCATATTGCATAACTAATCAAAGGCCATAACTCTGAGTTAAACCGGAACAAGCCGACGATATGCGCATCTCCTCTTGATATTGATGATTCCCCTAAAGTTTCGTTGAATTCCAGCCAGTAGTTGCTGAGAACTACTCCGGAAACGATTTTTACTCTATATGCATACTACATAACTAATCAAGGGCCATAACTCTGAGTTAAAGGGTCGGACCGGAACAAGCCGACGATATGCGCATCTCCTCTTGATATTGATGATTCCCATAAAGTTTCGTTGAATTCCAGCCAGTAGTTGCAGAGAACTACTCCGGAATCGAAATTCGGACGGACGGATGGACGGACAACGCCGAAACTATATACCCCTCCCGATTCCATCGGCGGGGGATAATAACTGATACAATTGTTTGTATGGAATACTAGCAGACAAATAACTGATACAATTGTTTGTATGGAATACTAGCAGACAAATAACTGCTACAATTCTTTGTATGGAATACTAATAGACGACTAACTGATATAATTGTTTGTGTAGAATACTTACAGACAAGCAAGACTGCTGGTAGAAGCACCCTGTATAACAGGTAACAGACAAGTCTGGCTACCTGTGAGGCCGCCATCTTCTTCCTCACACTTGAGTTAAATCCTCCACATCAATCCCTATAATGGTGAAAATAACTCAATTCAGTCATGAAACCTCGTATCATAGTAATATGATATCTTAATAACATTTACAGTTACTGCAAAAGATTAATAACCCTTTCACTGTCTGTAAGGTGGATATACTCATAGTACAATTTTTTTTGCAATTTTGGAATGTAAAATGACCAATAAATATGTCTTTTATATTTCAAATTTTATCTTTAATAAGATATTTATAAGAGAAAATAATTATTAATCTGTATGGTGGTTCCTGTTATTTCTAGAAATGTCCTGGAAAATACATTGTTATTTTATAATTTAAGTTCTGGCAGTGAAAGAGGTAATTGTTTTCTACAGAACAAAGTGCATGTCATGGAAAATGGATCAAGACTTTTCAACCTACTTTACAGAAGATATTGTGCCATTTTCCCAATAGACAGTAGTAGCTTTTTTCCTAATTTAAATCTTAAGTTCTGTCTATAGGAAAAATGGTATTATTTCCAAGCATCAATATATTTTATAAACAAAAAATATGTAAAATTACTTGATACAGGTTTACACAAGAAAACTGACATGTCATATATTGGAAATAATAATTTCTTGCATTTATTATAAAGCCATAGTCAGAACCATTTAATAATAATGATTAATCTTCATTCTATTAAAGTGAAATTTTAATGTTCTATTTCTATAAACTAAAATAAAATCAGAAATGCCATTTTTAGCATGATGGTTAATATTTTGTACATCTAACCTTAAAGTAAAAACAAAATTATGCAAATATAAAATAAAGAATCTTCTGGTAAAAATAAACAACAAAATTTCATTTCTTCCATTCCATATAAAAATATACTGAAGTATATTCTGACATGAAAAAGGACTCATTTCTATTCCCTGAATGAAACAAATCACTTGAAGAACTTTCTGACATGACTTAAAAGAAATTTCTGACAAGAAAAATGACTCATTTCTATTTCCAGTAAAAAGCTAAATCCTAGATAAAAATTTCTGACATGAATAAAGATTTCCTTTCTATTCCCTTGAAGAAGTTTTCTTACACGAATAAAGGACTCATTTTTCCCTAATGTGGATAATATCCATGTCTGAAGATTTTCTTAAAAAGGATTCCCTTCTTGATAGATTCCACTTTACTACATGAATCATTTGATGATTTCCCTCAAATGAATCCAAAGCAAGTGAATGAAATATAAATGAGGAAAACATTCATTTACTGCTGCAATCTAATCAAGTTTTGACAGAGAGAATATTCAACAAGCATTTATAATGATTTAAACACTTGTTTACCAATCTACATTATGAATGAGATAATTACAAGAACACCCGGTGTAAAAAACTTAGATACTTGAGATTTCATACCACTATACTACAGTAAAACCCGTGTTTATGTTGAGATACATGTACCACTTAAAATCAGTTATAAAAGTAATGTTGGAATAAGTTGTATCAAGTATTTAAATAGAAGCATACAGCATTCGGAAATCAACTTGATGTGTGGAAACAAATACAGTACATGTCACAATTTTGCATGAAAAATGAGTTGCCAATAAAACACTGTAGGCTGTAGATGCATTGTCCCATGATATAAAAGAAAACAATTCACTTCTACCACTTACATCATCACAAATATTATATATTAGCTCTTCCTTGATCAGAAAGAACTATGTTCATTATTAAGCATTTTATCTTGTGAAATACAGTCATCATCATATTGCCTAGGGATAATTCAAGCATCAAAGGCAACTGACTAATTATCCAAAGAGTGAGGCCAGCTGTACATATGGTATGTTTTAAAGTGATCACATGACTATCATGGGAATATCATACTGTATCAACTTTGACATCATATTTGTCATCAGTGTCACATCCTGAACACAATACACTCATCTAACTCTCTCAATATAGTGCGGAGAACCTGCTTTACAATGTCTATAAAAAGGCACCAACCTTTCAAGACCATGGCCCTATACATGATATTAAGCCATCAACATGCATTTCCATACTTATGTCTCTAAAAATATATTAAGAGCCACCAACCTTTCCAGGCTTATGTCCCTATACATTTATATTGAGCCACTAACCTGCCTATCCAAGCTTATGTCCCTATACATTTATATCGAGCCACAAACCTGCCTATCCAAGCTTATGTCCCTATACATTTATACCGAGCCACTAACCTGCCTATCCAAGCTTATGTCCCTATACATTTATATCGAGCCACTAACCTGCCTATCCAAGCTTATGTCCCTATACATTTATATCGAGCCACTAACCTGCCTATCCAAGCTTATGTCCCTATACATTTATATCGAGCCACTATAACCTGCCTATCCAAGCTTATGTCCCTATACATTTATATCGAGCCACTAACCTGCCTATCCAAGCTTATGTCCCTATACATTTATATCGAGCCACAAACCTGCCTATCCAAGCTTATGTCCCTATACATTTATATCGAGCCACTAACCTGCCTAGCCAGGCTTATGTCCCTATACATTTATATCGAGCCACTAACCTGCCTATCCAAGCTTATGTCCCTATACATTTATATCAAGCCACTATCCTGCCTATCCAAGCTTATGTCCCTATACATTTATATCGAGCCTCTAACCTGCCTATCCAGGCTTATGTCCCTATACATTTATATCGAGCCTCTAACCTGCCTATCCAAGCTTATGTCCCTATACATTTATATCAAGCCACTATCCTGCCTATCCAAGCTTATGTCCCTATACATTTTTATCGAGCCTCTAACCTGCCTATCCAAGCTTATGTCCCTATACATTTATATCGAGCCACTAACCTGCCTATCCAAGCTTATGTTCCTATACATTTATATCAAGCCACTAACCTGCCTATCCAAGCTTATGTCCCTATACATGTATATACATATAGAGCTATAGGCTTATGTCCCTAACTCCCTAAACATGTATACAGCAACAAACTTGCATTTCCATGCCTATGTTCCAATTATAGAGCATCTAACCTGCATTTTTAGACACATTCTATTAAAGTTTCATATATAGAGTGACTGACATGCATTTCCATGCAGTCTGACAACTTGCGCCTTTGCTATTGAAATTCCTTAAAGCAACTGCTGCTACTTTTTATTTTACCACTACCAGTATATGGTATAACTGTACATTGTATTAGTTTGATGTAAGTTTAAAGGAATTTTTATCAAATATTCAGGACATCTATATCGTTACACTACTATTATTAAGTAAATAAACAAACTTATCAAATACTTTCAAATCTTTATCATAATATTCTACCTGTTACACTGTTAACAATATTTACTTTTAACGGTAGGAGATGGGCCTCTATTACTTTAATGTTTGGAACTGTCTGTTAACTTTAAAGGGTTTTCTAAGCACAGTCAGACTGAATTATTACTTATAATTCGAGTCTTCAGTAGAACATTATAGAGATATTTCAATCTTAGTACAGGGAGGAGAGAGGGGAGGGAAGGGTGGGGGGGAAGAGATAAAAAGCATTTTATGAGCTGAAACTACTTATTCAACTAGTAAATCTATTTTTCAATACCTTCAATAACATATGATCATTTATCATTTTACATCATGTGGTAACATATGACCACAAATCCATTTTTGATAATATTTTTATCTAAATTACTTGTATAGCTTACAGTATATATGGAGTAAATTTTTGTGGTTGGGTTTTTAACCGTTACCACCACGCTAAATATTTCACATTTGCAAATGGGCATGTCCATCATTCAATCTGGACTGAACCATTTGTCATTTTAAGAAGAATTTCAAAATATGTACTGACTGAATAGTAAACGGTGCAGATCATGATCAGACCTCACATGTTAAGGGTTAAGTTGCAGCAATACTGTGAGGGTCATAGGTTGATGTTTATTTAACTTTACTGGTGGAGATATAACTCAGATGCCCCATTATTCCTTATTGCTTATTAAGCTGGCACCAGAGTAGAACCATCAAACTTATAAATAACCAAGCTAACTTCCTCACATGTAAACATCCAAAGTTCCAGATGAAATTTGAACAATCAACAGTAAGTGTGGTAAGTGATGAAAAGTAAGAAACTGTAACCACTCAGTCACATAAACCACTTGCTCATTCATTTAAGCAATATCACATTTCTTCCAAGCAATAAAATTTCCAAACAAGTGTGCCATTACTTTTTACGTTTGCCATCAAACCTTCTGAGAAAAATAACAGAATTCCAATAAAAATAGCTAAAATGTGTAGCCTAAGGTAAAACTGCACCAGCTTGTCATCTACACAACATGTATCCTTGTGAAGCAATAAAATCCACATGTTACGTAAAAAATGAATGCATTCATTCAATGTTATTACCTTAAAAGAATAAGCTTTCAGATACAAAGAGACAGTATTGATATTTCCTGTAAACAATGAAATCTAGTGTGATAATCCTGGTATAATATAACACAAGCATCCTCCATCTATTACAATGCAACACAATCTTTTAATCAACACTTTCCATCCGTTTTTCATTTGTTACACTACATGTAATAGCAACTTACCGGTAATATTTTGTTGCCGGTAAATTTTCTAATTAAATCTGTTGCTACTGTTATATAAAATAACTAACAGAATCTTTGTTGCATTATTTCTGCATGTTGTTATAATTATTAAAGCTATAACATTAATCAATATATTTCATTATTTTACTTTTTACTGTGAGTAATATCTGGCAGGCAATAATAATATAATATTATGTGTTTACATTGTATCTATGCTTATTTCATTGTTTGTTGGTTGGTTGGTTTTGAAGTCACACCAATACTGACAGTGATTTTCTAGCTTTACTCATGAAGAGAAAGACCTATGGTACCCGTTCATGCATGAGCAAGCACCAAAATCTAACTCAGGACACTTTTTTTAAATTTATTGTACTTGTAAGCAAATGTGATAATTTAGTTACAAGTTATGGTACTTTATATAGTGAAATCTGTATGTTAGTGTGAGGTATTTGCAGACCAAAAGCCTATAATCAACATTGTTCATAAAACTCACT